ATCTCAAAGATTCCCATGAACGTAACAGAAGCGAAATAAAGGGAATTATAGAGTTCAATCTTACTGACGACACACTCTATTGGCTGGAGGGGTATTCTGTACCCCCCCCACACCCCTGGTGCTATGTTCCTTCCCAAAATCTGTAATGTTTAGTACTCGTACAATAATCTGTGAGAAAACACCATCAAAATTACTTCACTCTTGTCGGAGGACATAACACGGGGGGTTTTCCAATCCCCCCCCCCCCAACTATCAAAGATGTGATTATCTTATCCCAAAGGCTTCCATGAACGTGATAGGAGCAAAATAAAGGGAATTATTCACATTCTTTAAAAATAACCTACTGTTTGTTAGTCACGCAACCAACATTACATCGCTGCATTGCAGGTTGCCTACATGAACACACCATTAGAATTGCGCGCCTTTAGCCACTACCTACCAGTTTTGGTCGGTTTCGACGATCCAACGGGACACAAATTCTTTGCACGGTGACACTCGTCGAATATAATCAGACCGTCGAAATCGGATCCGCACCACTGCAGCAGCTGCTTCAAGCGCGACTTGTATTTACCGCCGGCCGTGTTCGACTCGCCGATCAAAGCGGAGTACGTCGAGAATATGACGCCCTTCTTGACGTTGCCGTTAATCGCCGATGATATCTTCGCGTACTTGAACTTGTTCAGGGGGTGAACGTCGATCTTTCCGGCGCCAATATCGCGCAGGTCCCGTTCGGCGTCGTACTTCAAATCGTTGGATACGGATATCCAGATCGCGCGCTTACGATTCTTGAGGTAATTTTCTAGAATTATGCCGGCGATGGTGCGCCCCTTTCCGACGCCGGCACCGTCGCCGATTAGAAATCCGGCTCGCGATCCGTCCGGTAGGATATGTTCGTGCTGCTGGGACGCGTACGTTATGCTCTCGAGCTGCAGGGCGGACAGTTGGCCCGTTTTGATCGACTCGTCCGGGATCGCGAGCTTGTACCAGACGTCGGCGGGCGCCACCGACGACAGGGAGGCGGTCTCGACGACCGGATCGGGATGTTTACGTCCCAGTTTGAGTTTCGCGGGCATGTAATCGGCGTAGGTCTCGGCGACGCCTAGCTCTTCGTCGTCGACCTCCTCCTCCTCGTGCGGTTGCGCCATCTGCTTCGAATCCGCGTTCATCCACATCGACATGACCGCCTTGTTGCTCAACTGGGGACCCCAAGAGTGCCCGGTCGGATTTCCGTACATTAGCGAGGAGAGGTTCTGCAGGAAGGGGTTTTGTATGTACGGATTGTTCATATTCATACCCATCACAGCCATCTCCACTAAAACGGTACAATAACATTAAACCTCGCCCTCTAGTGGTCGTATCAGAACACAAAATCAAGAGAGTGGTCATAGCGTAAAGAGGTAGAATAGTGAGACAACCTCCATAGACCTTTTTTGAATTTTTGAAACACTCTGGCTCAACTTTTTGACAGGTTCCAAAAATGTTGAAAACATTCTCAACTTAAAAGATCTAGATACACAGTTTCATTTTGTCAAAAAAAAAGCCAATCAAATGTCCTAATACCGGATTAAACAATAATCCTGGATTATTTTTTTTGTGCAACTGGCCGCTAGATACACAGTTTCATTTTGTCAAAAAAAACCTATACCTGTCTCTCTTCAACATCAAATAAATTTTATAATTAAGTTGGCTTGTTTCAAAAAATTCATTTTTTAAACATTTGTCAAAATCGGTTCGTCTCACCATTCCACCATTTACACCATGGATTAGTCATGCCAGTGGAAATTTAGGACTACGAGACGCCAACAGAAAGTGCTTTTTTTACATGCCGAGGTTCAAAGCGACTTACTCTGCTGCAAAAGTTGTGCAGCGTTGAAACCGGCACTTGAGGGAAACATACCCCCCATATTAAGGGGCCCACCCAAGCTGCTCAGCATGCTTGCCATAGCAGCCATACTGTTCATGCCGCCGTAAGGCGACGGTTGCACTGCGAACATCAACTCCATTAATAACTGGGCTAGTCGAAAAACGACAACAAAAAAAATATACTAACTGGTCGCGTTCCGCATCAGATCGTAGCCGGGGTTGAAAGCGGGAAACTTGCTGTTCGCCGGCATGCTCATTACCGGCGGCTTAACGCTGGTCTCCTCCTTCGCCTTGCTGTCGCGCGACTCGAAGATGCCGGCCGCCGCCGCCAGGTCCTTTCCGCCACCTACGCCCAACCGATACAATAACGCAACCACTCAAGTCCGACCTCACCTGGCACCTGGATCTTATCCGGATCCTCGTCATCGTCGAAATCTGAGCCGGACGATTCGTTCAAATTGTCATCCATCGTCAATACGTTGCCCTGCACAGAACGTGACTTTTTATTTTCCAACAAACATGGCGTGCACCAACGCCCTAAACTTCCTGAGATAATTCGAAGTTGTAACGGGAAGGTGCAGCCCAAGGGAGCAAGGAATGTTTTTTTTTACACTTTTTGGGGTTATGAATTTTTAACAAAGCGCCGCGGCGAAAAAAGAAAGAAAAATGCGACAATTTCAAAACGAAACCGTAGAATTACCTGCCAATTCGCACCGTAGATCAATTTTGAGCGAAATTAGCGAAGTGCTCTTCCAAAAAAGTGAGAAAAAAAAAGCAAAATTTTCACTGGTGCACTTCATAAAAACCGTCGGCTTTTTTTCCTTTCCTTTACCGCCCCGTCTTTGACAACCGCCCCATTAAAAACGTATACCCACCCGTTCGCCGACCGCACAACTTTCAATAAACTACTTACAGCATATTCCGTAGAGAGAACCTTTAAAAACGTTTAATTAACAAACTTCAATAAAACACGCCAACGCCATTTTAATCAACTTCCCACAGTGCATTGCGCGCTACCAACATTGATTTCTAGGGTACGGAGGACGACAGTAAAAATCACTAAAAATAGGGACTTTTTATACGGAATTTGCCTGCTAAAAATTGAGATACTTTCGAAAGTCGGACCAATCAACGGCGAGAATTAACGCGCGAAATTTGAAATTGTACAGGCAAACCACAGCGATTTACATGAATTTGATTTACGAAAATCACTTCGGCGTTTTTATGGGGATAGGAGGTTTATACATGCATACTAATATCACTAAAAGTAAATACGAGAAAACTGTTTTTTTTTGTAAGGTATCAGAAAATTTTTGCGCCTCTGAAATTATGATTTTCAATTTTAAAAGAAACATTTGTATCAGGGGAACATAAAACAAGAAAAGAACAAATCCTACACCTTCTTGCGTCTCTGTGATCAGAAGACAACAAGTTTTAAAGACGAATTTTTATTGGCAGCCCATAGTCCTCTTCTGTACTCCTGATGCATCACTTTCCTGCGTCCCTGTAATCCTGATACAGTACTTTTTAAAAGGAGAGAAGTGTTTGTCAAGCAATTTTTCACCATATAAAAGAAAAGAGGAACCAAAGATAACAAGATAACGCCGGTGCTATTCTTTTCCCCAGGAACGTATAGCGTTAGCACACATGGTCCTGTAGGGCGCGGAAATGTCCACAGGAAAGGAAGAATTTGAATAACTAGCATGAGAATCGAAGGCTGAGTGTCCTTGTGGAAGAACGTAGCACCAGGGGGTCTGGAGGGTATTCTGTACTCCCTTTTTCCAAAGGTTACTATGAAAGTGGCAAGGGAAATAGAGAAGGAATTATCGCGTCCTTTCTTGTTGGGGGTACTGCATACCCCCCAGACCACCTTGTGCTATATGCCCTTCCCCAGGAACGTGTAGCATTAGCACACACAGTCCTTGCTGTGAGGGATGGTCCACGTACAGGAAAGAAAGATATGATTATCCATTTTGAAAATCTAGTATGAGAGTCTCGAAGACTGAGCGCCCTTGTGGAATATGGTAGCAGCGGGGGGTCCATACCCCCCCGCGCACGAAGACTTGATTATCGAAAGGTTACCATAAGAGTGCTAGGAGAAATATAGGGAAGGAATAATCGCGTCCTTCTTTTTATTGAAGATATACTCTGCCTTGTAGACTGGGGGGGGGGGGTATTCCATGCCCCGGGTGCTATGCCCTTCCCCAGAAACGTGTACAACGTTAATGGTCATATGGGGTATGGAATACTCATTGGAAAAAAAGATTTTATTGTCCCTTTTGAAAAGGTAGTATGATAGTTTCGACAACTGAGTGCCCTTATGGAAGGGGGGGGGGGGCTATAAATAGCGACTCTGGAAAATATTAACTTATGGAGCGTTGTAGAACCTTGGAGTTCTTAAGAGTTTTTAAGGTTTGCTCAATTAGGGTTCTAAAGACAACTCTTAAATGCAAGCCTTAAGGGCTCTCCAAGTTTCGGATATTAAATACTATCACACGACATTAAAAGCTCATTGAAAACTATTAGACCCTTAGGGAGAAAACATTTGGTGACGAAGGATCTTAAATACTCTTCTAGATTTTGAAATTCAAAATTTTAAGGTTACTGATCCGTCCGTCTGTACTCCTTTTAGAAACAAAAACTTAAAAATGCAAATTTTCTAGCCGGGTCATTCTTCTAATGGAGGCAGATTCGCCCTCGCTTCCAAATATTAAATTAATGTGCCCTTTCTACTGGTTAGCTTTTCATCGTAAATTATAAATTCTCCACCAAGTTACCATATCTACGATTTAAAGAAATTGTGTTAACCATAACCTCAAATATACACTAAGTCATGGCTAAGGCTAAAGCTAAACCGTCTAAAAAGAAACCGGAAAGTAAAAAAACTCGCCTGAAAACCATGAAAGCTAAAAAACGCAAACTGAAGATAAAAACCAAAGTAAAACGGCACAAGAAGTACGTAACGAAGGAACAGATTCAGTCACTGAAGACACGGCTGGAAGAGAACACCGCCGACGCACAGATCGAAGTCGACAAGAAAATCGCCGAACTGCAGGAGGTGGAGACCAAAAAGGCCCGCAAACAAATTAATGTATACAAACGAATGTTAGCAGTTAATAAAACTAAGCGCAACTGATTTATTTGCCCGTTTTCGGTTTTAAAATATTTTTGTACATGTTGAGCTTACGCCTCGACCTTTTGCTCGTGGTCTTCTGCGCTTCCAATTTCTTAATCAGCTCCTCGAGCTCTTTACGGGCCGCCTCGTCGCCCTTCTCCACCTTCAATTTGAGCTGGTGCACTTTGTCCTTTTGCACGACACGTTTCGTCGTGGGTTTCGCTGGCACCTTCGCAGAGATTTTCTTGACTGCTTCGGTGGTTTTCTTCGAAGGCACCTTCTCTTTGGCTGCGGTTTTCACTTTTTTTTCTTTCTTCGCCGACTTGGGGGGTGCTTTCTCCGCCGCCGCGTTCGGCTTGGTCACTTTGGTAGGGGGCCCTCGGGCTTTGCCGCCTTACGCTTTGCCATTTTACAAAAACGTGCGCACTTCTACACCACAACACCGCGTGTATGCAAAAGTGAGGTTATGAAAGGCGAAAAATTAGTGGGAGATTACATTTTTTTTATTAAAGAAAAAAACATAATTTCAGCCCTAAAACTACAACGTAACTTATTTACTTCTGCGCCTTGACCTTTTTGCTCTTGTCCTGCTTCGGTTTGGCGGCGGCGGTCTTAGCGGGAGCGCCGGCTTTCGGTTTTGGTTTCGCCGCCTTCTTGCTCTCTTTACTCTTCTTCGCCTCCTTGACAACGAAATTGCCCGAAAGCAAGTTTTTGTACATGCTCAACTTCCGTTTTTGATGTTTGCTCTTCTCCTTCTTTTTCGACAGCATCTGTACGACCTTCTCGACTTCCTGTTTCGTCTTCGCGTCGCCCGCCTTCATCTGCCTCCTCAGATTTTGCACCTTTGCGACGCGCAGCTGTATCTTCCTAAGTCTCTTCTGCTTCGGGGTGAGATGCTTCGGACGGGCGGATTTCTTTTCGAGAGACTGCTTCGCCGGATCGGCTTTGGCCTTCGGCGATTTCGCCGCAGCTTGTTTATTTGCGGCCGGTGGCTGTTTTGCGACCGCCGGTTTGCCCTTTTTGGCAGCTGCTACGTTCGTATTCATTTTGCTGAAAAATTTAATGGATTTAGGTCCTGCGAAGATGTCAACTTCGTAATTATGCTAAATTACATCCTGCGTTACTATTACATTCGAATCCATACTTACGATTACTAATTAATTGTCCGAAAAGGTAAAATGCAACGTGCTTAAATGGCTACGTTTAGTTCAAGGTTTTTTTAGGTTAAGTACAATGCAATGATGCCAAATTTCTGCTGGTTATCATTAGTTAATTATACAGGGCATATCAGCGTTTTGAAACTCGCCCAAACTCTACAGTCTACATTTTCCAGAATATTCATAAGGATATCGCCCCAAACCATTTCCAGAGCATTTTGAAAATTGTCTAGAATGTAGAAACTTCAGGAAACGCCTTAAAGATATTACTTTGAGAAGCCATTAAAGAGTCCATAGGTTTTTAAAAACCTTCAGTCGATAATAGGTTTAAGTACATTCAAGACACGAGTATTAGGAATTATAAAAAATTTCTAAAAAACCTTTATCCGTCCTTAAGAGTATTGAGCAGCTCCTGTTAGTGATCTGTAATAACCCTGTTAATAATGAAGATTCGCGGTAGAATAGCCACAGACGTTCAGGTTTGCCAACCCAACAGTTTGGTTGTTGTTGTGTAACAAAAAATCAAAATGTCACTGACCATCAAGTTATTTTCCGTGCCCAGAAATGGTAATTTACCATAATTTGATTTAAAAGTAATCTGATTCGCTTGCAGGTCACCGAATCTTCCGATGCACACCCCCTCGACGGTATGAGGCGAGCTGCGCCAAGGGGCAGTACATCAACGTAAGCCCCCCGGATCCCAGCATGAACATGGGAGACATAACAGGTACCGAGCGGGAGCCGTGGACGACTCTTTAAACTGTTGCTTGTAGAGCGTGCCGCGCAGACTATATTTTGGACCGAGTTGGCACGCGGTTTCGCCGTAACTTTAGGCAACCTGTTCAAGGAGCCTGCGACTATTAATTACCCGTTCGAGAAGGGCCCTCTAAGTCCGCGATTTCGAGGAGAGCACGCCCTAAGACGGTACCCTTCGGGCGAGGAGCGATGCATCGCGTGCAAACTGTGCGAGGCGATTTGTCCGGCTCAGGTTAGTCGTCGCGTACGTCCATCACGATTTCTAAAAGCCGTCTTGTAGGCGATCACCATCGAAGCGGAGAGTCGAGAGGACGGCTCGCGAAGAACTACGCGTTACGACATCGACATGACAAAGTGCATATATTGCGGTTTCTGCCAGGAGGCGTGTCCGGTCGACGCGATCGTCGAGGGTCCCAACTTCGAATTCTCAACGGAGACGCACGAGGAGTTGCTCTACAACAAGGAGAAGTTGTTGAATAACGGGGATAAGTGGGAGTCGGAAATTGCGAGTAATATATACGCAGATCATTTGTATCGTTAGTTAATGTAAATATACCATATTTATTTAGCGGAATTGTTTCTTTTCATTGTACCCTACCCTTACTTTATCGGGGAACACTTGCTACCCTCCCCAAAGACCATTCGTTACGTCGGTCATGACACAAACTAAGATCCAAAATGATGCACATATCTCTAACTCGAAAATAACGATCCATTTCATGTGCACTTTGCTCTAGTAGCCACTTACAATGGAATGTCTCCCAGAAAAGGAAAGTTTGGTAACACCACCCCTTTCTTAAAGATAGGGGGGGGGGGCTGTGAATACCTCCCAGCACAGAAGAACTGAACTACCCTTTCTAGAGAACCACCATGACAGTTGTCATTAAATCTCCCTTCGCTGAGCAATATTTGAAAAAAGGTAATTGATATTCTTTCTTTGTGCTGGGGGTATTTCAGACCCTAAGTTCTCCCCCGGAATATTCAGCCCTTAGAACTCTCATGTATGGAATATGATCCGGAGAAGCATATTCATTTTTTGAAACAGTTTGGGGGAGAGCATAGCACCGGGGGGTCTGGGGGGTATGGAATGTTGAGAGTATTGTGAAATGCACAAGATAGCGCAGCGAAGCGTACTAGGCCTCATGATAGTAGCTGTAAAAAAAAACTGTGTTGGTTGGTATAGAAATTGTTGTTGACTTGTAATCTTTTGACAATAGAAAAATATTAGAATTGGAACTGAATCTCCTTATTAACTTTGAATTAAAGAAGCCTCAATATTCTACCAATTCTACTGCATTTTTGTTTGGAATCTGCTAATTACAACATGGAATACCCCCCAGTACACATAAGGAATCGATATTATCAATCCCCAAAAAATACCATAACAGTTGTAATCACACCTCCGTTTGCTGGGGGGTATTCCATACCCCCCAGACTCCCTGGTGCTAAGTTCTCACCCAGAACGTTCAGCCCTTAGAACTCTTGTGTATGGAATATGCTCCGGAAAAGCATATTCATTTTCTTAAACAGTTTGGGGGAGAGCATAGCACCGGGGGGTCTGGGGGGTATGCAATACCCCCCAGTACATATAAGGAATCGATATTATCAATCCCCAAAAAATACCATAACAGTTGTAATCAAACGTCCCTTTGCTGGGGGGTACTCCATACCACCCTGTGCTACATTCTCCATCAAAATGTTCGGTAATAAATAAATAAATTTTATAGCAGATGTTAAATTGACACTTAAATATATTGAACGAGTATAAGCGCATTTTAAGCATAAGGTGAAACAAATCATTGTGCATTCAAATGAGATCTCATTCTTAGTAAAAATGGGACGCGGAGCACAAAATAAAATGATGTTCAGAAAGGAATATAATATTGTTCCCACTCGTCTTTTTTACTAGATAACACTGACAAGTGTCAAAATGTTATTGTAATTCTTTATTGTAATTATTCAAAAAAATACATAACACCAAATACTTTTAACCGCCTCAACCTATATATACTCACTACACGAAACTAAATAACACGTAAAATACTGGAACAACAAGCATCGACTTCGACATGCTCAAACCGGTTAGGCAAGCGAACGTGTACCACAGCAAGGAATAGATCGCAAGTTGAAGTGCCAGGTGCAGCACCATCAACCTAAATTTGAAAAGTCAATTTCTCATCTCGAAACAGTCAATCTTACATGGTGTCTTTTCCTCGGGCCGCCTCGATGTTGCTCATCTTCTCGTGGTTTAAATAAACGCGAACTCCCCTGGCCAGGTCACCGAAGAACTCCGGCCACCTGAGCGACGACAAGTCCAAATTGAACATAACCTGATCCTCGCTCGTCAGCCATTCCTGTAACTTTGCGTGTTGTCGGCCTTAAAAATGAACTCGGTGAATATAAACTTCTCGAGTCGGTCGAGTGAGGCGTTAACGTTACGATGCAACCGCATCAAACTGGAAGAGAATCGTAATTAGTTGTGTTCGCTTCAGTCGGGGGTGCTCACATCGGTCGACCGCCGGCCAGTTTGGTGAGCCCGTCCAGGATTATAGCCGGTAAGAAGTGAACAAATAATGCGGAAATCCGGAACCACGTCACGCTCGGGAGCAGCTTGAGGTGCGGGTACCACACGGCGGACTTCAGTGGATACGTATGCAGGTAGGAATTGATTTGGCCGTACACGGAGCTCCACGTGAACGGCTTGCGGGTACTCGAGGTGCAGTGGAATATCTCCAGTTTTTTCGAGGACGTCGATCCTGCACGAAACGCGGCCACGATCAGTTGATTGACGACGACGTCGACCGGAATGTAGTCGTAGATTAGTTCTTTGCTGACGGGCAGACGGCGGATGATACCCTTAGAGGCCCCCATTAGGAATCCCTGTGGCCCGTTTTTGCTGGCCGTCCAGCCGGGAACGGGCTCCTTCCACGCGCCGACGACTGAAACGATTTCATATCAACATTTCAAAAAATCGTTAGAGTTGGGGGGGGGGGGGGACTGTTATGTATGTTTCCCAAAAAGGAAAGCTTGATGCCCCCCCCCCATCTCCGCGGGCTTCAAAATAATCATAAGCATTTTCATAAACGTTCTGGGGAAAGCGTAGCATTGGGGGGAGTGTCTGGAAACCCCCCACCACAAAGAATCAATTACATTTTCCTGAGAACTACCATGATCGTTGTCATCAAAAACGTTGGTTGTTGGGAAAAGGTAATAATTCCTTCTTTGAGTTGGGGAAGGGGGGGGTGTATTGAACACCCCCCGGTGCTGTATTCTCCACCAAAACGTCCACTCTTCAGAACTTTTATGTATATTTCCCACAAAGGGAAGCTTGATGACACTCCCCTCCCCCTTCAAAATAATCATAACCATACTCATTTTCATGAACATTCCGGGGGGAGCGTAGTACTGGGGGGGGGGTGTCTGGAGGGTATGGAATACTCCCCAGCACAAATAATCCTGAGAATTATCATGACAGTTGTCATCAAACCTCCCCATGCTAGGGGGTATTTGGAAAAAGGTAATTAATTACTTTTTCGAGTTGGGGGGGTATTCCATACCCCCAGGTACTGTGTTCTCCACCAAAACGTCCACCCTTTAGAACTTTTATCAATCCCCAAAAAATACCATAACAGTTGTAATCAAACCTCCCCTTGCTGGGGGGTTTTCCATACCCCCCAGTGCTGCTAAGTTCTCCCCCAGAACGTCCACCCTTTAGAACTTTTAAGTATGTCTCCCACAAAAGAATGCTTGATGACACCCTCTCCCCCTTCAAAATAATCATAAGCATACTCATTTTGATAAACATTCCGGGGAGAGCATAGTACTGGGGGGGAGATGTCTGGAGGGTATGGGAACCCCCTACTACAAAGAAAGAATCAATTCTATTTTCCTCAAAACTATCATGACAGTTGTCACCAAACCTCCCCTTGTTAGGGGTATTTGGGAAAAGGTAATTAATTCCTTCTTTGAGTTAGGGGGGGGGGGGTCCATGCCCCCGGATACAGTGTTCTCCACCAAAACGTCCACCCTTTACAACCCTTAAGTATGTTTCCCACAAAAGAAAGCTTGATGACACCCTCTCCCTTCAAAATAATCATAAGCATACTCATTTTCATAAACATTCCGGGGAGAGCGTAGTACTTGGGGAAGGGTGGATGTGTGGAGGGTATAGAAATCCCCACTACAAAGAAAGAATCAATTACATTTTCCTCAGAACTATCATGACAGTTGTCATCAAACCTCCCCTTGCTAGGGGGTATTTAATTCCTTCTTTGAGTTGGGAGGGTATTCCATACCCCCGGTACTGTGTTCTCCTCCACATCGTCCACCCTTCAGAACTTTTTTGTATATTTCCCACAAATAATCAGAAGCATACTCACTTTCATAAACATTCCGGGAAGACCGTAATACTGGGGGAGGGTGGTCTGGAATACTCCCCAGCACAAATAATGTATTACATTTTCCTGAGAACCTTGACAGTTGCCATGAAACCCCCCCTTTGCTAGTGGGAAAAAGTAATTAATTCCTTCTTTGAGCCGAGGGATATTCCATACCCCCCAGAACACAAAGAAGAAATCCATTGCCTTTTCCTAGCAACTACCATCATAGTTGTCATACTCCCCAGACCCCCTGGTACTATGTTCTCCCCCAAAACGTTCAAAGTTTAGAACTCTTATGTATGGAATGCCTCCCACAAAGGGAAGCTTGATGACCCCCCCCCTCCTTTCAAAATAAACATAAGCATACTCGCTTTCATAAACATTCCGGAAGAGCGTGGGGGGGGGGGATTCAATACCTCCAGACACAAAGAAAAAATCAATCACATTTTCCTGAGAACTACCATGACAGTTGTCATCTCAAGCCACCTTTTGCTTGGGGGGGGGGGGAGGTAATTGATTTGTTTTGTGCAGAGTGGTATTTTATGTTCTCCCCCCTCCTTAGAAATCTTGTGTATGGAATATCTCCCATCAGGCAAGAAAAGTTTGATTCCCTCTCCCCCCCCATGAGGTAAACCAGCTGTAACTTACTCATCGACGGCCGTACGATTGCGCAGGGAAACACTTTCTCCATCTTCTCCACCTCCTTCTCCGCCATCTGCTTGGTGTACGTGTAAGTATTCGCGTGCCCGTTCAGCAGTTCGACAGATCTCTCCTCCAACTCCTTTTCGCTCGATTTTTCCACGACCGCAATGATGTCCTCCGGATCGCCTTTTAACGGATAAAAAATCTGGGTGGGACGTTAAAAGCGAACCTAAAATCGACGACCCGCTCACCTCCTCCGATTCCGTCTGAAAGGAGTTCACGTACGCGCTGCTCACGTGGACGAACGCCGCGAAATTTCGACATTCCTTCGCGAGCGCCAGCACCTGCCGCGTGCCGAGCAGGTTAATCTGGACGGTCTGCTTGAATCCCTCGGCGAAGTCGAGCGTGGCCGCCGAGTGGAAGATTACGTTCACGTTGCCGACCAAGATCTGACGATCCGAGGCCGAGATTCCCAGGCCGTCCTCGGCGATATCGCCGGCTATCGCCTTGACGCGCGAGAAGCACTGAAATTGTCGGCTGTAGTCACGTTCGCTTTACGTCAGGCACTCACCTGTTCAACCGACTTCGACTGGAGTAACGTCTCGAAGACGGAATTTTTTTTCAGGTCTTCCAACCGAGCGTCCACGCTCTTACCCTTCTTCGGTCTGAGCAGCAGGTATATATCGCCGATGTTCGGTACGCAGCGGAGCAGCTTCTCCAAGAGGCAAAGGCCTAGGAAGCCGCTGCCTCCGGTGATAAAAACATTTTTATTTGCGTACCAGGAGGCGACCGACTGAGTTGAGGACATTCTGAAACTGAGGGGCTCCCCTGAAGTCGCTGGCGTTGCGGGGACAAGTAATTGAGAAATGGAAAGTTTACAGGTAGTTTAGGTGAAACTTAACGACCAGTACCAATTAAATCATAGGAACCAATTAAATAATTAAAAGTGAATTCACCGGTAATTAACTTTACAGCACAGAAACACAAAGAACGTCTGGGTGAGGAATGGCGGATCCCTCCTTCGAGACCGTTCTAGAACCAACAGAGAAATAGATAAATAAGCAATAAATAATAAACTATTTTTCGGTTTTTTGATTGACCACAATCAACGGTAAACGGAACACGTATCTAGAATCAGGCGTGACTCCGTAAAAATGCGCATGCGTTGCACGTTACTTAACTTCAACCTCTTCTTTTTCGTATTTATCTTTCATTGTAGGCAATTTTTTATTTAAAGAAAGCATTTATACTAACACTTATAAATAATAAGAAAGTTGGCAATTTTATAAACGTGAATTTCAAATCGCAACGCGTAACGCATTGTCTAGGAGTCACGCCGGATTGTAGGCGCGAGTTCACCTGTGGAAAACAGTATTGGACCTCCTAAATACGGTGGAAATAAGTTTGGAATTAGTCGCGCGCATCGGTCATAAAAACTCGTTTGCATACTTACGCATTTATGTCGATTTTTATTGTTTTTACGACCTACACAGTATCATTAAGTCTAGAAAACCCAAAATATAAAAATAATGACCACTTACCTAGACGTACAACTGGAGCGAAGTAATCATGAAATTTTTTACTTCTAATTACAATGTGCGTAACGTAATGGTCATAATTATATGCGCGCTACTTGATTGGAATATTGAGACCACGATCATTAGTTCACGTTTATTGCGTTATATTCACTTTAGATGCGAAAAAGAATTAGAATGTGCCATTAGTTCATACGACGTCGACCGCGCCATTCAACCGGCGCCTTACCTTCCAACATTTTTTTTGCATTTCGTTAGTGCATATTTCAAACTGAGCAATTTGTTAAATTAGACATCATCATCTAATAATTCCAACGTATACCTACACTTTCAAAATGTTCACATGAAATGACCTTTTCCAAAAGTGATATATGTACCCATGACGAATAACGGGTATGGGCATCAAGAAATGTTACATCGGGGAGTCTAGGGGGTATGGAATACCCCCCAGGAAAGGAGAGATTTGGTTGATCTGCGAAATCTGTCATGATAGTTTTTTCAGAAATAGGTAATCGTTTCCTCCTGTGTTACATTCTCCCCCGAAAATTTCAACCCAGTATGGAAAATCTTTTGAAAAAGCAAACCGATGTGTATTTTTCTTAAATTTAAAAATGGCGCCCACTTGCCGCCATCTGTTGGCGGATAAATGACTCTCATTTACTCAAAACCTTCCTGATTTTTGGTATGCAGGATAGTTTAAAAGAATATACAACAATCCTACTTTCCAAAACTCGCCGCCTGATAAAGTATCTCATCATTTCGTTGTTCATACCAAAGCCGATAGAAAATGTACGTGCAGTAATTGAAATTAGTTTATCAACTCGATCAATGTTTATTCATTAGACGACTTAAAAAGAAGCCTTAAGGCGCGATTCGTACCATACGTACCGGTCGTTGATTGTACGGTAACGGTACGTATAGTATGAATCGCACTGTATACGTATAAGTGCGATAGTGTGAACGTAGCTTTATCGGGTACTTTTTAAATTTTTGTGTTGGCAGCACTGGAAAAGAAAGTTGGTTTCCTGTGGACAGAATTTAAATAATTTTTCAAAAATGTACAAAAGAATGGATAAAAAGAAAAAATGCGGCAAGAAAAGAAAATACGACGGATTCGCCTTCAATTTATCTCAGGAAACCACACAACGCGTCAAGGTAAATCATAATGTGTACTTACAACTAGTCAACCGATCTCTTGTTTAGGTACCCTTCGAGTCGCTCTCAACGGCGCCGCGACGCTCGAAACGCATTAAGCAGAACCGCAAATCCGACGTTAAAGTTTACAATTCGACAACCGACTATTACGCCCACTCGCAAGGCAAAAGCATTTTTCACGACATCGAACGCAACTACGAGAAGGTCATGTCGAAACGGACCCAGGACTTCGCCACCCGATTCGGCGAGGTACTGCGCGAGCAGGTCCCGAGGTGCTCGAAGGCGAGGGAGAAGACGACCAATACGATCAAGGCGCTGGTCGCGCAGATCGACTCGATCCTGGACGGTGGCGGCGGCGGCGCTCCCCTGGAATCGCGCAGCTTCGTACCGGAGAACCGGTGGGTCTACCGGACGCCCTCCCATCGCAAGGAGAACATTCCGCCGATCAGTTTCAGCTTTGACTTGCCGCAATCGCTTTCGCCCGGAGTCAACTTTTTTGCTGCGCGTACGCCGTCCTTCGACTTCGATCAAGGTTGTTTCTCGTAGTTGTCCTAAAAACAATCGTGATTTGAAGACAGTTGTTAAATCTCTTTCCTCCCGGTACTTAACTCTCATCCAAAAAGTTGCCCTTTTGTGTGATAATGTTGTAGGGAGCGTCAGCCATATTTGTTTTCCTAGGCAACGTTTTTGGGGAAGAGCATAGCACCTGGGGGGGTCTACTACAAACATATGAAAACCGACTAGCAACGATAAATGATAAAATAATAATGAAATTAAACGTTCTAATGAAACACTTAAAATTTTATTCGTTATCCTATCCTTCTCTCATAACGGGAAATTTCACTTAACCTATTTACACAAAATTAAAAATCGCAACCGTAATACTGCTGAATAATTACTCTCTGTAACAACTTGCGCTTATTAATAACGCTAACAATCAAGAAATTTGTCTACCTTTTGTTTTCTGCTAACATTTAAGAACGTAAACACTTCACTTAATCTTATAATCTAATGGCGGTGACAAATAAATGCGAGTCTCGTCGAAAAGCGATTGTCAAACCGAACAACTTGTGCACTTAGAATTTAGAATCGTGTTACAATACCGCCGCCACGTTCTCCAGACTTCGACTGCTGGCGATTAGCGGGCTGAGCGTGCCGGCGACCTTGTGACCGCGCTCGATCTCGTAGTGACTGTCGAGCGCTATGTTCGTCTCGACGTTGTTCTTCGACGGTATGTACGAGGCGACTAGGAGGGCGCACACGACGAGGAGCGCGCCGAAGACGAACGGCGGTCCGGGTACCAGCTGCGAGTAGACGTCCGAATGCGACGGCTCGACGACGCGAGTCGAGTCGGTCGTCGCGTTCTCGCCCTCGTTCAAATCGACGTGGAACATGTAGAAGATTACGCCGAACATTGCTGGGCCGAGACCGTTGCAAAGACCTCTCATTCCCGTTACCATCCCTACGATTCGAGTGTAACATAACCTCAATCAAATTTAGACTCACCCTGTACAACGCCTTGTCGGTCTGGCGTGCTCAATATCGAGACAAACGCAGATATTGCCGGGTACGTAATCGAACTCAACGATGCCAACATACCGGCGGCCCACATCATCCAAGTGGTTGTACCGAATCCGTACCAAAGCAGTTGCAGCATTTCGAACAGCAAACCGAGCATAATCGTATGCTTGCACCCCAAATTCTTCATCAGCATTCCCAGACAGAGCTGGGACATGACGGCGAGCAGCCCGACCAGACCGACGAAGACCGCCACCATCGACGCGCTCCAACCCATTATCAACTTCAAGTAGACGAATATGCAGCTGTACTGGCCGGCCTCGGGCAGGTACGAGAGGAACACGGCGATGCAAAGCAGCAGAATCGTCGGATCCTGCCCGACATTGCGCAGGGACGAAAACGGATCGGCCTGCTCCCAGCTGATCGGAGAGACGCGGACCTACGGCACTCGATAAATAACGCTCGATCGCTTGGACCACGGAAACATACTACAGATAGCTTTCAGTACGACAGTTAATTAATGGAGCAAACTTATAATTTAATTAACATAGAGTGGGTCCGACTCCCCCCCCCATAATTTAATTAACATAGAGTGGGTCCGCCCCCCCCCCCACCCCCCACGGGATGAAGAGATATGATGGCCCCCCTTTGAGACTTAACTGTCATGAGGGTTCTCAGGAAAAAGATAATCAATTTCTCCTGTGTGCTGAGAGGTATTCCATACCCCCCAGACCCCTGGTACTACACTCCGCCAAAATGTTAGGGAGGGGGGGCAATCAGCATGTTTTTGCTTACTGTGTAGGAAATTTTTCCTTTTCTGGGAGATATTCCATACAGGGAAGTTCTAATGACAACGTTTTGGGGGAGAATGTACCGGGTGACCCAATAAGACTGTACCGTTTGTTGTATGACTTAGGGCTAAAAAGAATTATTTTGTAAATCGGTTATAAAAAATCGCTGAAAAATATTTTCAAGTTCTAAAAATGATCACCAGAGGGCGTAACTGCCAACTTAAATTTTAAAATTGCATTTTCTTTAAATTTTGCATAATAAACTAAGAATTTTTTTCACATTTTTAAAGAGAACCAGTTTATCTATCATTTTTGTAAAAACAAAAACTCAGTTATTTCAAAAACAAAGATGGCGTGGGGCGTTCAATTGTTTTTGCAATAACCTGCTTTAACTTCTTAACCGTTTGACCGATTGTAACAAATTTGATATCGGGCAACAAGAATATAGTTAATTTAGTTGAATCCTTCTCCGCCAGGGGGCTAGTTTTGACACTAAGATCCAATATCCTAAAAAAACCCTAAAAATTAAATGGAATGATATGACTGTTTCAAGAAAAAGTAGCCAAATAACATCCAAAGAGGCCAGTGAAAACTGTTTTTCAAAATCTCGTTCCTAATCTCAAATATTGGGAAAATGAGATTAATTAATCAATTAATTAAAATGCTTAAATTGTAACTTATTTGACGTATTTCCGGTATTTGTCGATGGCGCGAAAGATTGGTTGGAAAAGGACCCTACACTTTTAGGTAGGCCTTGGAAAATTAAACAAATGAAACACAATGCATTATAAAACAATAACAGCCGTAAATTTGTAAATTATTCTGCTGTGTTTACATTTAGAAAGTGCAGTTTTTTGAAATTGTAATCTTTTCTAAAATGCCGATTTCTAACCAAGAAGCATTTAATATGCTGGCGGCGATGGTTTGTGGTCGATTCGGATAACGCAAATAGAAGATGCGGGCAGCGATGGTCCCAGATTTTGGGTCATAGTGTCAAAACTAGCCCCCAGCGGAGAAGGATTCAACTAAATTAACTATATATTGGTTGATTCTCATTGCCCAAGGAATGCTCTTTTCAACCATACCAAATTTGTTAAAATCGGTCAAACGGTTAAGAAGTTAGAGCAGGGTCTTATGCGCATATCCAAACACACCTAGTTATAGACTAGAAACCAAATTCGAAAGAAAATTCAAAAGGCTGTAACTTTTGAACTGGTAGCCCAATCTTCAAACTGTTTGAAATTATGGATTCTACAGGGCACATTCTATAAGAAAATTTTTTTCCCCGGTCGATCTGACCCAATTTTTTTTTCGAGCCTCAAAAAAAGGCAGTGTTAATTACCTTCCTTTTTTCCAAAAATCGACTACACCAAAATTTCTTGGGGAAAAACTCTTTCTTATTAATTTTGGGGCGTAGAATCCAAAACAATTCGTACTTTTTCGATTAGACTTCTCAATCAAAAGTTATAGACTAGAAACCAAATTCGAAAGAAAATTCAAAGGGCTGTAACTTTTGAACTGGTAGCCCAATCTTCAAACTGTTTGAAATTATGGATTCTACAGGGCACATTCTATAAGAAAATGTTTTTTCCCGGTCGATCTCAGACAATTTTTTTTCGAGCCTTCCTTTTTTCCAACGCCATCTTTGTTTTTGAAATAATTGAGTTTTTGTTTTTACGAAAATGATAGATAAACTGGTTCTCTTTAAAAATGTGAAAAAAGAATGTTTAGTTTATTATGCGAAATTGAAAGAAAATATAATTTTAAAAATTAAGTTGGCAGTTACGCCCTCTGGTGGTCATTTTTATAACTTGAAAAGATTTTCCAGCGATTCTTCATGACCGATTTACCCGAGGGACAGTCTTATTGGGTCACCCGGTACCACCACAAGGTATGAAATACCCCCCAGGGACAGTGTCATCAGAAAAATTGCTGACATTCCCTATGAAAATCAAAAGCAGACTATTGTTAACATTTTAGTGGCCAATTTAGCGCCAGGGGGAAGGGGGAATACCCCCAAGAAATAGAGAAATTGATTACCCTCTCTCGAAACTGTCATGATAATTTTCAGGACAGAGTAATCAATTTCGCCTGTGTTGGAGGGTATTCCTGTACCCCTGAGACCGCTTGATGCCACATTCTCCCCTCCCAAAACGTTTAAAGGCTCTTGGAGACTATTGCACACTTCTCAAACCTCAAGCCTCACAGAAGCTTTTTGATACTAAGAGACTTGAGAAGTTTTCAGAATAATCCACGAGCCTTCGGAACCATTCAGGTCCTTAAAATCTTTAAGTGTTTTTAAATTCTGATCCCTGACAGCCTTTACAATTTTTTGAAAGACCTTGACGAGATTTTATGATTCCTTAAAAGCCTCTAAAAGCTTTTAAAAGTTGCCTACAGTTTAAGAAGTTCCCAAGAGCCTTTTAATGTACAGGTTTATCCAAGTGAGGGTTTCCAAAAACCCTCCAATTTGTTTTAGAGTGTTTTAGTAGGCTAAAAAACCCACAATACATGAGTGGGGATGGGGGCAGATCACCCAGCTAGTCACGATCTATCTGTAATATATTTACACGTGCACTTAGAGCCGCATACCTTCTCTGATATACTTTCGGGCACAGCCACCAATATAAAGAACACATCAAGTATGGCAACGGCGGTCGCCAAAGCGACCACCAACGAAATCGACCACCTGCAAACGACAAATATGAGCCAATTACGCGTACGCGACACACGCACTGCACCTACCTCTCCATTAGATACGCTCCGAGCGCCGGCGAGATAACCATACTGGCCGCAAATGTTCCGCTCACCAGGCCGTACGCCAACGAACGCTCCTTCTCGTCCGTTACGTCGGCAACGTAGGCGAACACGACACTAAACGTCACGGCGAACACGCCCGAAATGCTGATCATCGCGAAAAACCAAAACGTGTTGATCGTCATCAGCGGAATCGGCAGGCAGGTGAAGAACACGGTGACGAGCAGGAACAGTTTGCGGCCGCATACGTCGGACAGCGCGCCGACCAGAGGCGCGCTCAGAAACGACAGTATGCCCTTTATGCCCATAATCAGTCCGTTCATTAGGAACGTGTGGTCGGGGAATGTGTTGTTGAGGACCTGTATTAGGGGCATCGTTAGCAGGCCCCACGCGAAGAACTCCAAGAAGATTACGACCAGGGCATGGTAGAGACTCGGTCGTCCGATTCCTGACGTCTGAAATGCAAGGTTGTTTTGTTGTGGTTTTGATAAGGTAATCTGATGATAAGGTAAATTGCGGGCGATAAAGCGTGATAAAATGGTAAGAGTGACGTGGTTCTGCATTTAATTGGAAAAACTTCTGGAAAAACTTACCGTAACTACCCCATCTTTTGCAATTGATTTTCTGGAACGTATAATCATTCCAGCAACCCTTTTTGATGGTTTTGCCTTCATCCTCTCCAGTCTCGTGAACGTTTGTCTTATTTTACCTTAAAAAATATATCCTTTTTGATACGGAAACGCATTTTTCATTGGAAAAACATCAGATTTTACACAACAAACAACACGAAACTGGATTTTGGTACATCGTTAATTACACTGACTTTTGTATCAGCTGTCGCTGTCAGGGTTGAAACTGTCAAATGATTAATAAAATAGAGTACAGCGCGCCCTGCAGTCAAAACAATGAATCATACTACCGATCGCTAATTTACCGGCTACATACAGTGTGACCGATAAGTATTTCATTTCTTTCATATTGCACAAGTTTATGTGTAAACCGTCTGTATCTTGTTAAATACACAATGATAACACTAGTCACTAAATCAACCCCGATAATAATTTTGAGTATTTACAATAGCTAATTTACCAAACTATAAAGGTTCACTTGACACCGTCGGCTTACCCTCCCAATTTGCCCTCTATATGTCGCGACTTTATACCTTTCAGTTCCTATATTCGATTGTCTCTGCCCCGATCGCCCTCTCCTCCTTCAGGGCAGAGAAGTCGTCAATTGCTGAGAGGCGGTTTACTCCCCCAGATACTAAACAATACCTACGATCTGTAAAGTAAGGTTTGCCCTACCTATCGTAGGCATCTATCAGCTCTTAGAACTTCCCTGTATGGAATATCTCCCAGAAATGGAAAAATTGCCTACAAAGTAAGCAAAAACGTGCCGATTGCCCCCGAGGAGTTTAAGTTCTGGGGGTATGGAATACCCCCTATAAGCATACGGGAGAAATCGATTACCTTTTCCTGAAAACTATCATGATATATTAAGTCTCAAAAGAGAGTCATCAAATTCCTTTTTGTCTGAGGGATATTCCACACCCCCAGTGTTATAATCCCCCTCAAAACAATCAGCTCGTGCTGGGGAATATTCCATACCCCCCCAGTGTTACATATCCTCCCTCAAAACTATCAGCTCTTAGTACTTCCCTGTATGGAATATCTATCAGAAAAGGAAAAATTGCCTACAAAGTAAGCAAAAACATGCTGATTGCCCCCTTAAGATTTTAGAGGAGTTTAAGTTCTGGGCCTAGCATACGGGAGAAATCGATTACCTTTTCCTGAAAACTTATCATGATATAGTTAAGTCTGAAAAGAGAGTCATCAAATTCCTTTTTGTCTGGGGGATTTTCCATACTTCCAGTGTTATAATCCCCCTCAAAACGATCAGCTCGTACTGGGGCATATTCCATACCCTCCAGTGTTACATTCTCCCTCAAAACTATCACGGAGATGGATTGCTCACAAATTTGTTGGGTAAATTTAATACGCCCGAGTTTGAGTAGGGGGAAGCTCCCTCAAATCTTACTGAAAACCAGGAGTTCGAGTTTTTCCACACGAAGGAGAAAGAACCATTGATTGCGGCTCCGAAAACCCAGATTGCCGAACAAGGAGCGCAATGTTTAAGACTGGGACAGCAGTCTTTTTGTCTAAGGTATGTGGACGTTCAGAGGAAGCTTCAAGCAGCCCCAGACTCGCTTCAACGACAGAGCATATAGTGAACACGATTTCAAACAATAGGTTAACGGTATCAAACACATGAATCAGCATTAAGGTTAAATTAAGTCAATTTCAACAACAGGTTTTCAAGATTTCTAATAATCCTTGGACAATGTCCAAGATTCTTGATCAGTTTTACGGATTGTAGGAATAGAGGTCCACGTACATTTCCAGTCAACGTTCAAGTACTGTCAACTGTCACTGCCAGAGATATGCCGATTCAACTTTGATGGCGTTTGAAAGCGACAGGTTTCTGCTAAGGATCTTCCCAGGGTATATTCTTGCAGAATAATCCTGAAGTTTTTCTAATTTACTGGAAATTCAAGTGAGAATGTTACAGGATAATTGACCTATTATATACATCGTTAAACCTAGAACCTTAATCTAAATTCACTATTCCGAGTTCGTCCGATCTCGGCCGTACCTCGATTCCTTTAAGTTAGAAACGTTCAATTCGGAAAATTCCCAAGCGCCGGCTCCGTCGAACTGTAAAATATACGTATGGAATTTCCTAGAAAAAAAAAACTTGTCAATATCTCGCGTGCGATTCGAACGATTTACCATAGCGTCGGACGATGGGTTATCGTCAGGAGCGTGATGCCGAGGTTAATGGCGGCCTGGTAGATTTCGCCCTCGACGTCGATTGAGATCGCCGAAGTGCACTCGTCAAGAAGAGCGTACTTTGGTCTAAAAAGGCGTTATTATTTCACGGTCGGTAAAAAGTAGCAAGCAGTGGAGCAGTGAAGTGAATTAATAAAAAGTCCCTTAAAGGATCTGACATGAATTTAGACTCTTCAAGGTTTAAGGTTAAGTTAGGTTAGACTCTCGAGACTCATGAGACTCGGCTCTTAAAACCTCGTTAACCCTTGCATTGAAGCAGATTCTTCAAGTAAATGCTGAAAGGTTCTTAAGAGCTTTGACATACTCTTAAAGACTCGAGACCCTTTGAGTCAATTAACGCTATTAAAAAGAGTGAAAAAAACAGCGCAATCGCAGATGGCGTAACGATCTGGACAATCGCCTCTCACACTTACTTATGGTAGAAGAGTCTCGCGACGGCCATCCTTTGTTTTTCCCCACCGGAAAGGATGTCGGTCCAGTCTCTCACCGTGTAAAACGAATCTCGCTCCACGATGTGGTCCAAGTGCACCATATGCATGATCTTCCGCAGGTCCTCCTCGCTCACCTGCTTATTGATCATGTCCGTGTGCGTGTCCGGATAAATGATCTGATCGCGCAGATTCCCGATCACCATGTACGGACGCTGCGGAATGTAGAACATCGAATTTTTCGGCGCGCGCAGCTCGCCCGCGTAAATCGGCCACAGGCCGGCGAGTATTCGGAACAGGCTCGACTTGCCGCAGCCGTTCGGACCGGTGATCAGTAGGTGCTGTCCGGGATGCAAGACGAGGTTCAGCGAGGCGCAAATCACGTCGCAATTCGGCGTGATGATCGGCACGTTCTGTAGGACGATCTCGTCGGTCGAGTGGACGAGCCTGCCCTTCGGTATCGGCTGGTCTTTCTCGTACTCGAACACGAAGCCGTGCGTGTTGTCCTTTTTCTCGACGAGCGTCTTCTCGTAAACTCCCTCGCTGACCTCCTCTAGGACTGTGAACATGTTGGCGACGCGCGCCGTGTGCCCGGCGAGCTCGACGATGTCTTTGTAGCTCGACATGAGACGCTCGACAGCGTTGCCGCCGGTTAACATGAGATTTTTGGCGGTCGTGAAGTACTGGGTGCGTTCGCCCACGTTATCGACGCTAACGGTGGGCAAGCTCGTGTTTAGCTCGCTCGATTGGGCCAAATATGAGAGTTGCTTCTCTTCTTTGTAAACCTATAAATAGGAAGGAACATTTCTCTTTAAAAACTGTTGGGTCAAGATCAAAAGATGCCCCCCCCCCACCCCCGCACTCCACAATGGTTATAGGTGTTTGTGATCATCTGTCCAAAAAGTAATATAAAAGTCCTGGGTGTTGGTGATAAACATTTTGTGGGGGAAAGCGTTACCGGAGGGGGGGTGTAGGCCCCCCCCCCCTAAGATAACAGTATTGCAATTTCCTGGTCATCGAATTTTTGTATTGCTGTGGGATATTCCCCCAGACCCCCCCGGTATAAAATTCTTTACAATATTTTGTAGAAGAGGAGGATCTGATCATTTGTCCAGCTCTCGCACAGTTCATAATAATAATAATAATAACATTCCCTCACTTACCTCCTTCTTTCGGGACAGAAGAATCGGCAAGCTAACCACGATCAGTCCGGTGCCCGACCACACGTACTTCATCAGGAACTGCTCGAGCATCACGAACCACAGCTTCACGCCGAACATGTGCCGCATGTGGCGCACGAGCACGCGATACGCGCCGCGCAACTGCGACAGCTCCACCTTGTGGCCGCCGTAAAAGGCGATCTCCTCGGAGTTGGTGACGAGCCGCGAGTGTATAAATCGCAGGTATCCCTTCTTCTCGGCCTCCTGGGCGACGAGCACGCCGAATTTGGGCGAGCCGAGCTTGAGAATGAAGGCGGAGAGGCCGACGACGACGGTCACGATCGCCGGGCCGGTTATAACGTTCGCGTTGCGCGATTTCGTGAGGTTCGCGAGCGCGATCACCATCAGCAGTATGTCGAAGAGGGGCTTCGTGATCTGCGAATACAGATGCGAGACCATGTTCGCGACGGTCTCGATGTCGTCGGTGAGGCGCTGCGAGCAGTTCTCGAGACGACCGTCGAGGACGGTCACGCGATAGTAGCTCTGGTTCTTAAAGTACAGCTTGTAGCTGTGCTCGACGAGCCTCGTCCGGAGGCTCAGAGCGATACGACTTTCTAGGTACTTAATTGTGCTATTGATGAATGTGGCGGGTATCGCGATCGCGAACCACTTCAGTATTTGCATGATGAAGTTGCGCGGTTCGTTACGTACGATGTACTTGACTATCGCGCCCTCTAAATTCGCTACGTAGATACTGAGAAACGTGCGCAGAAACAGGAACAGGGTGTGACCGGATAGTAGGACGGTTTCGATACCTGTTAAAAAAGACACAAGTGTTAAAAGACAGTTCGATTACTATGTACCGGGTGACCCAAACTAGCCCCCTGGCGGAGAAAGGTTCAACTAAATTAACTAACTGATTCTCATTGCCCAAGGAATGCTCTTTTCAACGATACCAAATTTGTTACAATCGGTCAAACGGTTAAGTAGGTTATTGCAAAAACAATTGAACGCCCCACGCCATCTTTGTTTTTGAAATAACTGAGTTTTTGTTTTAACGAAAATGATAGATAAACTGGTTCTCTTTAAAAATGTGAAAAAAGAATGTTTAGTTTATTATGCGAAATTGAAAGAAAATGCAATTTTAAAATTCAAGATGGCAGTTACGCCCTCTGGTGGTCATTTTTAGGACGATTCTTCATAACCGATTTACCCAATCATTTTTTTACCCCTAAATCATACGACGAACGGTTCTCGAGATATGGCCGAGGAACAGTCTTATTGGGTTAATTATGAGACGATTAAGAATGTTCCACATATGGTTCCCCCCAACTACCCAAATGAGAGGTGGGAGATGTCCATCAGTCAAACAGTGGAAGCCCAAGTATCCGAAGAAACAGCAGAAAATTTAAGGCACCAGGAAGTTAGCGAGGTGCTGAAGACGTGGGCCGAGAAAAACAAAAGACAGTCACTGTGAAGGCTTAAAACTAGGCAGGGTTGTGTAGCTGGAGGGTAATCAATATCCCCCAGAGGAATGCCCCCCCCCCCCAATAAACTTCTTACACGAGAATTTGGTGGAAAACACCAGCGAACTAACTCAACTCGCGTGGCAGAAAGTAGTAGTGGGGAATCTGGGGGAGTCTGGAATACCCCCCAGCAAACGAAGATTTGATTATCTTTCCCAAAGGTCACCAGGAGAGTGCAAGGAATAAAAAGAACTAGTCCTCCTTTGCAGAGAGCAGTACTGTGTATCCCCAGACCCCCTCGAAGGTATGTTTTCCCCCCACAAACATCTAGTGGTAGCACTTTGTTAATTTGGAAGAAAACGCATTTACTCAACTCTCGTGGCAGAAAGTAGTACCCCCCTGGAATACCCCCCAGCAAACAAAGATTTGATTATCTTTTCCGAAGGGCACCATTAGAGTGCTAGGGATAGGGATAAAAAGATCTAAAGAGTTCTCCTTTGCCAATGGTAGTGTTGTGTAGCTGGGGGGAGCTAAGTTTCCCCCAAAAACATCTGGAATTAAGACTTACACGATAAGTAGGCAGAAACACCAGCGAACTTACTTGACTCTCGTGGTAGAAAAAAGTACGAGGGGGGGGGGGTAATACCTTCCAGCAAAGGAAGATTTGATGATCTTTTCCCAAAGGTCACCACGAGAGTGCTAGGGATAAACAGAATTAATGAGTCCTCCGCTTCTGAAGGCAGTGCTGTATAGCTATACCCCCCAGGCCCCCCTTGTAGTAGGTTTCCCCCACAAACACCTACAACACAAGTTTGGGAGAAAACACCAGCGAACTTACTGAACTCGTATGGCAGAAAGTAGTACCGGGGGTCAATCCCCCCAGTAAACAAACATTTGATTACTTTTATCAAAGGTTACTATGATAGTGCAAGGAATGGGTTTTGAAATCATTTGAAGACTATCACTCTCATACATTAATAAATACCGTTAAGGTTCTTAAAGAGCTTTAAAGAAAGGGGAAAATTGGGGCCTTTTCTAAAAAAACACGCTGGTAACATTTGAAATTGTTCTAAATATTAAAAGGTGGTTTTTCTCATTATTGTACAAGAAAAAAACTGACCTTGGAGATTTTTAAAAGCTCCTAAAAGTCTTGTATACACTCTGTTTGTCTGCCCTACAGTATTTTTCGAGCATTTAGCATTCAGTAGATCAAAGAGCTGGAATCACAATAGAAAAATGTCAAAAATGTACTATCATTTGTTTTGGATGAGCTACACGAAAACTAAATACGTACCTATTTATTTTATTTTATTTCTATTTTTTTTTGCCTTTATTTTTGAGAGGCTGCTCTACCAACCTAATCCACTATACATTTACCAATATCTATGCCCGAACCCGGATTCGAAACAGGGACCCTTAGCATCACAGTTCTGCTTTAACTGAATTGCGCCACACGGGCCGTAAGTAAAACAAAAGCATGTTTCCACTGTAATGGAACCACAGAACGCTGTTAGTCTAACAAGGGGAGAGTATTAGGTGTCCTGGTAGCGTTGCTCCGTCGTTACAATAATAAGAAATAAAAATAATACCGAAAACACTGGGAATCATAATCCGAAACAGCTTGTAGAATTGCAGCACGAACTGCACGTTCAGGCCGGGCACCAGCCGTAGCAGGTACTCGATTTGCGAACACGCCCTAGTCCGTCTCTCGACGCGGACCGGCGCCGGCGGCGGATTCGTCGTCACCAATAGGTTGTTGTTGACGCTGTCCTGCTGCGCGTTGCCCTTGCTGAGGAGATTCTCGATTAGGGGATATCCGACTTTGTAGGTGTACGCCAGGAGACACGCGGCGAGGATTCCGCCGTGCAAGTACGAGCGCGGTATGTTCAGGGATCTTCGCGTCGCCTCGGTCTTGGCGAGGAGCTTCGAGATAACCGACGGCATCGTTTCGCTTTGTAATTAAATCTAAAAAGAAATTAACCGCGACAGTGCTTTCGTCACGAATCCAAGGTATAACTCACCGATTTTGTTATCTTAATTGAATCCATTAGAGCCACTTAACACCGTTTATCACTTGTTATCAATCGCATTATGACCGGAGGAACAAAGCTACTTAATGGGAAAGAAGAAAGTGGTACGGGGAGAGGAAAGGGGGGCCGAAGATCAATCCTGAACACTACCACCATGGCGTGTACAATTTTCGGATTTAATGGCCCGAAACTTTCGGTACGCGAGTGCACAAGGCGCGACGAGGCGGTAATTTTTTTAAATCGAATTGAATCAACAATTAGCATAGATAATGCGCACCATAACCTTGAAAAGTCATTACTGACAGTTTGACGTCACCGTCACCTGGTAATACATAACCTCAATCTTGTTTCTTCGTAATGTTTAAAAAAAGGGAAAGTATTTTTTTCTCCCAAAGAAAGCCAATATTACGCAAGCGGAGTAACGGTTCATTGACCGATATATCACTTTCCTCGCTCTTATGACATTAGTCCACGATATTCCTTTGATAATCATCTACAATAGTCATAGTACGAACCGTGGATTTTATGTTACGTTATCAAACCCTGCCCCTAGAAAATCCATGTTAGGAGGGTCTGGAAAAGTCCTACTCAACTATCAAAGGGGTGTGAACAGTGCTTGCTTTCCAGACCCTCCGCTGCAATGTTCTTTCTTAAAAGCCCCGTGTTAGCAAGTACGATAATTTGACAAAACACCATCAAACTGCCCTAAAAGCGTTTAGAAAGGGCTTTGATAGCCCTGATAAGTGCCTAAAAAGATTTACAATGGAACATTCCACTGAAAAGAAAGATTTATCTGTTCATTTCCAAAAACTAGTGTGCCTTGAAGGCCGAGCACCTATTGTTGAAGATCAGTGTTGAGGGCCCCTTGCATACGAAGATTGGATTAACTTTTCCCCAAGATTACCATGACAGTAATAAGGTAATAGAGAAAGAAAAGGTAAGGTTTGCATATTAGTTTTTGGAATGAATTTTTCTCTCCTGTGGAGGAAGCTAATATAGTAAACGTTTGTCGAGTGTACCTTCAGTCAACAAAAGGACACAATTATTTCTTTCTGTCATTGTAACCTTTGGGTTTTGAGAGAAAGGTATATAGCCCCCCCCCAAACACTCCTGGAATACCACCCAGCCATTTACTGTAATGTAATCCACGAAAATCTTTATTTCAAGTCGCAATTTCAATTTTGGCTATGAACCAAATTTCTATTTTGACTCCCTGCTTCCAACAAACTAGCTACGTGATCTTCCTGCATAAAAAAATATTACAGACAGTAGAACAGTTGCACAAACCATAGAGCCGTTTCGAGAAATGTAAAAAAACAATTAGGAAATGTATCAGCAAGGTAAGGGAAGGATACATGGCATTCTTGAAACTAAAAAGGCATTTGAAACAGTGCTACAGAAAACAGTATATCAGTTATCTGAAATACTTTTTTCCCTGCACTGCCCCTTGTCCTTTAGGTCAAGAGCGTGTCAAATCATTGTCAAGTTAGCGCAATTAATCTTTTATTGCTAACAATAAAATTTATTTAATAGTTTTAACATGCATCATAAAATCGCTATTGAACTCGCTCCGGCAAAGTATAATGCTCCAATCATCAAGATACGACGTTTCTACAACCGCTTCTAAGACATGGTACACGAATATAATCGCAAACAAAAGACCTACATGCAGAAAATAAACACACGACAAATAACAAATTAATAGGCGTGATCCTTAATGAACAATCCCTTGTCTCCGGCCGTTCCGTGAATGCTTCCCGCCTGGTACTTGCCGAGCGCCGACTCGCTGTTCGCCTTGGCGCGCTTCATTAGTTCCGCCTGGCCGGCGCCGATGTTGTCGTCCTTGCCCGCCCACGCTCGCAAGACGGACGCCTGTAGCGCGCGGCCGTAGCTGAACGTTAGCGCCCACGGTCTCTTTAGCTGCACGCTACGGATTTCGTAAGGTTAATTCGAGAATATTTGTTACAATGTAAAGGATAGCTGACTTGTCCGCCATGTTGGAGCCAATATTAACTAATTAGGTCATCTTCCTTTTTTCCCACACCCCTATCACCAACAATTTTTAGGAAAGGACCATTAGACGTTTGAGTCTGGGGGGGGGGGGAGGGAGGCTGAACTTATTTAGAGAGAAGTAACACCAGGCAGGGTAGGAGGTGGAATACCACCCAGCTATTTCTAACACACATAGGAAGAAACGAATTATTCACTTCGGGGGGGGGCACACATCCAGTACTACAACTTGTAGTCTACAAGCCAGGGGTGGGGGAATACTTTTCCGAAAGGAAGATACGATGGTCCTTTATGACAAACTGTCATGGGAGTCCTTAGGGCTGAACATTTTAAGAGAGAATGTAACACCCCCTCCCCCTCCCCCCGGTCTTCCCTCTAGAGCACGAGAATCTGATGATAATACATTGTAGGAAAAGGAACACTGAATCTCCAATTCTATAATACTGCAAGCCTGGGGGGTCCTTTTTACAAAAGGAAAATTCGATGGTCCTTTACAAAAATTATCAGGAGAGTGCTTAGGACTGAACGTTTTTAGAGAGAATGTAACACGGGGAGGGGGGTGTCTGGAATACCTCCCATCCATCCCCCCTAGGACACGATCTGATGATAATTGTAGGAAAAGGAACGCTGAATCTTCTCTACCCCCCCAATTCTACAATACAGCAAGGCTGGGAGGTGGAGATCACTTTTTATAAAAAGAAAATTCTATGGTCCTTTACGAAAATTATCAGGAGAGTCCTTAGGGCTGAACGTTTTTAGAAAGAATGTAACACGGGGGAGGGGGGCGTCTGGAATACCCCCCAACCATCTACTCTAGGACACGATCTGATGATAATTGTAGGAAAAGGAACACTGAATCTTCTCTACCCCCCCAATTCTACAATACTGCAAGGCTGGGGGGGTGGAGATCACTTTTTACAAAAGGAAAATTCGATGGTCTGATGATAATTGTAGGAAAAGGAACACTGAATCTTCTCTACCCCCCCAATTCTACAATACTGCAAGGCTGGGGGGGTGGAGATCACTTTTTACAAAAGGAAAATTCGATGGTCCTGTACAAAAATTATCAGGAGAGTCCTTAGGGCTGAACGTTTTTAGAGAGAATGTAACACGGGGGAGGGGGTTGTCTGGAAGACCCCCCCATCCATCCCCTCTAGGACAGGATCTGATGATAATTGTAGGAAAAGGTACACTGAATCTTCTCTACCCCCCCAATTCTACAATACTACAAGCCTGGGGGGGGTGGAGAATACTTTCTTTTGAAAGGAAAATTCGATTGTTCGTTATAATCGTTATAATCATCATGGGAGTCCGCCCCCCTCCCAAACTCTCCTGTAGTGCGCGAGAATCTTATTTCGGCATAGACAAATCAGCTATCCTTTCGCAGCTAATATTTACCAGTTCATCGCGTTGAGATTCACGGATGCCTCCTCCTCGCTCTGCCCGCCCGACAGGAACGTAACTCCGGGCACGGCGGGTGGAACAGTGCGCGACAAAGCGGTCACGGTCGCGATGGCGACCTGTTCCGGAGTGGCACGGTTCGCGTGCGACTGCCCGGGCGTGACCATGTTCGGTTTCAATAGCGTACCCTCGAGGTAGACGTGGTGGTCGTTGAGCGCCTTGTAGACGGCGGCCAGGACGGTCTCGCTCACCTTCTGGCAGCGTTCGATGTCGTGATCGCCGTCCGGTAGAATTTCCGGCTCGACAATCGGAACGATGCGGTTCGCCTGGCAGATGGAGGCGTAGCGGGCGAGCACGTTGGCGTTCTCCAAAATCGCCTGGTAGGAGGGAGTGTTCTTGCCGATCTTGAGCACGCACCGCCACTTGGCGAAGTGACAGCCGTCCTTCTTGTATTGGGCGCAACGTTTTCCCAAGTCATCCAGTCCTACAAAATTAGTGAGGTTAAGTTCTCAAGAAACAGGTTTCTAGTCTTCCTCTTCCAAGGCTCAATGTCCTTAAAGACCTTTTAAAGCGCCAGACCCGCAAAAGTACCTCGACTCTCCCCTCCTAAAGAGGGAAGGGAATCTCTAAATTTCTACAAGGCCCGAGATAAGGCCAGTGGAACCTCTCTATAAGTGTATTATGGTTTTATGAAAACCTTGAGACTTTCGTCTATTTAGAATCTTAGGAGGCTTTTGAAAGACCTCCTCCTCAAAAGGCACTGAGCACATTCATTTCAAATACGCATACCTTGTGTCGTGCACTCGTCCTCCGACCCGAACAGCGGCACCACCCCCGTGTCGACCTTGATGCCGGGAATGATCCCACGCTGTTTCAGCAGCTCGACGAACGGCGTGCCGTCATCGGCCTTCTGGTACAGCGTCTCGTGGAAGAGGATCACGCCCGAGATGTGGTCGCCTAGGCTCTTGTCGGTGGTGAAGAGCAACTGCCTGTACTTCCTGCGATTGTCGTCGGTGTTCTCGAGACCGATGTCCGCGAGCCTCTTGCCCATGGTGTTGACCGACTCGTCGGCGGCGAGGATGCCCTTGCCGGGGGCGACAATGGCGTTCGCGATTTTGCGAAGCTCATCCTGTAGGGCAGGGGGTGGATAGTTGAAGTAGGTAGTCATGTCGTTCGGATCTAAACCGCTGGAATTAAACAAATTAATTCGAGACGTTCGCGTTGCACTTACGGCAAGAGAAGAGACGAGTGCTGGAATTCTCTCACGGAACGAATTAACAATTAACGATCGCGAGAAGGGCAAACAAGGTCGTTCAAGTCAAAGCTGACAGTCGCTTTACGAGAAATCTGCGCACGTCAGGCGGTGACGTGGGGACACTTTTACGTGGGCACGCGCGCATGATGGTTTGCATAACCAACAGGCGCGATACACACGCAACATTAATCATATCTTGCACAATTTTTTTATCACAAAATTTATGGCTAATGATTAGGTAAGAGCACTAACGGATGTTTATGTTGCAAGACGGAACTACACAAACATGTAATCATAAAATTACATTGAAATTCCACTCAGATTCCCAAGGTGGGACAGATTACGTAACTTGCACACTTTTTAGAGTTACAAGCAACTGTAGCTTAAATCAAATTGAACTTTAGCACCTCGACCTGTGTTTCTTGGATTTTAACAACCAGAAACAAACTACGAAACATGCAGAAAACACCAATCAACAAGAAAATTAAAACTAATTATTAACTTAATTATACCTAATTTACTCTTTCACACACCTAATTAGTTCGAAATTAGCAATGAATGACTAATTTGAGGTATAATTAGCAAATTGTAGACGATCAAGTCAAGTAATTAATTACAGACTCCAAATTAGCCCGGCTTTAAGGTCTTTTATACAATTGCTTTGTAATTACCCGAGCTAGCTTACTGTCAAGTTGCATACAAACAAAAACAATTAGTACTAATTTACCCAGTTAAATTCACGATGAAAATTGATACACCTAATTAGCGAACTACTTAATTAACCTAAAAACACCTTTCAGCAACTTTCTCAGAGTGGTTTGAAATTATGTAAAGGGAAACTAGAGATGAAGTTCAAAATTACTCATAATCTTCCCATAGTTTACTTAATTATTAATTAATTACGAGTAAATTTGGGCTATTTTTGCTGTCAATTAAAAATTTGTTCTGCTCAAAGTTAATCTATTTAATTTTGTGGAGACTTCATGTGCAAAATTATGCCCATAACGACTGCATATAAAAAATCAATCTCAAGGAGCTAATTTCCCGATATCTTAAAAGATTATTTTTTGGCACGTAACATGACAAACACATTTGGATTCAGAGAAGGCCGTGGAAGTCACGTATGAAATTAATTAAGCTGACAGCTCGCGTTCAAAGGTGACAAATGAAGTACCATAAATTACACATGACCGATGCGTCTCTCTCCCTCTTTCAGGGCCAAATCGAGGCACTTTTTTGTTGACGGAACTGTTTTTCATAGGTCGCTTGACACCAAGAAACTTCCTGACATTAGTTTAATCGGGGACCCATTATCATATCTCAACATTAGGCGGTCATTATGCGACACCCTGTATTATGCAATAAGCGAATGAACCAACTTTTTTATCTGAAAAGCGATTTTCTTTAAAATTTGCAAAAACTGAAAATCGCCCCCCCCCCCTCTCCCCAGCCGCAACTTGTGTTTTTTGACATAAAAATGCTGGAGGGAGAGGTACGAAGATGCCGCCGCGGCGAACAGGAAGAATAGGCGCGTCGAATAAGGTAAGGCAATCATTTGTAGCAGTCCGAGAGAGCGCGGGGGGGGGGAGATTTGTAAAAAACAAAGATACAAAGTTATTCGACCTATGGGATTGCTACTTCCTGAATTCGTAACCGTTAGGGGTGCACACTTCTCGGATTTTTTCAGGTCGGCGCGTTCGCCACGGGAGGCAAGGGGCAGGGTGCAAAGTGCGCGTGCAAGGTCGTTTTTAGGTACATTCATGAGTTTGAAAATTTCTAGAGGGCGAGGGAGAGGAGGCTAAACGTTTTGGGGGAGAATACTGGGGGGTATACAATAACCCCCAGCAAATTTGTGCTTCCCAAAGTTAAGAAATTACCATATTTCTGGTAATCAATATATCTATGCAAAATGAATCATTTTCAATCAAACACTAATTCATCTTAGTGACGCGTGAAATGACAAACATATTTTTATCTAAAAAAAAATAATTGTTTTTCATAGGTCACTTGATACCGAGAATTTAAGTGCCCTCTATTATTTAGCGAAAAATCAACTTTTTTGCCTGAAGATCAATTTTCTTTAAAATTTGGACAAAAAATAAGAAAGTCGCTGTCCGTCCGTCCATCCGGTCTGACGTGTTGAACTACATATAGGGGAATTGTCCTACAATCTTGGAACTTTTTGCAACAAGTAGTAGTTTCGCTGTGTGAAAGGGGGGAGACGTTGTTTTTGAAAGTGAACTAGGAACATGGAGGTGGGGGGGGGGGGGGGGAGATATCCTTCATGGTACTCTAATGAGGTCTCAAAGAAGGGAATTAATTTGTACCAACGAAGGGTCCTCCTTCTCGACATCTTATCATGATCGGATATAATTCCTTATATCTCAAGAACAGATTGTCAGAGGTCTCTCGATGTAGTAGAAGCGAATATCTTGAAAACGAACTGTCATAAGAGGGTACTCATAAAGGGCAAGTGAAACGTCAAGACGAGACATCTATTGGTGATGTCAAAACTTTCGGGGCAAATATTCGCAGAACGGAGTGTCGGAGGAGGGTAGTCTCAAAGAGCGGAAAGTAGTCTAGACAAGACACACATAGACTTTGAATGTATGTCAGGCGGCCTTAAAATGTTTCGAAAAAAAATTCGTCCGTAGATTGAAGTTTCGCGGTCGCGCATAGGATATTTGAGGGTTCTTCGCGGGAGAAAAAAATTCGGCGCCACTGGCAGAGACGGCTCGCGGCAGGGGCGGTAAAAATGCGTGTCGTTAGTCGATCGCAATTTTCGGAATTTGAAGCACGCACATCTGATTTTCACAATATGCGATATGTTTGTCTTTAGTAAAAGCATCTGTGATTAAAATTGAAAAAAAAATGTATTAGTTTAGAGCTCAAAAAGTGACATCATTTTTTTGTTTATCTTTCAATTTTCTTTAAACATGCATGCGCAATCCGTTTGGCGTGTGTTTTAAATCCGCATCACTAAAAGCTGGTATTTTACCGCAAATGTTGAAATACTAAAACTAAACTTTTTTTTGGTAAAGAACAGCACGGGGGGCAGGGTCCTAATCCCCTCTCCCAGCTCCCATTTTGATGAGGGGTAACAGGGAGAAAAGGTAATTGGTAGAAAACAGTTCCTTTTGTTGAAACTTTTGATTAGAATATCATAAAAGACAAAACTAATTTCTAGCCCCCCCCCCCCTCTCTGATCTCGAAAAGGAGTCGCGGTGTAGGGGGTAAAAATTCATATCACTCCTCATGGTATTCTAATGAAAGGTCTCATTAGTTTTTCCAACTATAACTTCCCTCTCCGACTACTTTTCAAGATGGTGGGGGGGGGGGGGTTGTAGAAATTGGACGGACGGACTCCTTGACCCATTCACAAAGTGGAAGTTGGGAAGGGGGGGGGCTGGTGTTATCTTTCATGGTATTCTAATGAAATTAGCGTCCAGCGTCCTCTCTCCTCATCCTCATCAAGAGCGAATAGTCAGAGGGGTCAAAGAGCGGTTGCAACGTCTAGACGAGACATATCTATTGCCGATGTGAAAAAATGCTTCTACCCCATTATTTACTAAACTATTTCGGTTTTTAAAAACGGGCTGTGTATAATTTATACTGGCGCCTCCTAAATTGGCATAATTTCTAGTGGGGGAGGAAATTTAATTTGAAATTACTATACGAGGTTAATCTCTTATTCATTGAACATAACATTGAATGTGTCTTAATTAATTACCGAGCACTTTTCGAATCAAAATCCATGCAAAATTACCTTTATGGTGCTAATGTAATTAAACGCCAATTATATAAATTAAATTTGACAGCGCCCAATTACCGAGTGGAATTTCAAGCCGTGTAATTAATTAAATTACTTACAATGTGAGGCGAGCAACTGAAAACCGATTCGCTGTCATTGTCACTTTTGACAGTTACCTACCTCGTTCCTTCAGATGCATCCTCGCCCAGTCCCGATAGACTCGAAGAAATCGATCGGTGGGCTCAACGTCGAGATCGCCCAGCACGAAGATCCGATACGCGTCGTCACCGTACTTTCCGATGCCGTACAGCTCGCGAACGTGCCGCCACTCCTTGTGGACGTAATCGTGCGACATCCGCCAGACCTGGTGCGCTCGCCTCTTCGGCAGGCCGATGTTGACGAAGTACGGCTCGAGGTCGGACGGCCGCCTGCCGATGACCTCGTGCGGATTGCGGAAGTCCTCGAGGAACGCGTCGAGGTTCGGCTTGGCCGCCATGCACGAGGTCTTGTTTAGGAAGATCGTCGCGACGAGCAGCGACCAGGGGTTGCGGTAGAGCGACTCCTCGACGAGGTTGTGCGGGGAACGCGGAGGAATCCACGCGTTCGACTTTCGTTTCGGCGCGAAGCGGAGCAGGTTCGACAGCTTCGGACGGCAGCTTCTGAGAAACGCCCGGTTGACGGCCGTAATTTTGACGTCGTCGTTCTCCGCGTAGCAGGCGGCGCAGACGCCCGCGACGAGCCGGACGTTTTCGTCGAAGTACTTGCTCAAGACAATGGGCATTACGCGCCTGGAGAAAGAAACGCCGGCGTGCATAAATTACTCGAATTATGTGTAACATAAATCGTGCATGGTGCAAGGTTACCTTGGTCTATCAAAAGCAGTCACGGCGCGGTCTTCCCAGGTGAGCAAAGGCTAATCCCATAGGATTACAGTCATTTAGATAAACTCATAATTACGGGCGGAAGTGACGGCGGTAAAATTACAGTAATCAAAGCCAGCTCGACGCGTCGAAAAAAAACGGAACACGTAGCCCAAGGTGACACGGTGATTTACGTTCAATCATTGCAGATGGATCAGTCGCCCCAGGCGAGTTTGGGTCCGAAACGCGGCCGCAATGTGCTACAACGATACAACACGACGTCCGGCGCGACGCCGCCGATTGTCCCCCAGATCAGGATAACGCCGCGCCCCAGGTCGCTCAACTTGCACAACGAAATCGCGCCGCCGAATTTCGCCACCGGCGGCGGCGAATTAACGCTAAGTGTGATATCGCGTGACCGTTCCTCGCCGCACTTCCTGCAGGTGCCCCCGTTACCGTACCAGCCGTCGGAGCGCTCGCAAAGCATCGCGAGCTGTTGCAGATGCGAGCTCGAGGAGACGCCGAAGAACTTGCTCTCGTGGCGGCGTCTGCACATGTCGCGCGCGAAACTAAAGGCGACCTCGACGACATCCGAGCTCCTGTCCGGCTTCGCCATGGTCGCGATGGTCGAGTTGCAAATCAACGAAGGCACCGCGGTGCCCGAATGGCTCTTCGTCATGTTCTCCGTGTGCACGACCGTGCTGGTGGCCGTCCACATTTTCGCCCTCATGATTTCGACGTACATTCTGCCGAATATCGACGCGATCTCGAAGCTGGAGGTGAGCGAGCTCGTCAGCGAGAGCCCGCACGAGCGCATGAAGGGCTTCATCCAACTCGCGTGGGCGTTTTCGACAGTTTTAGGTAACTTAGGTAATTGTAACCGATGCGATTTCGTAGGTCTCTTTCTGTTCTTGGTCGAGGTCGCCATCTTGTGCTGGGTGAAGTTTTGGGATTACTCGTTTACTGCCGCAATTGCGGCGACCGTAATCGTGATACCTGTGCTCGTCATTTTTGTGCTTTTCGTCGTTCACTTCTACCACTCGCTGGTGGCGCACCGATGCGATACGTCGGTCGAGGACCTGGAGGGATTGGAAAATATGAAGAAGCACCTGGATCACGCGTCTAGTCCAGTTTAGATTATTAAACAATGTAATTAAAATAGTATACGACTTCTGGAGTGCCGTATCGGGCCTTGTCTGCGCTGTAGTTGTATAATTTCCTGTTTCAAACGCTCCTCCTCCTTTCGCGCCTTTTCCAGTTCGAGCTCCGTTTCGCTTCGTTCGCGCTTCTTCGCCTCGGCCTCGCGCGTCTTTCGCTCGTTAACCTGGAGCTCGACCTCCTTTTTCCACTGCCGCCTCCTCAGCTCCTCCTCCTCGTTCGTTCTTCGCGCGTCGCCGTCGTACTCCTCGACGAGCTTGAGCGCGCTCTGCCGCTCCTCGAGCACGCGCCTCTGCTCCTCCTTATTCTTGCGCAGTTTTTCGTCGATCTGCCCCCTGACGGTTTCGAGTACGTCGCGTAGAAGAGCGGATCGCGCCTTGTCCTCCTCGAGCCAAATCTCCTTTTGCTTCTCGTAGATGTGCTTCGCCTCCGAATCGAACACGAAGTCGAAGTGCTGCAGGCGCTTCCGCTCCAAATCCTGCTGGTCGCGCGCGTACTTTAAGAACTCCTCCATGGTGCGCTTCACCTCGTCCCTCTTCCTTTCGTTCTCGATTCGCTCGGCCGTCTCCGAGTCGATCAGGCTTTTGACGAACTCCTGTTCGCGCCGTAGATTCTCGCGGACGTCGTCCGCGTTCTGCTTCAGCTTGAGCTTGTGCAGCTTGAGGTTTTCAAGCGCGACGGCGCGCTCTCGCTTGCGAGCGTCGTGCTCGACGCGTCTCTGCTCGAGGAGCTCAACCGCGGACAGCTTAAGCGCGTCCTCCTCTTCCTCCCTCTGCAACCGCTCGCTTTCCTGCTGCTTCAGTTGGAGATTCTCCATTTGCTTCTCCAACTCCTCGCGCAGCTTTCGATTTTTTTCGGCAACCTTACGCTGCAAAAGCTCCTCCTTTTCGTTTTCCTGATCGAGCCACTTCTGACGTTCGGCCAGCAGCCGGCGACACTCCTCCTCCTGCCGCTCCTTGTCGAGACGCTTTTGTATTTGCTGATCTAACCAGCTCAGCTTCATCTCGTTCAGGCCGCGCTTGCGCTCGTGGAGGCGCACCGATGGGTTGTTATTGCGCCATTGGTGGTAGAGGGCCAGTTCGGCCTCGTGGCGGCGCTTCTCCTCGTTGGCAAAGGCCACGGCGGAGTGCACGCTTTTCAGCAGTTCGCTCGGGACCTCACTACGTCTGAGCGTATCGCGATTCTTCACCATCAGCTCGACCTGATAGCTGCGCTCCTCCTCCTCGTGCAGCTTCTTCAGCTTCTCCCGACGCTTCTCCAGGTTCTCCTTGCGCTCTCTACTTTTTTTTATGTCCGCCATCTTGTCATTGGCGGCCTGGTAATAGCGCGGCGACGTCCACTCGTCAAATTTGTTATTGTACTTCTCCCACGACTTATAGTAGCGCACCTGATTGTTCCACTTGACCTGGTGGTCGTGCTCCCGCTCGCGCCGCCTCACAATGCGAGCCTCCGGATTTGGTCGCGCCGAAGATCGGCCCGAAGCTCTAGACGACATCTGCAAGAATTATAACTTCTCATGAATATGTAAAAAGGGGAAATTCGCGAGGGGGTTCCTATTAAAAAAACCGATAAGCGATTACAGAGAGCGGGGAATCACAAAGCGCGCGCGACGTCATCGACACGCACTAAAAAATCGGGTCCCCCGCCACTTTTCAAGTTCATTCATAAAATGTCAAGAGCGAATTTCAAGTGTTGCGGGTAATTAATAAACCGCACGAGGAGATAACGCGATGTTGTCATCATAAGGTTGATAAATGTCGAACGGTTCGCACGATGCAGAGCTGGCTAATTTTTGTTTTTGGTTTAGGCGTCCTCGGTCAGGGCGAAATGTGCGACTTTGAGCTGGTGACCAGGGAGGAGTGGGGCGCGCGACCTCCGACCGACGTCCAGACCATGCAGGATCCGGTGCCCTACGTGATCATCCACCACACCTACCAGCCGCCGGCTTGCTCGTCGAGCGAGGACTGCATTAAGGCGATGCGATGGATGCAGGACTTCCACCAGGTAAACCGTGTCTTCGGCAAGGTTTCCGCTAACTCATTCAATACAGATCGATCGCAAGTGGAACGACATCGGCTACAACTTCGTGATCGGGGGCGACGGCAAGGCATACACCGGTCGAGGCTGGTCGGTCGTCGGAGCACACTCGCCCAGCTACAACAACCAAAGCATCGGCATCTCCCTAATCGGCGACTGGAGAGGTAAGCCATCGAGCCGTCGTACAAAATTGCTAACGTACCCTTCCAGTCGAGCTGCCACCCCCGAAACAGATCGAGACCGCGCGTAAAGTGATCGATTGCGGCGTGCAAACGGGAAAGATACGACCCGACTACAAGCTGTTCGGGCACCAGCAGGTGCGGCAGGGAACCGAGTGCCCCGGCCAACGGTTGCTCGACGAAATTTCGACGTGGGATCATTTCTCGAAGACGCCCCCGTTCGTGTGGGTGCCCAACGAGATACCGACATAATTAGGCAATTTTTTTGTAACGTTAGCAAATACATTTACTTTTATTTCGTGTGCGTTCTTTTTGAGAAGGTACGATTTCGGTATTTCCAAGGGGAACACGCTACTCGCAAGAGCTTGAGGCAGCCAGATTCCTTGCACCATGTCACCTGACATGAATTTCCATTAAAAAAAATATCTACTTACTTTAGACCACTCTACTTCAATTTTTTTGACAAAATTTCATTGGCAAATTTTGGGAGTGAACCTTAAAAATAAAATCCCTAAACCTAGAGACCCTTACTGCATGATGCCTGATCATTAAACGGAAAAAGGGAACAGGAGAACATGAGAAAATTAAGCCAAAAAATTGCAAAGAATATTTTTGGGGGGAAGGGGGAAAGAAGAAAAAAAAAGATTCAGTGTTCCGACAATTACCATACCAGATTTTATTGCGCCAAAGGGAATAATATCCCCCAATCCTACATTCTAAGATCTTCCTTTCCTGAGGAGTATTTTCTTCCCCCATACACTTATTTGGTACATTTTAAAAAATTATGGTGTAAGTGCCAATAATAATTTTTGAAAAAGGTCCATCGAGTGGCCTATGAGTAAGAAAATACTCGTTAGGAAGGGCAGGTCGTAGAATGTAGAATTGGGAGATCTGGGGGGGATAGAATAATAATAATAATAATAATATTCTTTATTTCCATGGACACATGATTGTAGTCCATAGGATGCGTCAAAAAATACCTCCCAGCCATTCACTCCAGTGCAATAAAATCTTATGATAATTGTCGGAAAAGGAACACCTAATCTTTCTTTTTCCATACCCCCCAGACCCCCCGGTTTCGCATTCTTCCCCAAATTTATAGTGCTCTTGGGACTTAAATGAATCATCGAACGTAACACTAGAAGCTTATGGGGCAGAAAATGCTCCTTAGGAACGGAGGATCGTAGAATGTTAGACCGGGGGCCTGGGGGGTATGGAATACCCCCCAGCCCCTCCCTCCAGGACAGTAAAATCTTTGAGTATTTGTCGGAAAAGGAACACCCAACCTTTCTTTTTCCTGGGAGATTTTCCATACCCCCCAGACCCCCCGGTTTCGTAACACTAGAAGCCTACGGAGTAGAAAATGCTCGTTAGGAAAGGAGGATCTTAGAATGTTAGACCGGGGCCTGGGGGGTATGGAATACCCCCCAGCCATTCCCTCCAGGGCAGTAAGTTCTTTGGGTAATTGTCGGATAAGGAACACCCAACCTTTCTTTTTCCTGGGGGGTATTCCATACCCCCCCCAGACCCCCCGGTTTCGCATTCTTCCCCAAAATATTTAGTGCTCTTGGCACTTAAATGAATCATCGAACGTAACACTAGAAGCTTAAGGGGCAGAAAATGCTCCTTAGGAAAGGAGGATCGTAGAATGTTAGACCGGGGGGTCTGGGGGGTATGGAATACCCCCCAGCCATTCCCTCCAGGGCAGTAAGTTCTTTGGGTAATTGTCGGAAAAGGAACATCCAACCTTTCTTTTTCCCGGGGGGTATTTCATACCCCCCAGACCCCCCGGTTTCGCATTCTTCCCCAAAATATTTAGTGCTCTTGGCACTTAAATGGATCATCGAACGTAACACTAGAAGCTTATGGGACAGAAAATGCTCCTTAGGAAAGGAGGATCGTAGAATGTTAGACGGGGGGGTCTGGGGGGTATGGAATACCCCCCAGCCATTACCTCCAGGGCAGTAAGATCTTTGGGTAATTGTCTGAAAAGGAACACCCAACCTTTCTTTTTCTTGGGGGGTATTCCATACCCCCCAGACCCCCCGGTTTCGCATTCTTCCCCAAATTTATAGTGCTCTTGGCACTTAAATGAATCATCGAACGTAAAACTAGAAGCCTATGGAGCAAAACACTCCTGAGGACAGGAGGATCGTAGAATGTTAGACCGGGGGGTCTGGGGGGTATGGAATACCCCTCAGCCATTACCTCCAGGGCAGTAAGATCTTTGGGTAATTGTCTGAAAAGGAACACCCAACCTTTCTTTTTCCTGGGGGGTTCCTGGGGGGTATTCCATACCCCCCCAGACCCCCGGTTTCGCATTTCTCCAAAATATTTACTGTTGTACACCATCATTTTTGAAAATAGACCATCGAATGTAACACGAGGAGCCTATGGGGAGGAAAATACTCCTTAGAAAAGGAAGAAGTCTTGTCTCGAGCTCAGTTTTCCACTTTAAATAACTTTTAAAGGTCCATTTCAGGGCGGCGTTACAAATGAAAGTGGATACAAAAACATACAAGTCATCTAACAAATTCGGTACCTGGACACCCTCAAAAGAACAGGAGAACATAAACGAAATAACGAGAGGAGGTTTATCGCCCATTTGTTTAACCGTCCTGTAAGAAACAAATCTAAAACGTTTTAAGGGCAAAATCGTCTCGAACGGAAATTATCCGTCAACAGATGGCGACACGCGCGCGCTATTTTTAAATTTGAAATAAACGGCGCGCGGTTTGGGTTACGAAAAAGTTTCAAAGCGCCTGAAATTATCGTCGAACTTGCGGAAGGCGATTTTTGGATCGCAGCGAAGTTTGCGCTCCATAAATTTGTGTATTTATAGTAATTTTGCGTTGAAATGAAAACGTCTAAACATTTAAGACGTCACGCGGCGAAAATAGACTCCCTTCTATTTTAGAATCGGCTCCATTATGAAAATATTTATAGTTCGTAAAGTGTGTTTCTTGCGAGCTCGCTGGTAGACGATTTTATTGAATTTTCGCCAGCGAAATGCCGATCGGGAAGGGTGCGAGCACGGAGGAGAGACGGGGCAGCAGTACCGCGAAGCGCGAGACCTTTCGGCCGCCTTGGGTCAAGGAGGGGCCCGACGATCTGCGCCCGAAACCGTCGGAGTTCCTCTCGAAATCGAAACAGATGAGCAAAGATGCTGCGGCCCAAAAAGCGGAAGGTAAGCCGCATCGAATTGGGGCAGTAATCGAGTTTGTATATAACTTGCAGCGGCGAAGAAGGGCGAATCACAAGAGAACGGCGGATCCAAGGAGAGCACGTTCGTACGGCCCCAACTTAAGCCGGTTCCGCCAAAGGAACAGACGAAATTGCAATCACGAGAAGTTAAAGTGCCGATTAAGCTCAACAGTGCGGCAGAACGGAGTTATCCCGAAACAAAACCGCCACTCAAACGGAATAGTATCATAAGCGAAGACACGGAAAAGGTAATTATGTAATGAGTCGATGGTGCGTAGGATGAGCATGTTTTCAGCAGCCTCGCAATCCGATTCCGCGCCAGGACAGTTTGAAGAAGGTGGTCGCCCCGAAGGCGCCCCCGATGCCGCCGCCCGCACCCAAGCTTCCCAAAGCGACCGACCTAAAGCCGCTCAGCGACAAGCAGAAGGCGACGATCGACGCTTTAAAGTAAGTGTACAGAATGCTACTCGTAACCAATTAACATCCTCAGGGCACGACCGAAAGTACGACCCGACTGGACGGCGATGCTCAAGGAGGTCGAGAGCGGACCCAAGCTGAAACACGTCCAGTGTAACGACCGTTCGAAACCGCTACTGCCGAAGACGAAGGACGACGACAAGTCGCAATTTATCTACGAGAGCGAGAAGCCGGAGAAGGACGACTCGCACAATATGTTGCTGAAGGAGGTAAGGCCCGTGTGCTTGTGGGTGGCACATAATCCGTTGGCGCTTTCAGATCCAATTGGGTGTAGCATTGAAGAAGGTCAAGACAAACGATCGCAGTAAGCCCGTGCTGGAGGGGCTGCGTAAGTTCCGAAGACAGATGACCATCGAGGAGCAGATCATCAAATCTCAGTCGATGGCCAGCATACCACCAGTAAGTTTTTCTCACTACAAATTTCCGAAAAAACAAACACATTTACGCATATTACATCTCTAAGCCGTTTTAAGTTGGCTTTGGCTATTGATCACCCCTTCCTGTGGTGAGTGAAGCGTATTCGACCCAAAGCACCGAAGTTAAATAACGGTGCCCCAAAAATTATCGACATATCTCTTCCTTAACCGATTTAGAAGTCGCCTTAGGATGAATTACACCGTTCTGCTGTGACCGATGCTTGCCCAGTCGAAAGAACCCAACGTGGAATTTCAGTTTCCACGAGGATTTGAAATTAATTTAAATTCACGTTATAAAAGACCAAAAAAATGAACTGAGAAAAAAAAATAGTGAGGTTATGGACGAGGAAGTGGCTCACATAGATCATGAGTGACTATAACATGACACAAAACAAACCTTTGCTACAAAAAATTCGGAAAAATGCTAGGGGGTGTAACAAAGTTACGAGGTGGCTAAATTAAATTTTGATTTTAAATCTAATGTCAAGTTAAGTACGTTATCATATTCTCCTGATACATTTTTTTTCCCACCGAGGTATGATCTGATTCCAATTCAGGCGATCACAGAAACGCAAGGAAGTAAATGATTGGCAAAGTCCGTCCTATGTATCATGTTCGCCGCCTGATACAATTTTTTCTCAACGAATTTTCTGATGTAACTATCACGTTCAAAAACAATCGTATCAGGATCACGGGAAGTATTTTATAGACAGTTGACCGCTGAAATGGTTCCTTGTTGGGGCGCATACGTTGAGAAAAAAATTGTATGCCTCCTCTACGTTCTTCTTGCATCTGCTTCACGTTTCTATTGCGCATCTTTCAACTACTTTTACATTAATACCCCCCAGACCCCCCGGTTTCACAATCTCTACCAAAATATGTAGTGCGAGCTTACACATGAATTTTCAGAAGGGGAATCGAATGTGAGTCCCCAGGGATGAATATTTTGTGGGAGAATGTAGCACCGGGGGGAGTCAATACCCCCCGGGCACAAATACGACCCCGCTATACGAAAATCTAGAAAAGGAATATTGAATATTTGTTTCCTGGGGGGTATTCGGTTCCACAATCTCCACCAAAATATGTAGTGCGAGCTTACACATGAATTTTCAGAAGGGGAATCGAATGTGAGTCCCCAGGGATGAACATTTTGTGGGAGAATGTAGCACCGGGGGGAGTCAATACCCCCCGGGCACAAATACGACCCTGCTATACGAAAATCTTGTAATTGTAAGAAAAGGAATATTGAATATTTGTTTCCTGGGGGGTATTCCATACCCCCCAGACCCCCCCATTCCACAATCTCCACCAAAATATGTAGTGCGAGCTTACACATGAATTTTCAGAAGGGGAATCGAATGTGAGTCCCCAGGGATGAACAATTGAACATTTTGCGGGAGAATGTAGCACCGGGGGGAGTCATTACCCCCCCAGGCACAAATACAACCCTGCTATAGGAAAATCTTGTAATTGTAAGAAAAAGAATATTGAATATTTGTTTCCTGGGGGGTATTCGATAACCCCCAGACCCCCCGGTTCCACAATCTCCACCAAAATATGTAGTGCGAGTTTACACATGAATTTTCAGAAGGGGAATCGAATGTGAGTCCCCAGGGATGAACATTTTGTGGGAGAATGTAGCACCGAGGGGGTCAATACCCCCCAGGGCACAAATACGACCCCGCTATACGAAAATCTTGTAATTGTAAGAAAAGGAATATTAAATATTTGTTTCCTGGGGGGTATTCGGTTCCACAATCTCCACCAAAATATGTAGTGCGAGCTTACACATGAATTTTCAGAAGGGGAATCGAATGTGAGTCCCCAGGGATGAACATTTTGTGGGAGAATGTAGCACCGGGGGGAGTCAATACCCCCCGGGCACAAATACGACCCTGCTATACGAAAATCTTGTAATTGTAAGAAAAGGAATATTGAATATTTGTTTCCTGGGGGGTATTCCATATCCCCCAGACTCCTCTGACAATCATAAAATTTTCGTATAGTGGGGTCGTATGTGTGGCTGGGGGGGGGGGGATTCCATTCTCCATCAAATTGCGTAGGAACCTTCACCGAGACGCTGATGCCAACGCCATCTTAAAATGCTTGCTTAAAACGTGATCTTTCGCTGAGCGGATTTTTTTTGTGCTTTTGGCGCCAATTCCGCTCTGATCTTGGCGCAGAAAAAATGTTTCCGACAAGCCTAAAACTTCACTGTTGCATCACTATTCGTAACTTACAGGAAGAAATTGCAGATGAGGTCGACGAATTGGACGACATCGACAAAGTGCGAGACGACCTCCAGAGCACCAAGCAAATGCTCGCCATCGAGCTTCGCAACAAAGAATCGCTCGCACGCGAGAACAAGCGATTGCAGACGCGGCTAGCTCAGCTGGAGGCCGATCTCGAAAGGGAGCACTCAAACAAGAAGGTGTCAGAATCTGCCGAGACCGATGACAAGGTAAGACACGTAGAGCACGATCTCACGCTCACGCGTCAGTTTTCAGATGCTAACCACTCTCAAATCGGAAGCAGCCGACGCACGAAAGACAGCCGAAGACCTCAAGCAGAAGTTCCACGAGGCTTCCAATCAGCTCGACAACACCAAAAGCGAACTGGAAGAGGTACGCAAGCAAAAACAAGTCCTCGAGAAGAAACTGACCGAAACATTGTCGGGCAAACGCGTCTCGATATGCGAGCGTCAGGATAGCATTCGGAGGGATTCGGAAAGCGAGCTGGAGGTCGCGCACGACTCCAACGACGACGACGAGGAAGACGAAGAGAAAAAAGAGCGTAAAATGCAAAAGGAGGTGAAACAGCTCCGCAACAAACTCCGAGGCTGCAAGAACAAGGAGGACAACGCGAAAAAGGAACGCATCGCGCTCAAAACGCAAGGCAAACGGCTACAGCAGGCGATCAAGGACGAACGGAAGAAGTACCGGGGCCTGAAAAAGGAGGTGCACAAAATGGCGGCGCTGCTCAAGGATCCCGACGATAGCGACGAAGAGGAGGAGGAAGCCGACGAGGAGGAGGAAGAGACACAGTCGGAGACGGAAAGCGAGAGCAGCGAAAGCGAGTCGGAGAGCGAGGCCGAGAAGAGCGCCAGCGAGGCAGAGGACGCGCCCGTCGAGAAGAAGCGCGCCAATCTGACGAAACGCACGAAGCGGTACGAGGGACGGCTGACCGCTCTCAAGAAGGCCAACTACCTGCTCAAGACGAACGTCGAGCGACTACAGGACGACCTGAACAAGGCGAAGGAGGAGTCGAGCTCGTTACAGCAGGAGCTCGACTCGGTGCTGGCTGAATTGGGTTAAATTGCTTTTTATTGTCGCGTTAATCTTAACAAAAGCGCTCGCTAATTTAAGTTTTTTTTATATTGTTGTGTATTATAAACGTGACGTTTTCTTTACTTGTATAACCAAATGTACACATAATAAATGTAATTACTCACCAAATTGATCGGTTAATTAACAGGTGCACTTAAAATTGTAAAAACTCACATTTAAACTAGACAGCTACAAGCACAATACAAACAAACATTTTGAGGTTAGAAACTACGACGCGCGCTTGCAACGTATCGACTGTGGCTATTGTACCCACCAGTTACAAATTGTACAGAGGGAACGAAAATATGAGCCAAAGCTACTTTTTTTAGTAAATTCCAAATGCCAGATAGTGGAAGCATCGCGTTTAGGTCACTACCGAGTACGATCACAACACTAACCGCATAAAATAGTTTTAAAATCTACCCTTGAGAATGACAACCATGTGATGGAAGGTACGAAAATACCTAAAATGCCATCATTCATGATTCCATTTCTTCGATTTCAATCAAGGTCAATGTGTGTATATGAAAGAGATACGAAAAAAGTAAAGAAAGTTAACGGAGGCGCGAATGAGATGTAAGAGACGCGATAGGGTGGCGAAAGAGAAGCAAACGAAGCGCATAAGAATGAAATGAGTACGAATGAGACGTGTAAGAAAGACGCGCTAACGAAAGAGGCGAAGGGGCGCAATGAGGACGTAGGGGTGATGCCACACAAGCGCAAAGATGAAGGAAGTGTGAAAAAGACGCAAAATAAACTTGAAGAAGAAGGAGCAAGTAGAATTTGAAGCGGCGAGGAAAGTGAATGAAAAGAGGGAGTGCAATGATTGATAAAGTTGAGAGAGATGCAAAAGAGGTGCTAGGAAAAATTGAAGTAGCCGCAAATGGGGAAGTGAAAAGCGATTAGAAGTGTGGCGCAAGAAAGTGTTAAAAGAGGAGCGAATGACACGTGGAAGACGCAAAAATGAAACCTCGAAGAAGTGTTGCAGGAGCGCGAATGAGACGTAGAACAGACATAAAGGAGACGTGCGAAGAATGAAAGAAATGGGTTTGAAGCGGTGAAAAGAAGTAAAGGAAGCGCGAAAAGTTGAAGGGGACGCGAAATAAACGCAAAGACGTAAGGGAAACGGTAATGTTAAAAAAATATAATTGTGCGTAAAAACACAACATTACAATGTTAATAATATAATCAAATTATTATAAAGTAGGATCACGTCTTTCGGCCTTTGCACGTTCATTTTTCACCCTGAAATAAGTGAGAATTAAGTTAGAAATGGACACCAAGAAACCATACCTCTGTCCGCTATTGGTTAAAGCCTTCTGCTTTATAAAACTGCAGGTGTCTGTAATCTTGTGATTGGAACTGGCAAGTTTGATGACCCTATCGAATTGTTTCAGAAAGTTAGTGTACTTTTCAAATGCAAACTTGGTTGTGTCCTTCTTGGTAGAGGCCCCCGTCCACGAACAAGCGTGCACAAAATCCTTGCTCAACATGAGATCCAGGAGGTAGTACATAAGCTTAGTCGAGTCCAATTGCTTACCCATCTGCTCATAGTGACCGACAAAGTGCTCAACAAAGCCGTTTGCATACGAACTATCCCTTAGCGCCGCTTCTAAATCGTCAAAGGCTTCTTTGGTGGCAATCGGAAATCGTTGGGAAAATTCATCGCCGCCGCCGGCTTGATTGGCAGGGACTACTGCCCGACTTATCTTGTCGACTTTTAGTGTTAAGTCTTTTAGAAGTTTCAGGCAGGACTCGACATCTGCAACTGTCGCATATTGCCGATGGTCACAATTTGGAGGTGCAGGGTTCGATCCAGATCCGGTAGAATTCATATCAGCTAGAAATGAGTCCAATTTTGTAGCGTTCTTACGCAAAGTTAAATGTAATTAAACATTGTTGGATAAGGTGCGGTATGGAGAGTAAATCAACCCCAACATTTTACTCCTGATACACTCGCGATTGTTGAAACTGTTTAGTACAAGAAGATACGTAAATCGTGTCAGCTTACTCTGCATTCTTTTGTAATTTTTAAAAGTTGTCGACAATAAAAAGTTTGGAAATACATTTGCGAATCTGTGATCCTGATTATTTTTATAATAACATTAATTTGCAAAATTGGCAACCAAAAGAAAACAGCATAAACGAAGAAGAGATATTTGTATTAGGGGAACATAATATGTGCCCTCCTCAAAACACGTTTTTACCCCAGTTACTAAAATAATCTAAACACGACACTGGTTTACAATAAGGTGCGTACAGGAAGAGCGGCTTTCTCACGCACTACTTAAACTATTTGGACGCTATTTCGCGAGTCCCCCGTCAACTTGTAACGTAAACGATTCAATAAATATAATAGTTAACTAGGTGGTTCGTTATGTATCTAGTAACTTAAATGTTACATGCAAGTAACACAAAACGCCTAGCACTGTTATGTAACGGTGTAACGTAACGAATACGTCACGCTATGTAACATACATGTATATATATGTTACATGAACGTAATAAGTAACACAACGGAATGTCACAACAAATAACCCAGTTATGTATCGTATATAGGTACAAACATACATTACATTAGAGTAATATGTAATGCAACTGAAGGTTTAAGCAAATATGTAACATATATGTAACATTACGTTGCATGGGGGTTGTATGTAACGCAACTGAAGGTTACAGTAAATATGGTAGTTACGCAACAAATATGTATATGTTAGTATACATGAGAGCCTTGTAACGCAAACGAAGGCTACAGTAATGTAAAAATAACTAACTGCAGCAGTGAAAAAATAAAGATATATTCTTATAAAATAAAACAAAATAACAATTCCTAAAAATGTAGAATATTATCACAATAGATACATTTCAAATATTCATTAATAATATATATAATAAAATTATTGATTTTGGAGAGGTTTTTCTCTTGACTGTCTCAGCGTGCTTAAGCGTAACCACTCACCCACCGTCAATTCAATGGCACTTTCGCTAGTGTCGGGGAAAGTTTGCCGAACGGCATCTGCATAAAAGAAAGTTCTATAAGGCAAACTGCGTTCCCACCAAAACAGTTTTCATTATGTAAAAATAGTGCATCAATTCCAAATGCTTGAACGGAAAATGATTCGTTTTCCCAAGAAGGGAACAGCTAATCCCCAAACAAAAAAAGGTGGAATATAAATTTATACTTACACAAACACTGAACCAAAACAACACCGACTTATTTCCATATAGCGTCAAAAAGAACTTTATCTTTCGCTTGAAGTTGACTGTTGAGGTCGAGGTTGAGGTTATGTGTCCCGCAGCCGTTAACCTTTACTTTTCACTAGAGGTATATGCGTACTTCTTTTCAGATATACTTCACCTAACGAAATAGGTAATAAGAATTAATTGTATTAGAAAATAACGGTTTAACATCAAAAAGAAACAAGTTTTTACCTCTTCCCACAAAAAACCGTAGATAAACACCACAAAAATTCCGTTCATCAACCGCATTCGCGTGTCACATAGGAGATAGTAATGGCGTCTCACGACAGTACGAGACTGCGCAAAGGTGGTGTACCTATTTATGGATAAGAAAAGAAATTTTGCATTAACAACCTTGATGTACCTTCANGACCAAACAAAAGGGAATTTCTCGAACTGTGGGGCACTTTTCGAAAAACTACAGGTAGGGGGTTTTAGGTGGGCCCTTGGGCCTCCACGGTGTACTTATCCTCCGCGTGCAAAACTCACTCAATTTTAATAAATCAATTTTGAATTGCAACTTGCATTATTCGTATACCGCGCCATTGACCAAACAAAAGGGAATTTTTCGAACTGTGGGGTGCTATTCGAAAAACGACAGATAGAGGGTTTTAGGTGGGCCCTTCGGCCTCCACGGCGCCCTTGCTTTCCGCGTGCAAAACTCACTCAATTTTAATAAATCAATTTTGAATTGCAACTTGCATTATTCGTATACCGCGCCATTGACCAAACAAAAGGGAATTTCTCGAACTGTGGGGCACTTTTCGAAAAACTACAGGTAGGGGGTTTTAGGTGGGCCCTTGGGCCTCCACGGTGTACTTATCCTCCGCGTGCAAAACTCACTCAATTTTAATAAATCAATTTTGAATTGCAACTTGCATTATTCGTATACCGCGCCATTGACCAAACAAAAGGGAATTTCTCGAACTGTGGGGCACTTTTCGAAAAACTACAGGTAGGGGGTTTTAGGTGGGCCCTTGGGCCTCCACGGTGTACTTATCCTCCGCGTGCAAAACTCACTCAATTTTAATAAATCAATTTTGAATTGCAACTTGCATTATTCGTATACCGCGCCATTGACCAAACAAAAGGGAATTTCTCGAACTGTGGGGCACTTTTCGAAAAACTACAGGTACGGGGGGTTAAGTGGGCCCTTGGGCCTCCACGGCGTCCTTATCCTCCGCGTGCAAAACTCACTCACTCACACACTTGCGGAATTTGTCAACTTCGGGGACGAATTTGTCGGGGGTTTAGGGCTATTTTCCGAAAAGGGGATGAGAATTGGTCCCGGTGCCATCACTTTCGATGGCCATTGATAAAAAAAAAACAAAAAAAAAAACGAATGTAACTTCAGCCCGGTCCTAGTTATTTTTTGTTTTCCCGTTTAGGTTGGTACTACCCCAAAAGCGAATGTCCTTAAAAAAAAAAGCGAATGTAACTTCAGGCTGGTTATGTGCCCTCCTCAAAACACGTTTTTACCCCAGTTACTAAAATAATCTAAACACGACACTGGTTTACAATAAGGTGCGTACAGGAAGAGCGGCTTTCTCACGCACTACTTAAACTATTTGGACGCTATTTCGCGAGTCGGCAGTTGGTTTACACTTAACTTTGGGGACACTTTACATTTTTAAGTAAACAAACCTTTGAAAGTACTTCTTCAGGGAACGTTTGGAGCGAACACTATATACTGATTTGACTACTCACTTACTCAGAACAAATCGACATCCGCCTGAACTAATCGCCAAGGCCAGCGAAAAAGGTCGTCGGACGTCGGTATGAGTCAGTCCTCGACTTGAACCAGTGGCGTAGCTGCAGGCGCTCCCTCACGACTTGAAACAGCGCAGCCTTTCTGTTTCCCAAAACTGTTACGGGAATTCGTAAGGCATTGCGCTTTTATAGAAGAACGAAGAACTGAGGGTCTAGAGAAATACCCCCCTCCCTCCTTCACCCCGTACTCGGAGATTTGATTACCTTTTTTTAAAGGTTAACAAAGTATGAAACGTGCAGCAGGATTTTTACGAAAAATTATAGCAACGTCGAGGACATGAAAATATGTAAAAACGAGGCAGATCGTGCGACCAGGTCACCCCACCCCCACTCAAACTGTCGTGTTTTTCGACTTAAAAAATTCGTAACTCGAGAACGGCGAAAGCTACGAGTACGCCACCGCGGCCTAGGGGAGTGCGCCGAGGGTGGGCGCGTCGAACCGGGTAGGGTTTAATTTTTTAACGACCCCCCCCCGCGCGGGGGGGGGCTGTCGTAAGAGGTGAAAAAACACTTTTTCGGATCTGGACGGGAAGTTATTGGGCAACGAGGTCGATGCTTTCGAAATCCGTAGCCGTTAGAGGTGGGTAACCCCCCCCTCCCCCATCTCCGGGAGGTAGGGAGAGGGCGCAAAATGAGCTCGTTAGGCTGCTGTTGAGTATATGCGCGACTTTTTAACAATTCGTAGCGGTGGAAGAAGGGGAGATACGAAAAAACTTAACGTTGCGCGCCATTAGGCCGCTCTGTGGCACGAACTAATAGGGCGGTGTGCGAACCGCGTGGGAATTTTTGGGGGTAAAACGGATTGTCCCCCGGGAAAAACAAAAAAGGCGTTAAAGGAAGGCACAGGTGGAGAAACGTACGCGGGACGTCGAGACGCTTAAGACCCGCCGAGGTCGCACCCTCGTTCCTCCATCCCTTCCGCGCGACGTGGGGGGAAAGTCGAAAGGTTGTAGTGTCTTTGTGTATTTTAATATGCGAGGCGAAGCCGAGCAATGTGTCAACGGTCCTGTACAAGCGTGACACAGGGTGGCATTTACAGTGGTGTATACCCCCCCCCCCATTTCCTAGAGAGAGCTCTTTTCAATATTTTGGCGTTTATTCGGAGACGACGAGAGCTAGAACAATGCTGTTTTTTACGTTGGATTCCTATATCAGTTGGTCGCGTTCCAAAATCGACGGCGATTAGACTTCCGCCCCCCCCCCCTGCATTCCTCACCGCTGCGTAAAGGTAAAGTTATGGGCGCCTTAACGGGAGGACCTATATCGATGCTGCGGTTTTGCCTATTGACTTTGCAGTTCGATTGCGCTTGCGAGGCGTCGGGGCGCCCCTCTCTCACCCCACATTGCTTATAGATGGCAATTTTGGTGTTTAATCGGAAACGAGGGGGGCTACAACCATGTTGTTTTTTATGTTAGATCCCAATATCGCTCGGTCGCGTTCTAGAATCGACTGTAAATGCGCGAGGAGAGGCAGCGCAGCCTCCGATTCCGGAAGTGTGTCCTTTGTGTGTTTTAAAGTGCGAGGCGGAGCCGAGCAATGTGTCAGCGGGCCTATTTAAATAAGTGTGAGATTGGGCGTGATTGGGCCTCATCTACATTCGCGTTACTAATATACCTATGCACATGCGCAAATCCAAACTTTCTTATTTATGGAGCAATTTGTGTGATAGGTCCCTCTAATAAAAGAAAACAAAACGGTTAAGCAAAAAGTCGTACTGCGCATGCGCAAAACTCTACATTCTTATTTATGCCAGTAACTAATAAAGATTTGGTGTACAATTAAAACAGAATTAGATGTCATTTATCGTATGGAACAAAACGAGATAGCACACAGTATCCAAAACTGATTAGGTAACGTAAAAATACCCCATTTTCGACGGAATTTATGTGAAATTACCTCACGTTAGCGAAGTCTTAAAATGCCAGGCATTTTTCCCAACCTATGCGTCGAATTTTTATTATATTATTATTAAAAAAAGAATTGGATTAACCAAGAGACTATCGATATATTGGTTCTTTTTTGAGCCGAATCAAAATTCTTTTCCTTTGTTTTTCGTATTTTATAAACTAGCAACGTTATTATAAAATCAACCCCAACTACAATCACACAGCAATCAAGCAAAAAATTGATAAACTGAAAACAATAACAAACGAATCCCACTTTTCTGTGGCGCCCAACTGCTAATGGAAGGGGGGGGGAGGTATATTTGGTGTGGAATGGAGGGAAACTTGCCAAATGTTTAGTGTTAGCATTCATACGATAATTTGAGAGAAAACACCATCAACTTACTCTATACCCTTGTGTGGGAGAAGATAGTACCGGGGAGTCTGAGGGTATGGAATACTCCCAGCATACGAAGATGCGATTACCTTTTCCCAAAGCTTATTACCATAAGAATGCTAGTGGTAATATTGATGCGGTTTCCCATTTTTCCAAAGCATATTCTTTGGAACTTTTAGAGGATGCAAAAGAGGCGCGAATGAGACGTGAAAAAAAGTAATGAGGAAGTAGGGGGGAAGCAATAGAACCGCAAGGAAGTAGCTGGCCCTCCCCCAGACTTGTATCATCATCTAAAGTGTAAATTGTACCAGAACCAAGGAAACTTGTTCTTATTCAAATTTCTGAATCAGGATCACAGAAACATACCTACATCAGGAACCTGTACAAATTATTAAGGGGGCATAATTTCACAAATTGTATGAGAATCACAAAGCTGTGCATTAGGAGAAGGAGGTTTTACAATTGTGGTAGGGGTTGAGGTCTATTTTGTTTATAACTAAATTGTATCTCTCAATCTTAAAAATCGTTTACTATGACAAACTGCAATTGAAAGCAATTGTTTTTGGCCAGTGAAAGGGGGTGGAGTCACTTTTGAGGTTGCTGTAGGGAGGGGATGTCCCATCACCACAAATGTGGCATTAACAAAATACAAAAATCTTAAATATATTTCTAAAATTGCGTAGTTTACATTCACCTTAACATTCATAAAATCTCCCCAAACGAAAACGATACAATATGCGTTGATTGACGATTAAAAACACTAAGAGCCCCCGCAATTACCTGTAGCTGTTGTACTTCTGTAACAGAACTTTCACCTCGCTATCGACCTCGTCGTCCTAAAACCAGACGTTCAGCAAACAAAGCACCCAAAATCGAGATATTTACCAAGCTGTTGTCAACCATGGTGTTGGCGGTGCCCAACGCCTTAACCGCCTCCTTATATCTACCCAACGCGATCAAACACTTGCCGATCAGCAGCTTATTCTCCTTCCAATCGGCGCCCATTAGATTTTCTGCAAGTTGAAAGTGCTCGAGCGCCTCGTCGAACGTCCCGTTGGGAGGCTCGGCGAAAAACGTCGCGGCGACCTTACGCTCGTACCACTTCAAATTCGCCGACTCGTAAGTGAACCGACCGAGCATGTGGTGGAGCGTCGGGTCGCCGGCCTTAAGTCCGATTGCCGTGTCGATGTGCTGCTTGAACAGGTAACCGTCGCTGATCTTGCCCTGAATCGACTGCGTGTTCGAACGCATCCCGATCAGTATGGCGCACCACTTGTGGGCATCGGCTACCTTCGGGTTAAGCTCAATAGAGCTCTCGCACATCTCAATACCTAATAACAATTTAATTGGGGGGAAGACTAGAAGGAAATAATAACGAACATACCCTTTGTGATAAATTCCTGCTTCACGACGGGGTCGCTGACCGTCGAGATCATCTTATAACACGCCTTCCCGAAATGCCACAGTATCTCAGAGTCGCGCGGGTACTTCAGATTTAACTCGCTCAAGTTTTCGTAGGCGTTCTTAACTTTAGCCGCGTCGCCGGAGTTTAAATTTAAATCGATCTCTTGCAGAATCTAAAAGAAACGACAAACACGTTGAAACGATCCATTTATTAACGGGTATACAACAATTTGATCGTCAACAGCGACTCCCAGTGGTTTCTACACACCTGCTCGAGCGGTGTGATGGTGCTTTGCGTCGATTCGTCGTCGCTCAAATCGTAAAACTCCAAGTCGGAGCTGTCCGCCTCGTTAACGCTGTCATACGAGCGTGTGCTGAGCGTGGACGACGACGACACCTTGTGCAAATTGTGCTTTTTCCTAAACCGCTCTTTGCTGCAAGTCGAGTGTTAAACGAGCGACCAAGTGGAGCCGATTACCTTAGCTTTTGGGTGCGCAACTGCTCCAGCTCCGATTGAAGGCCGCAGACCTGCCGATCCAAACGGGCCAACTCCCGGACCATGGAATGTCTGCGACGTTCCTGGCGGAAGTGCTCCACGATGAACATGCCGGCTGCGCCCACGATACCGATAACGGCGGCCCCCAAGACGTAGAGAGCGGAATTGGAAGTCATGTTTGCGGGGTGAATGAGGTTAATCTACAGCTTGGAGGGCACCTGAAACTACACCATAGCGAGAGGCATCTTTAAAATTGCGATTAGACGACACAAACGGACTGGAATACGAAAAAACGAGGAGAATAATACATAAAAGATTGAGGGAAATGATACAAAACAAATCAAATTATCAACAGCGCCACCAAGTGGTCAAACGAGAAAGTCGATATATGTTAAAGGACGGTTTACATGCAGTTAGTATATACAAGATGTGCAGTATTTTATCCAATCTTGGAACTGATTGAAATTATTGATTCTACAGGCCAAATTCTATCAGAAAAACTTTTTTCTCGGTCGATCTCAGACATTTTTTTTCTACGGCCTCAAAAAAAGGCAGTGTATAACCTTCCTTTTTTACCAAAAATCGACTGTTCCAAAATTTCTCGGGAAAACACATTTTCTCACTAATTTTGGTGCGTAGAATCCAAAACGAATCGTACTTTTTCGATCAGACCTCTCAATCAAAAGTTATGGACCAAATTTCGAGAAAAAGTTCAAAGGGCTGTAACTTTTGATCCAGTGGTCCAATCCTGGAACTGTTTGAAATTATGGATTCTACGGGCCAAACTCTATAAGAAAATGTCTTTTCCCGGTCGATCTCAGACAATTTTTTGTGTATATATAACCTTCCTTTTTTTCCAAAAACGACTGCTCCAAAATTTCTCGGAAAAACACTTTTTCGTACTAATTTTGGTGCGTAGAATCCAAAACGAATCGTACTTTTTCGATCAGACCTCTCAATCAAAAGTTATGGACCAAATACAAATTTCGAGAAAAAGTTCAAAGGGCTGTAACTGTTGATCCAGTGGTCTAATCCTGGAACTGTTTGAAATTATGGATTCTACGGGCCAAACTCTATGAGAAAATGTCTTTTCCCAGCCGATCTTAGACAATTTCTTCCTACGGTCTCAAAAAAAGGCAGTGTATAATCTTCCTTTTTTACCAAAAACGACTGCACCAAAATTTCTCGGGAAAACACTTTTTTGTAGTAATTTTGGTGCGTAGAATCCAAAACGAGTCGTACTTTTTCGATTAGACCTCTCAATCAAAAGCCAAATTCAGATCATAAGATAAATCGCAACAAATCTACATTTCTGATTCTAAGGTTATCATGAGAGTGCTAGGAATAAACATAATTAACGAGTCCTTCTTTGCTAAGGGTACTGCTGGGTGATATTCCATACTCCCTAGACCAACCCGTGCTTTGTGCCTCCCAAAAATGTCACCGCTTAGCACTAAGGAACTCACTTTTTTAAACATTTCGGGAGAGAGCGTAGCCCCGGGTGGTTTGGGGAGTATGAGATACCCCCCAGCACACAGAACCTTTTCCCGGAAACCTACCACGACCGTTGTCAACAAATCTCCACTTACTGGGGGGTATTCCATACCCACCGGTGTTACGTTCTCCCCTAATCTTTCAACCCTTCCAACTCGATGTATGAATATCCTCCAGAAAAGAAAAATTCGATGATATTCCCTACAAAAATCATAAGCACTCATTTCCTTAAACATTTCGGGAGAGGGCGTAGCAGCTCCCAGCACACAGAAGGAATCAATTACGTTTTCCCGGAAAACTACCATGACAGATGCCAACAAAAGTCCATTTGCTGATGGGGAGGTACGTTCTCCCCCAAAACGTTCAGCCCTTTACAACTCTATTGTATGAAAGCATAGCACCGGGGGTCTGGGAGGAATTGAATACCACCCAGCACACAAAAAGAATTAATTACCTTTTTTCAGAAAACTGCTATGACAGTTGTCAACAAATGTCGTTACCCCGCTCCCCAGATACTGCCCCACCCCCAGGTCCTCCGGTGCTACGTTCTCCTCCAAACGTTCACCCTTTAGAACTCTCATGTGTGAGATGTCCCTCACAAAAGAAAAAAAATTGAAAAGAACCCCTACAAAAATCAGCATTATTTTTTTAGGTCTTTTTATGTCTTTATTGACTGGGAAGTGTTCTGTACCCCCCCAGACACCCCGGTACTATGTTTCACCCAAAAACGTTTAATATTAACAGTAAGCATACTTTTTCTTACAAATTTCGGGTAAGAGGGTAGCACCGGGGGGTCTGGAGGATATAGAAGGTGCTTTCTTTCGGTGATCCAAACGCGTTTGGATTGTCAAATCACGTTCTTTCGAAGTGTGATCTTATAATCATGATTGCTAAAATCGTGAACAAACTGAACATAAAAGTTTTATGATCACGAATTCCTAACCTATAAATGCAAGGATATTTTTGCTCAAATGTTAGGGGATAGTCAATGTTCGTAACTGAAGAGGAGCATAATCGTGCAAGTACTTCCACTTGTATTTAAATTATTTTCATAATCCAAACAAAAAATACCTAATTCGAATGCAAATGTCTACTTCGTAAACTTTACCATACTTTGATTTAAATTCGCGCGTTCTTTCGTAAAACGTGATCCTACGAATCACGATCTCGAAATCATGATTGCGAAGTAGTCGAAAGAAAGCGCCTAGAATACAATAATCATCTCCTTTTTTAATGTGAAATTTTTTATCATAATATTGTCGCTCCCTGTATAGTATGGAAAAATTGCAACGCGCAACTGACAACACTGTAAAAGTTAAAAGTGACATTTGTTTGATTTTGTGGTTAAGATCCAAAAACCGATTTTTGCGGCCTTCTCTTTTCCCTAATCGTCCAGTAATTCCCGTTAAGAAGCCCGAAATGTCGGTTTACACTCTCCTACTGGACTTTTCGGTCGATCCGAAAAACGTCAAAAACGAATCGCACCTCTCGTTGCTATCCTCGAACATCGAAAACGTTCTTCGCGACTACATCGGCAATCTCAAGTTGATCACGACACTTTCGATCGCCGGCGGTTCTTTAAACATTTACTCCGGCGACATGGGTAGCGTGATAAGTTTAAGAATTTTCGATAACGGCACGATAACCGTTAACATCGAGTATTTAAAGGGGGACGACAGCGACATTAACATACTGACGTTAGAGGTAATGGTTTTCGAGCTTAAAGGCCGTTGAGAGTAATTCGAAACTTTTTCGTAGTGTACAAAACAAATTGAACAGAAAATTTATGTAACAATAAGCTGCTTTCGGTCTAAACAATTCCCTCCGATAAAACGGGGCGGAAGTTTCGATGTTTATCTGACTAGCTCAGGTTCGGTTTACTTAAAACACACGTGTTCTTCTAGTTGTAGTTTTTGTGACACAAATCAGCTTAGCGCCTTTTTTCATATTACATTGTAGTAGTGCGATGCCCCCCGCATGTATTTTTTTCTTTAGCATGAAACATGTTGTAGAAATACAGAAAAATGGAGCACAATCTGAGAGGTTGCGGTATTTTAAACGATACCCGTTATCCGCCGATTCACAGAGGTACATTTTCCCGTTATTTCGTTTCGTCGGGTAGGTACAAGATTTTGCTAGTTCGCGATCGTCGTTCGATCAATTACGATCGGCCCGTTTGATTTTAGACGATCGGCTTTTGGAGTACGACATCGATAGTATACTGTTCGAGGAGCGTTCGCCGTATCAGAAGGTGCAGGTCGTCCATTCGAAAAGTCTAGGGAACATGCTCGTGCTCGACGATTTACAGAGTAAGGCGCGAGCGGTCCACGCCTCTTTATAGACGTCTCTGCTTGCAGATATTTCCGAGGCGGACTTGATCTATACTGAAACGCTAATGCTGCGCGGCAAGGAGGATTATAAGGACAAAGAGATTGTCATTTTGGGTGAGAGGCCTCTATTGGTTCACTTCTGAAGGACTGTCATTTGTAGGTGGCGGCGACGGGGCCTTGCTGTACGAGTTGCTGAAGGAGCAGCCGAAGCATGTGACCATGTTGGAAATTGACGAAGTTGTGATGCGGGCGTGCAAACAGCACATGCGTTCCATTTGCGGGGACGTTCTTGATCAAAAGTCAACTTCTAACTATCAGGTACTTAGATACCGTAACTGTAAGTCCCGGTGTCGGCTTTCAGAGCCTTTAATTAGATTAAGAGTCTTCGAAAGTCCTTAAAAACTAAACTATTGCTGTGGCCCCACGTTGGGCGCCAAACATTAATGCTGTGCGCCCCACGTTGGGCGCCAAATTATAATGATGTGTTTCCCTTTTCCCATTTATCATTACCAGTTGTTTAGTCGCCTTTTACGACACGCAGTGTCCTCTGCGGTAGGGGTATTCTTTCCCGGCCCTACACGGGTAAAACAAATCCTAAATATCGAAACCGTAACCAAATTTCAGGCCAACATTGTGTTTGGATTATTTTTCCCCTCCCCCTATTTTGGAAAAATGTTCACAAAATCGAATGAGACCCTCGGACAGATTTCCACCCTTCTATTTTTTTTTAGTAGATAAGCGTACTCTGGCCTTGAGATTTGCGCATGCGCCAAGCTCAAAATCATTCGATTCGGTTCTGTTTGTTGACTTGACCACTTGACGGACCTGTTTCTGTCGGCAAACAAAACTGAACCTTGAACTTGACGCATGCGCAGACCTCAAGGTCAAAGTTGTCAAAGATGTTTGTTTCGAATTTACGCATTACAGATCATAGTGGGCGATTGCATGAAATCGCTGGACCAATTCGTGAAGGAGGATCGCAAATTCGACTACGTCTTCGGCGACCTGACCGACGTGCCGATCGCCGATGATTCCGAGAGCGAAATATGGAACTTCGTCAAGAAATACCTCAGCCTCTCCTTCAAAATCCTAAAACCGACGGGCAAATTCATGTCGCACGTGCGTATACCGCTAGCGTCTCGATCGCCGTAATCCTCCCGCCCTTTATTTTCTAGGGTAACGGCGCCTGTTGCAGTCTGGCCCTCGAGAAGTACGAAAACTACCTGGCGACCATCGATCCGCCTCTGGTCGTCAACAAGTGTCAGGCCTTCATTCCGTCATTCATGGAATTCTGGGTCTTTTATCAAATTCACTTCGCCAACAAGGGATAACGATCGCTAAACGTGCTCGTGTAGTCAATTTGTAATTTAGGAAGGGTGTACAAAACAAATGGCGATGTCACGGCCGCTGCTCGGAATCGCAACGCACCTGCTAATTGTTTGCGTTGCCATTTCGAAAGTACCACACCCGCACCACTTACTCGGTATTGGGGGAAAGAGGTTGATTGGTGTATTCTTATAAGTATTAATTGTTATTTCTGCACGTTTGGTTCGTTACCGCAATCCGGCAAATTAAAAGCTTCTGAAAGCAACGCTTGTTTTATTCTCAAACACATTTTGTTAAAAAAAGCGATAATCAAATTCGGTTTGGGCCAAGACTGTAATTAAAACAACCATAAATTGGAGCAAACAAGACTGAAAAGTATCAAAAACATGAAATGTATACTGAACAAGTAAATTATAAAGAGAGAAATAAGTCAAAAATACAACAAACGTGAACTACACGATGCTATCTTGGCGACCGCTCAAATCAAGATGGCCACAACGTTAGATCGCGCGGTTGCCAGCTTTACAAAAATGTGTGAATCATCGAAGGTTGTATATATATATACACAGGGTGGAACCGCTCAAGATGGTTGTGCCTTTATATTGTTTTATTAAGTATTCATGTCGGATGACATTTTACCACCTGTTTCTTGCAAACAAATAATGCCAGATTTATGTCGAACTCGCCTTCGGCTTGCTTGGTAATTAGATACGATAGTGACTTGTTGACGCAGTTTTGATGCCATTTCTCTTCCGGTTTGGTCGCATTTTTTGACAACACAATGCCGGGAGAGCAGAAGAGGCGAGTTCGGCATAAATTTTACCACTATTTCTTCCAAAAAACGCGACATAAACGATAGTTACTAAAAGTTGACGCAGCTTATTTGATGACACTATCATCAGGTTTGACACAAGAGACAGTCCTTTTGGCCCCGGTTGTTAACCTAATGCCGAGCGAGCCGAAGGCAGAAATTTCACCACCTATCTATCCCAAAAGTAACTGTCCTGGTAGCTCTTAGGACATGGTAATCGATTTTGTCTGTATGGGACCCCCCCCCCTTCTATGGTCTCCCCCAAAATGTTTAGGGACCAAAGGATCGGAGGAGGGAGAGGGTTATGGAATACTGCCCAGCTATAAGGGGAATTGATGACCCTATCCCAAAAGCAACTGTCCTTGTAGCTTTTAGGAATCGATTGCTTCTGTGTGCTGGGGGGTATTCCATACTCCCCAGACCCCCCGGTCTGTGCTCACCCCCAAAATGTTTATACTGAACAAGTAAATTATAAAGAAAGAAATAAATCAAAATACAACAAACGTAAGGCAGAAATTTCACCACCTATCTATCCCAAAAATAACTGTCCTGATAGCTCTTGGAAAAAGGTAATCGATTTTGTCTGTGTGCGACCCCCCTCCCCCTTCTATGGTCCCTCCCAAAATGTTTAGGAACCGAAGGATCGAAGGGGGGGAGAGAGTTATGGAATACTACCCAGCTATAAGGAGCATTGTTGACCCTATCCCAAAAGCGACTGTCCTTGTAGCTTTTAGGAACAGATAATCGATTTCTTCTGTGTGCTGGGGGGTATTCCAGACCCCCCCGGTCTGTGTCCACCACCAAAATGTTTAGGAAATCGAGATGCTTATGATTTTTGTAGGGAGTAGTAGACGTCCCATACATGAAGGGTTGAAAGTAATGAGGCAGAATGTAGCACCGAGGGGTCTGGGGGGGTATGGAATACCCCTCAGTTCAGCTACAAGAGGAATTGATGACCCTATCCCAAAAGTGACTGTTCTTGTTGCTTTTACGAAAAGCGATTGCTTCTGTGTGCTGGGGGGTATTCCATACCCCCCAGACCCCCCGGTCTGTGCCCACCCCCAAAATGTTTAGGAAATCGAGATGCTTCAGACCCTTCAGTTCAGCTACAAGAGGAATATTGATGGCCCTATCCCAAAAGCGACTGTTCTTGTAGCTTTTAGGAACAGGTAATCGATTTCTTCTGTGTCATAGACCCCCCGGTCTATGCCCACCCCCAAAATGTGTAGGAAATCTAGATGCTTATGATTTTTGTAGGGAGTAGTAGATGTCCCATACATGACATGAAACCCATCGATATATAATTAATAAATGGACTGCGCGTGCCAATGCTAAGCACGGATACTGCAGATGAGAGAGAAGGGAAAATTAAGAGGCCAAGCTGTCTCTTACGCTTACGCATCTGATTGGTTCTTTCAGCAGAAGCGATCACGATCGCATTCAAATTAAATTGAAGGAACCAATCAGTTGCATAACCGTAAGGGACAGATTGCCCTATTAATTTTCCCTTCTCTCTCACCTGCAGCATCCGCGCTTATTATTGGCACGCCCAGTCCATTTATAATGATGATTATGTCGATGGTCCCTATGATCATTACATTATTACCGATAAAATATTATATATAAGATATAGCCCTGCTCGTGATAAAGAAAGGTCATTGTGTAAACTTTGTTAGGGTAACATATCAAATATTTTAAAGTGACCATAATATACCGAAAATAAAGATCGCTTCAAAAACAACAAGAACGTTAATGAATGTGTGAAGAAAGCAACAGTTGAAACATACTGCTGAAGAAAAGGAAAGTAGAAAAAGAGAGGCAGCTGACAGAGATGAAACGAGCGTGCAAGTTGAAAGTTTCAGTGAAAGATAGGTACGTTTAGCGCTATAGCATAATGTTTATGTCGGAACCCTTAAAAAAACTGGAACCGGAACCGGTCGCAGAACGAGAACCCTTAACAAATAATTCTACCTAAGTAATGCGGAACCGGTTCCTATAATTCGTAAAAGGCGGAAAGGAAGGTGCGAATGTGACGTGAAAAACGCGCAAAATGTGTGGAGAGCAGTCGCCAAAAGAATGAAAAGGCCGGTTTAGGAACAATGGAACAAAGGAAGAGGTTATAACTGAAAAGTTCTACAAAGTTACGGGTAAGACCTAAACAGATCCTGAATAACTCAAGAAAATCCCGCAAATATGCGTAAGAACATGTTCTGACCAGGTTCGTTCTTGTTTTATTCAACTGTTTTTGTTAGGTAATCCACAACCAACTTTGCAAAAGTAAGGATTGTTATATGGGTCAGTGAAATTCATAAATGTCAGGATTTTTAGTGGATCGGACCGAAAAGGCGTTCTGAGTTTTTAAGGGGGTTTATTTAAAACGTTTAAAAATGTACAAATAACATAACAAAATTGGTACTAACTAAACAAACCATATCTATTTGGACTTAAGACTACACCAAAAATTGAACTAAAACGTAAAATAAAAAAAACAGAAACCAAAAAGATCTAAACTATTTACAAATGGAGCAAGTACAGTCACAGATTCTTCATGGAAGACTAAGAGATTCGTCGCGCGCGGAAACTAATGCCTATTTACGTTGTTCATCTGAACGTCTTTCGATTGCTGAGGTCCGATGTGACCGGTCGCCAGCTGGAGCGAGCTCAGGCGATTCGCCCCCCTCACTAATCTCCACACGGCGATTATTAGCAGGACGCCGCCTAGGGCGAAGAGTACGCCAGTGATGGAGGCGTGAGCGACTGGAGGCACTTGGTTCGCCAATCGCATCAGGTTCGTTATTTCCTCCGGGAGTCCGTCGACCGCCTGCGAAAAATTGCGTGTATACCACACCGCCCACGCGAACGCGATACGTACCTCCTCGAACCAGAGAATCGGAAAGATGATATCGGGGAAGGTCGCCACCTGCTTAATGTCGACGACCTGGGAGACGGCCAGGTTTATCTGGACGCGCGCTCGCGCCGCCAACGCTGTGCCCATCATCTATCAAAATGTCTAAGTGCAACGAGTCCAAAAATCTAAAGACACTCACCGGCTGAACGTCCAGGTATAGGCGATGCTTTTCGGGATCGGGAGGCGAGATACCTTCCAGCGCGGTCCGATAGGTGTCGTCGGCGAGGTAGAAGTGGGGAAACGAAAGGAGAACCGGCGAGTCTGGCGAGTACAGGAGTTACGGCGGAAACGCCCCCGATCACCTTCTACTTACCGAACTGACAGAGAGACACGTTGAAAAATCCCGAAGGCGCGCAAGGCGGTCCGTGGGGGCAGAAGCACATGTTTTCCGGGTTTTCGTCGGCGTTGGCAAATACGTCCAACGGAGGGCTGAAGCGATACGCCGGGACGCCGTCTTTGCGCTCGACCTCCTTCTGAAATCTACACAAACTCGTTAGGCGCGCACGGTGCGGCGCGTCTCGCGGAACTCACTTCAAGGGTAGACGCCGGCACAGATCCTTGTCGAAGATATACAGGGTGGTGTTCGGCGTTATACCGGGTGGAAAGATCGAACCGTCCGACGCGAGCAGGCTGTTGCACTCGTCCGTCAGCCAGTGCGAGTAGTGCGACATTCCGTTCCACTTGTTGATCAGTCCGAACTTGGTGATGTCGGTGGCGCCGGTGAACACCGTGAGGGTATCCGGCGAGGTGCGGTTTTTCTGAAATCTCGACAATTCAAGTTCGTCTCGCGCGATCTCGCGAATACTCACGTTGTACATCAGGCCGAACTCCTCGTAGGGCAGCTTTTGCTCTTTCGGGACGACGTCCTTCGCGAGCTTCAGGAGCGGATCCTCGTAGCCCCAGAGGAGCTGCCCGACGGAAACTTCGACGAACGGTTTTATCTTGAGTATGTCCATTATGCTAGCCATCGCGAGACGCAGAAAGCGGGCGGCGTGTTTCGATTGCGATGTTGCGCTCTTAAAACAAAATTTGAGTTAAGGAAAGACCTCGAAGCTCGACGCAAATAATTCAAATAGAATTTTATATCAGGGCACAGAAGGACAAAAAAATAAGAAAATTAGATAAGCCATAAGGTAATTTGGTAGAAATTCTGAAGAAGGGGAAGCAGAACTTGAGAGAAATTCAAAAGGAATTTGGCAAGAGCTTGAGGCACTTTATGAGGAAATTTAAAAACTTAAAAATAAAGGCCACAAATACAAAACAAAAAACTCAGTGAAAGTATGAGAAGAAATTAACTTGAGGAGAATTTGAGGGAAACGAGAGAGGGCGCACTCGAGGGAAAATTGGTATGAACGTCAAAGGAATTTGATAGCAAGTGTATTAAAAGACAATTAAGAAATTTGAGGTGCAAAACAATTTTTAGGGACAATTTTGAGCCATGTTTCACTTTTCTGCAATGAAGTATTTGTCAAAACTCATAAAAAGTAAAGAGAAGTATTGAATAACCCCCCCCCCCACACACACCCAGCAACAGAAGATTCTATGAAATTTCCGGAAAACCATAAACCATCAGATCGCTTGTTGACATTTTCTCCCTGACTCTCATAATAGTTTAGGGGAAGAACATAAGATCCTTTTCTCCTAAGAAATACTGCAGAGAACACGACACCGGGATGGGAGAGGGGGGAGGTCTGGAATACCCTCCCAGCAAAGGAAGATTCAATGATCTTTTCCAAACAAAAACGCAAACTTCCTAGAAACAGACTTGATAATTTCTGTTATAATATACAGTGGGGGAGGGGGGGGGCGGTATTTACTAGGGAGGAGGGGTATTTACGACTTTTCAAAAAATACAAACTTCCTAGAAAATCCTCTTCTTCTAAGAAGCATTACAGGGAAAGTGGCATCTGGGGTCTTGACTCTCATAATAGTTTAAGGGAAGAACATAAGATCCTTTTTTCCTAAGAAATACTGCAGAGAACACGGCACCGGGGGGCGGGGGACGTCTGGAATACCTTCCCAGCAAAGGAAGATTCAATGATCTTTTCCAAACAAAAACGCAAACTTCCTAGTAGAAGCAGACTTGATAATTTCTGTTATAATATACAGTGGAGGAAGGGGGGAGGGGGGTATTTACTGGGGAGGAGAGGTATTTACGACTTTTCAAAAAATACAAACTTCCTAGAAAATTCTCTTCTTCTAAGAAGCATTACAAGGAAAGTGGCATCTGGGGTCTTGACTCTCATAATAGTTTAGGGGAAGAACATAAGATCCTTTTCTCCTAAGAAATACTGCAGAGAACACGGCACCGGGGTGGGGCGGGGTGGGGAGGGACGTCTGGAATACTTTCCCAGCAAAGGAAGATTCAATGATCTTTTCCAAACAAAAACGCAAACTTCCTAGGAGAAGCAGACTTGATAATTTCTGTTATAATACACAGTGGGGGAAGGAGGAGGGGTATTTACTGGGGAGGAGGGGTATTTACGACTTTTCAAAAAATACAAACTTCCTAGAAAATCCTCTTCTACTAAGAAGCATTACAGGGAGTGGCATCTGGGGTCTTGGGGGTCATAATATGCACGGGGGGGGGTATTCCTTCATACTATATACTTAAAAAAACACAACTTCTTAGGAAAATCAAATTTGATAATATCCATCATAATATACCGAGGGGAGGGGGAGTGGGATTTACTGGGCGGTATTTTATTATAATATACTTTTCCAAAAGAAAATACAAACTCCCCAAGAAAAACAGATTTGATAACTTCCATCATAATATGCACTAGGGAGTATTCCATACCCCCCAAACCCCCCGATGCTACGTTTCCCCTACAAATCATTTAGCCCTCAAGAAAAACCTAATCGTGTTTGGGAAGATCTTCTAAGAAGTATTGGAGAGAACATGGCACCGGGTTTGGGAGGTATGGTATCCCCCCCCCCCCAACAGAAACAGATTCCACGAAATTTTCCAAAAACACACAAACTTCCTAGGAGACCCACACTTAATTTCCATCCTAATATACACTGGAGGTATTTGCTAAGGGGTATCCCATATAAACTTTACCACAAAAAAGACAAACTTCCTAGAAAAACAGCCCTTATAATTTTGGAGGGTTACTTACTGAGCGGTATTCCATTGTAATATATACTTTTCCAAAACTCCCTAGGAAAAGCAGACTTACTAACTTCCTAATCCTAATCCTATACACGAGGGGGGGGGCATGCGCCCAGACCTCTCGGTCCCTGCGCTTTCCCCCACAAATCGTTTACCCCTCAAGAGTGAAGACTTTCATAATAGTGTTTGGTTTTTGGGAAGATCACCAGATCCTCTTCTCCTAAGACCCCCCCCCCCCCCGAGAAAAGGAAGATTTCATGCTCTTTTACCCAAAATCGTCCTAAAATCTTCATTTTCATACCTACTTTCTGTCAGGAACGCACCGTCACTTTACCTGACACCTGTCATCACTGACAGATTGACATTCATTACAAGCTATATATAAAAATTGAAATTTTGTATTAAAAGACGATTTCGGGTAAAATTTAATGCAAAACTCGTCAGTAAAATTTCATTATCTGACTCGCAAATTTAAGTATTCGGCCCCAAAGGGGCCTCGCACTTCAATATTTCCTCGTCAGTAATGTATCATTTTTCTGACATTTATGTCGGTAAAAACTATTAAAAAAACATAAAATTCCTACAAGACACATCATAATATACACTGGTGGTATTTATACTGGGGGGGGGTATTTACTGAGGGTGTGAAAAACAGGTACTGGGGGGTGATACCCCCAGAACCAACTGGTGCTATGCTGGCCCCACAAACCCCCAAATCATTTAGCCCTCAAGAATTTCATAATAGTTCTTGGGAATAAACTTCTCGTTAGAAGTATTGCAGAGAACGTGGCACCGGGGGTCTACGCATCCCCCTACAAATCGTTTAGCATTCAAAACCTTCACACCCCTTTGTCCTAAGACGTATTGGAGAGAACGCGGCACGGAAGGGTATGGAATCCCCCCCTCCAACACATCCAGATTCAATGATCGATTCCAAAGAAACACAAACTTCCTAGCGAAAGATGACCATTTCCATCATAATGAGTACTGGGGGCTACGGCCCAGGCCTCCCGGTAGTACGCTGTTCCTAAAAAACGTTTAGCCGTCAAGGCTTTCATAATAGTGTTTGGGAAGATGATCAAATCCTTGCTCCAAACCCCCGGCGCTATGTTCTGTGCAAAAAGGTATTGCACAGAACGTGGCGCCGGGAGTTTGGGGGGTTTTTAAATAACGGGCGATCAAAAATGAGTTGCTGTCGAGTCACCTTTGGAAGTTCAAGTTAAATACGATTTCTTATGTAAACAAAAAGTTCCAAAGGTGACTCGATAGAAGCTCATTTTTGATCGCATAGTACCCCCCAGTAAATGAGGATTCAATGATCGCTTCCAAAGAAACGCAAACTTCCTAGCAAAGGAAGACTTGACTTGATCATTTCCATTGCAACCCCCCTCCCTCTTGTGGCACGCTGACCCTCACAGAACGTTTAATCCTCAACGCTTTCGTAATTGTGTTTGGAAATATGATCACATCCTTTCCTCCAGAAACTATTGCGTACGTAGCATTTCAATTTCCGAAAAATCCCCCCCCCCCCCCACAGTAAAGCTTTCCCCATAAAACTTCCAACCCTTAAGACTAACATTCCCGGAAAATTAGACACCGCCCGATAAAGGAGGATTCGATAACTCCTTTTCGTATAATCCCCTCATGAGAGTTTTTTGGAAATGGCAATGAACCATCTTATCGCCTCCCCCCAGACCCCCCGGTAACATTCTTCCCCAAAAAACGTTTGCCATGACGGCTTTTAGGAAGATTATCAAATCCTCAGAAAACCCTCATGGGGAAAATGAGTTATCGAGTCTTTCTCTCTTTGTCGATGGTACTGCTGGGGGTTATTCCCCCCCCCCCCCCACCGTGTCGTTGCCAAAAATATTGCACTAAATCTTCTTGCCACCTAGAAATGTGCTTCCTTCCACCATAACTGCGGCCTTCTTAGAAAGCGATCAGAAATAAGTGACCGTCTAGTCACCTTTGGAAATTTACATGAATCGAAAGCGACTCGACTGTTACTCATTTTTGTTCGCCCGTCTACCTCTGGCAGGAAGTATGACTAGAAAATTTCGCGGAAACCTTAAAAGTTCGCCTCCTAGAAGCCGTAGCGACTCTTGGAAATGTTGATTCACTGATCATTCCACGTATTCTTCCCTATTCACTAACCATTTCCCACGCCCCTGTGTTCTAGGCCATTGAAACTACTCAAAACTTGGACATTGGAACTAATAATCAAATTCGCGCGGTATAATTAATTCGACGTGTAGTTCCGCGTAGCGCCAAACTGGGTCGCTACCGTGCCGAAGACACTCACCAGCATCGGAATGTTGGGAACGACGACTACGTCGTCCTCCGAGCCGACGGACAGCTCCTCGCTGAAGAAGTAGAGCTTCTGCAGGTTGTACGATACGGTGCCGTTGTCGTTGAACGTCACGTTCATCCTCTCCCATGCCTCCCTGAAATTGGAACGCGAATCTCAGTCTCATCTTTTGACGACGATAGAAAGCCGCCGCGCGTTTCGTAATCTAATTATGATAATGTACGGCGTTGTGTGTGCGTGTGAGTTATATAAGAACGGAAAGTGAAATTTTGTAATATAAGTAAATAGAGAAAGTCGCCGAGTGATCGCGTTTTGTTGATACCCGCATTGTTGATCGGTTACGCAATATACGTACGTGTAGACGTAGGGGCCGAGCTCTTCGACGATCGGCTTGGAGCCGTTGTTTAAGAAGTCATCGGCGTTCGTCACGTTGTAGACGTAGATCGAGATCCGCGGCGTGACCGGCGGCTTCCTCCACCAGCCGAACGCCTGCGAGCCGTTCTTCAGGACGATTTGCTGCAAAGGGAACGTTTTAACGGACGTCGTCGCGCGCGCCTGGTACTTACGTGCTGCACGACGAGGTTGACCCATGTCATGAAGAAGATCGCGACGATTATGCCTAGGATTACGAATAGGAGCGCGATTGCCGCCACGATCCCTGCAAGAGAGTGAAGGTGTTTACGCAATGACCTAAATAGTTAGCGCGATTACGTAAAGTTATAGGCAGTTCTTCCAAGGAAGTTATTGTTTAAAAGTCACCTTGTACTTTCGTACCTGCCACACGGTCGATGTGACTAATTAAGAAATTGATATGCGTAAACTACTGTCACCGAGAAGATATTATGCATAAATTCACGATGACGCGCGAATACTTACACCATTTACGTAGAAACGCGCTGGAGAGTTTCGCGCAAATCTTCTCTCTGCCGCCCTTCATTTTCGTAAACTAATCTCGCGGAGGATTTAGAATGTTGCGTTCTCTTTAGGGGGCGATTGTCATTCCAGGCACTGAGAGCGGCAACTGGTTGCACATTCTTCAATACACAATCCGAGCTCGGAGAAGTTCCCACACCTTGTTATACTAATTCCAAAGGTTTCAGGATAGATAAACAAGTTAATTAAAAACGCTTTTTTGTGCACACGTAACTAAATATTAATAATGTTAAAGCGAACGAACAAGGTAACCCGGTTTAACAGCCACTTTTAATTGTAATTAACAATAGAAATCGCATTAATATAAAACTCGACCTTTAGAAATTTTTCAGCGCGCGCGTTTCGTTATAGCCGCACTTTCACTTCAAACCGTGTAGGTCGGTATTTTCGGTATTAATTCACAAATAAATCGCGACGAAGAAAAATAGGCCGCGCTATTTAGAAAGCGGCTACGCGGATGCTAGGCGACCGTGGCACCCGAAGAAGTGGAAGGCGCCCGAGTTGAAGTTAACGGTTGGGTCACACCTGATCAACTCCGCGTTTTCCCCCCTTGGCCGCGTTACTTGTTTGCATTCCCCACCGCCCGATTCGATTACTAAATTGCACATAAAACTTGCACTCGGAAATCGTACAGGTAATCAGTTTCCCGCGCAATTTGCGAAACGGCGCGCGCGCGCTCTTTTTTTTCCCGCGACGAACCCGCCATCCTTGTAAAACGGGTCGCGGACCGCCCCCCCCTGTAATTACAACCTTTCAGTAATTAATTATCGGTTCAATTATTTTTCGAACAGCACGCGCGGCAAGGCCGAAAATTCCAAAGAGGTAATAAGGTCGAATTCCCTGAAGGTACTTACCCAAACAGGCTCGATTGCTGAGGGCGGACGAGATTTTCGACATTTTTGGGAAAATGTCCGCTCGATACTGGCCTTTTGTTTGGTGGAGCGTGCACGGAGCCGTTCGATATAATTATAAAAATGATACCTGTCGTTCTTGGCAAAGGTGGGGAATCATTCTTATAGTTGCAATTATGTTGTTTTATTTGAAACACGCCACTCGTTAAACATTGTATTTTGTACCCGTTAGTATTTGAATAATGACCGTATCAATGGTAATTGTTTCTTAAGTACGTTCGCGTGTAAAACAGATACAGCTTTAGCACCATTTATAAAGACATCTGGGTGCTCCCAAAATGTCCGGTCGTTCCAAAATTCCCAATTTAAATCGATTCGATAAAAATGTGACATGAGCACATGACGATATTATTTTCTTGTTCTTCTGACACAAACAATCTCCAGAAGTTTATGGTCCTCTTCGTAGGTGTCCAGTTTCCTTACCCGAACTCGCTTTGGTGGTCTTCTCACCGCCGTTGCTCACGAATCCGACGGGTTCTTTGGGTGCAATATCCACGTCAAACGTCGCGACGGTCCAGAACGACACCAAGATCTCAACCTTGGCTAAGGCTCAACATCTTCCAGCATCCCTCGGAGACGTCCAAAAAAACTGAACCCGTGTACTGGCCCGGTTTCTGTAACATAACTACGGCACCGTCACGCCTTCCTCGGATTGGTTGTCCTCTAGGTCGCAGACCGCATCGACTCGACGCAGGAATCTTATCTCGGTTCCGTAGTCGCGAGAAAACTGACGTTCCCTGCAAAGACATCGGCCTTCTCGGCGTCCCGTATATCGAGCAACGGGAGCGATTGCGGAAGAGAGTGGCGCATCCCCTTCGCCATATCGTAGGGGTTGTCCTGATACAACCACTTTTGTAGCACAGGAGATGCTGACGAACTTTCTTCAAATGCAAATTTTTCGTTTGTAGAAACGATTGTATCAGGATCGCATAAGGGCGATGAGTATTTATACAATTTATTGTTCTCCTATCGGGGTTACAAAAGTGCGAGTAGATATAGGTGTTGCTGGCGGATATTTGGTCACTTATTACTACACATATTTCATCTTGTTGTATTATATCGGGCGCACAGAAGGACAAGAAAGTGTAGGATCAATTGCCAGACACCTTTTTCGTCGTTATGTTGTAATGATGTAACTTTTAAATTGTTTCTGAATCCCAGGATTGCAGAAACAAGTATAAATTGTGCACAACTGCTGTGCAGATAAAGCGCATTTTTTTAACCGAAATAGCTTTTGTTTTGGTATAAGGGAATATACCCGATGACGATAAGAGGGATACGGTTGGTAAAAATTAATTCCTTTCGTTGAGACCTTTCATTAGAGTACCATGAAGGATAAAACTAGTTCCACCCCCCTCTTGCCCCTCCGCCCCGTACTTTGATAAGAGAACAGAAAGAAGGGCAGTAGTTGGTAGAGACCTTTAATTAGAATACAATGAGAGATTAAATTATTTTTTAACAGCCCCCCCCCCCCCCCTAAAGTTTAACTTGGCACCACTGAAGGCATGCGTACGCAAAATCTGAGACCAATTGGTTGTCATATGTAACAGTTATGCACGTTTTACTTTCAAAAACAGCATCTCAGGAAATAATTAGTGGGGGGGGGGGGGGTTAGACAGCGAAATTTGATGGTCGTCTGGCACACCTTCAAGGTATAGACTACCTACTGCAAAAAATTCCAGGACTCTAGGACCATTCCCCTAGAAGTAGTTCAAAACGGCAGAAGTGGGTCCGGACGGACGGACGGACAAAACGCAAACAATAGCACATTTTTTTAATTCTTAAAAAATGCGCTAAAAATATAAGTGTTTGCAGACAGACTTTATCGCTTATTTCCTTATAATACACATTTTTCATCTAGAAATGATTGTAGTAGGGTCCCAGAAGAGCAAGGAGAACTTATTATCAGACCCCTTCCTCCCAATTATGTTTTTCTGATACTATTATGGTTCAATCGTATCGGGCGCAAGTGGATGTAGAAGTTACTGCCGGACAAGTACATGTCCGGGATTCCCATAGAATTTGAAAGTGATCGTATCAGGAGAACATAATGGCAAAAAACGCGTCTGACAACAATTCCTTCACCTTATCCTACTTCTGCAATCCTGATACAGCGATTTGTAGACAAAATTTGCATCAGAAGAAATCGATACGAGATTAAATGCTAGCGATTGTATCAGGAGATACATAATGGTGATCAAGGTGTCTGACAATTTCTGATCCTTCTGTAATCCTGATATTCCATACATCTCAGACGGTGCTACGTTTTGTGCAATATTTTTTTGGAGAAAAGGATCGGGGGGGGGGGGGGTATACAATCCTCCCGAGATATACTATGACGGAAATTATCAAGTCTTCATTTGGTAGGAAGTTTGTGGGTTTTTTGGAAACGATCATTGAATCTTCCTTTACGCGGGGGGGGGGGGGGAGGTATTGCCTACCCTCCAGACCCCCCGGTGCTACGTTTTGTGCAATACATTTTTGGAGAAAATGATGTGATCATCTTCTCAAAAACCATTAACAAAGTCTTGAGGGCCAAAGGTTGGTGAAAGCCTTGAAGGCTGAAGGTGTTCTGGAGGACAACATAGCACCAGGGAGGAGGGGGGGGTGTCTAAGGCGTATGGAATACCCCCCAGATATATTATAATGGAAATTATCAAGTCTTCCTTTGCTGGTGTGTATTCCATACCCTCGAGCCCCCCCCCCCCGCGCTACGTTTTAAGCAATACTCTTTGGGAGAAAAGAACCCTTCCAAAAACTATGAAAGCCTTCAGTGCTAAAGGCACCGGGGGATCTGAGGGGTATGGCTTGTGACGCACCCTTTTCGTCAATTTGTTCTCTGGATACAACCACTTTTAAATCGTATCGGGATCACAGGAATGCAAGAAGGCGTGAGAGTTGCTGACAGATACTATCACGCCTCATTTCCTTCTAACACAAATTTTTCTTCTGAAAATGGTTTGCACTATCAGGATCACAATACACAAAAAGTGTATATTACCAGACACCTTCTTCGTCATTATGTTCGCCTGATACAATTACAAGTTACATAATGCAAGACCCTATTATTGTTGTATTAAGATCACAAAAGCACAATAAGGTGACTGACCTCACATCTTATACCTTCTTACTGTTATAATAAATTATAACCTAAACCTTCTTGTTCGTCAGTGATTCTGATACATCTAATCCTAGACAACGCATTTTTATCAGAAGGATATGATACGTGATGAAATGCCGCATCTTCGTACATGGATCAGGGGATCAGAATGGCAAAGGATGTGTCTGAGACAACATTCATACCCCTTCTTCTGCAATCCTGATACAGCCATTTGTCGAAAAAAATCTTTTAATCAAAAGACAATAATACGAGATAAGCGCAAGTCATTGTATCAGGAGACGAAGAATCCTTCTGTAATCCTCATACCACTATTACTACAAAAAAATTTACAAAAAGAAACTGATGACTCAATAAATTCTACATCCGCTTGCATTCTTACAATTCCGATACAATTTAAAAGTGAAGAAGGATAAGAATGACGAAAAAAGTGTTTAACAATAACCTTCTTGCGCTTCTGTGAACCTGGTACACCCATTTCGAGACATCAAATTTGTATTACAAGAAAACGATAAAATAATCTTTGTGTTTCCGTAATCCTATTACAATTTGTAAAATATTATTGTGCCAGGAAAACATAATGGTAGCAGGAGAACAGGAGAACATCGAACGAGAAGAATAAACCGTATTATTAACCCTCTACCTTCTTGCCGTGGTATGATATTGATGCGACAAATTTGAAATAGAATTTTCTATTAGGAGAACAGAAATCGTCTGATCTGTGTTCCTAATACAACTTAAAATAATTCCATCGGGAAAATATATTTCACAATAATACGTCTAAAGTGTTCAGAAATTAGGAGAAAACAATACGTCTTTCTGTGATCCTAATAGGAAGATCAAAGGAACATGAAAAGGTACCTTTTACTACGAAGAGTATTGCTATCAGGAGACTAGAAATGGTAAGGTAGTTTTGGTGAGAGGACCAAATCTGGTACCAGGGCAAGTTTCATTGTTTCCGGTTGCTGCCTACGTCATTTAAATGAAAGTAGCAGGCGCGTTGCTGTCAAAACTAATCCTGTTCTGTCAACAAGTGGCCTGCATCGAGCCAGAATGGTTCGACACCAATGTGCTCGTCAACAGGTCGTACAGATGGACGGAGGGCGTCGTCCCATACGAAATGGACGGAAGCCACGGATTCGTCAACGAGTGGTACATATGGCGAGCGATGGCCGTCTACCACCGAAACACGTGCGTTCGGTTCGCGCAACGTCGGACCAGCGATCGCGACTGGGTTCACATCACCTCCAAGGGGCGCGGTTGCTTTTCGAAGGTGGGGCGTGTCGGCGGGCGGCAGACCCTGAATTTGGCTCGGGCGGGATGCACGAGCGCGGGCGTCGTGCTACACGAACTTATGCACGTGATCGGCTTCCTACACGAACACAATCGACCGGATCGCGACGAGTACGTCCGAGTGTACCAGGAGAACATCTTAGACGGTACTCTAACTCGATTGGCATTTCCCCGCTCACGTGCCTTTTTTTACAGGGGCCCAAGAAAACTTCCTCAAGCTGGCTCGAAACGTGACGTTCGAATTCCCGTACGATTTCGACTCGATTATGCATTATGGGCAGTTCACGTTTAGCAAAAATGGAAACGCGACGATGAGAGCGAAGGGACCTACTACGAAAAATGGGCGAAAGGATTTCTTCAGCGAAACTGATCTGGCGAAAATTCGCCTAGTTTACAACTGCACTGGTTACCAGGCGCTCTCCCCTAATTCGCGCTACGTTTTCGCTGGGATTGCGTTTGCTGGTACCTATCGAATGTGGATACCGTAGCCGTATTCCTTTCACTACTCTAAGCGCCAAAGTTCTTTCAAGTTATGATTTGAATCAGGAGCCCAGTTATAAAACGTATCATGTTCTCCTGGTACAAAGCTATTTATTGTAATAAAAAGGTTTATACCCTCCCGATACCGTACCCATATTTCTTTCTCGTAGCTCGGTCGATATTATGATTCCGATCAGGAGCACATGTTGTACATTTTCGCAGAAAATAGCAAATTTTAAAAAATAAACACCAATTATGCGAATGACGACTGCGAACGCGTTCAACATTCCGAAGTTTGTACAGGTAACAAGCGCGCGCGATTAAGTTAATACCTGAACGAACCTTGAAAACATTCCCAATCTCAATTTACAGTGCAATTAAACACCTCATTTATTATCGTTACAATGCGGTTAATTATTCCCGTGATTAGGCGACGGTAATTGTAGACGAAAATTCCGATACTTGGACTTTCTTAATCGGAACGTGGAAATTTGAACCCAAAATTACATTATATATAGGCGATAAAATGCGATGGATTAATGATTACTCGGATCGTAATCGAAGTAAAGGCGTCCAAGGGAATGACAAGCAATTTATCGATTATTATACTTTGCTGATATCAAATAGCAGAATGACTATACATTTTTGATATCAAGTGAAAGAAACTCTATGGAATTTATTGGGCCCATTCACTAAGACCCCCCCAAATCCCCCGATGCTACGCTCTCACACAAAACGTTCACTCCTAAGAACTCAATCTGATGGTGTTTTCTAAAAAAAAGGCTAAGTCCACCACACGTTTTGGGGAAGAATGTAGATCCCGGGGGGGGGGGGAGAATCCGCATTCTTGAGGAGGGTGGGGCGTCTAGGGAGTATCGAATAAACCCCAGAAAAAAGAAAGATTCCTTTTCCTACAATTATCATAAGACTTTCATGCGCTAGAGAGAATAGCTGGGGGGGTACTCTATGTCCCCAGTCTCCTCCCGGAATAAAAAAAGCTGCTCGCTCACTGGACTCTCCTACTACGCAAAGTAAAAAGGGAGCCTTAAGGTATCAAAAATTTCCCGAAAATTCTTTAAATTGAAAGCAAATGTACCTCCCCATTAATTCAATTAATAAAGCGGCCACGTTATGTTCTCCTGATAAGCAAATCTTTTCGCTCGCTAATACTAAAACCAAGGCAAATCGTGTCAGCGCGTGTTAAATCTACTCGAAAAGAAAATTATTGGCTTAGTTAATTTTGAGTCGTACTACTGGCGACTTTTTTCCAACCCATCCTGCTATTAAGAACTGTTATCAGTTATTATGTTCTCCTGATAGTTCTTTAAATTAGGAACAAAAATCCGAAGGAAAAGTTTTTGATCATACTCTCTAAAATGAAAAAGAAAGCTTTTTGACTACCATAAGTAAGTAAACTCTTCTATCAGCTCTGTAAATTAGGAGTCAAAGTACGTGCTCGATCATTTTGCTTTCGTATATGCCATTTGCAAAAATGAGGGGTTAAAAAGAAATCTTGACATATAAAAAAAATGGAAAATCAAAATTAGCAATTTCGTACGTAAAGAGCACCCTGTATATACACTGTTGTAATAACAACCACAGCCGACTTTAAACATGTTATGTTACATAACCTCACTTTCATTTATTAAAAACCCCCAAATTCAAATATGGATTTAGAACATGAAGACCTAACTTTGGCCCCCTGTAAATACGAGTGTAAGTCTTCGTCTCGCCCCCCCGTTACCCCAAAATTAACGTAGCTCAATTCTAGATCTCGACCACACTGCCGACGTACAGTAAGTACTCGTGTATGACGCTAGCGCGGTTTAACGATTTGTACAGATTGCACGCGTGGGGCGATACCTTGAAGGAGGCGTTCGAGCAATGCGGCATGGCGATGTTCGGCTACATGACGACGCTGTCGACGGTCGAAATCCGGGACGTGCACACGATCGAGGCGAGCGGTCACGATCTCGAAAGTTTACTGTTTCACTTTCTCGACGAGCTGCTCTTCCTGTTCAGCTGCGATCCGTTTTTGATCTGCAGCAAGCTCGTGATAACCGAATTCAAGACGGAAGGCGAGGAGCTTTCCGTAAGCTGCAAGTGCTACGGGGAGGAGTTTACGTTGGGGAAGCATCCTCAGGGTACCGAGGTGAAGGCGATCACTTATTCCGCAATGCAAATTGTCGCCGAACCCGAGCGGAATGAATACGAGGTGTTTGTTATAATTGATATTTAGTGTAATTCGAGTTTTTAATCTGTGATACACACAGGCTCTGCTTGGATGTGATTAAAGTAACTTTTATTTTTATTTTGATCATTTGACCTTAACCTGATCTTGAATATCACTTATCGCGTCACTTGATATAACCTCCACCATTCACATTGCCCCTTCGCATTTCTTTTTAATTCCTTTCTATATAAGCAGCTAATTAGTTGAGTGAATTACATAACACGAGCCCAAGCCAACATAAACAAAACAATGGGAGGTAAATATTCAACTCTCGACCCAATGCAGGTCGACGTTCCAAAACTGAACGAAATGCTAGAGAGGGACCCCTACCTGAGACCCTACGAGCGAGAATTCAGACGCCGGTACGTAAAGCGAACAATTCGCGCGCCGAAACAGTAAACGACCGTTTGCAGGTACGCCTGCTTCAAAGACGCCATCGATAAGATTAACGAAAGCGGCGGCGGCATTGGCGAGTTCACGCAGGCATACAAGTCGTTCGGCGTCAACGTGCAGCCCGACAATTCGGTGGTGTGTCGCGAGTGGGCGCCGGGCGCGAGGCAGCTATTTCTCGCCGGAGAATTTAGTAAAGAATTCCGTCCCCCTTCCCGTTTCAATTTGTGCGATAATTCGTATTGCAGATAATTGGAATCGCGACAGTCACCCGTACAACAAGTCCGAGTACGGGAAGTGGGAGTTGCACATTCCCGCCAATCCGGACGGATCGTGTCCCATTCCGCACAATTCAGAATTAAAGGTAAGGTTTTCTTGTGCCACGAACGTTAAACAAAAGATCCAAATACTCAAACCCCCTCGTTTCTCCACTTAAAAAAGGTGGCATTGGAATTATTGTGTAAAGTGGGCCAATTAAACTTTCAATTAAGGCATTTAATTAGCCGTTTTTGTTTTATGGGAGTGCGGAATAATGACAATACGATTCATTAATTTTAATTGGTTGCACTTAATTTTCCCATATCAACAGTGGCTGAGTAATGTTCGGTACTTTCTTAAATTAATTAGCAATTAATAGTCATCATTTCTAAATCAATTCATAAAATTACAATTGGCTGCTAATTAATTTAATTAATAATTGTGGAGGAATTAATATAATTTCAATTGGTTGCTAATTAAACGCTCCAATGAATTTTTTGACTGTTGTACCGGGTACACCTGAGCCCTAATTTATTAAAAAAAAAGGGGTACGCAATTCTTAATTGGATCATTTAGTTAGCATTTAATTAATAATTGTGGAGGAATTACTGCAATTACAATTGGCTGCTAATTAAATGCTCCTATGAATTTTTGGACTGTTGTACCGAGTACGTCTGAGTCCTAATTTAGTAAAAAAAAAGCGCACGAAATTCTAAATTAAGTCATTTAGTTGGCATTTAATTAGTAATTGTGTAGGAATTACTAGAATTACAATTGGCTGCTAATTAAATGCTCCAATGAATTTCTAGACACTTGGACCGAGTATGCATGAGCCCTAATTTATTCAAAAAAAACGGACACGGAATTCTTAATTGGTTCATTTAGTTAGCATTTAATTAATAATTGTGGAGGAATTACTACAATTACAATTGGCTGCTAATTAAATGCTCCAATAAATGTTTGGACTGTTGTAACGAGTACGTCTGAGTCCTAATTTAGTAAAAAAAAGCGCACGAAATTCTAAATTAAGTCATTTAGTTGGCATTTAACTAATAATTGTGTAGGAATTAAATCAATTATTGCTGGCTAATTAAATGCTCCAATGAATGTTTCCACTGTTGTATCAAGTACGCCTGAGCCCTAATTTATTAAAAAAAGGGGCACGCAATTCTTAAATGGGTCATTTAGTTAGCATTTAATTAATAATTGTGGAGGAATTAAATCAATTGTAGTTGGCTGCTAATTAAATGCTCCAAAGAATGTTTCCACCAGGGGCGGACTGGGTAACTGCGGGCCAGGTGGAATTGCATAGGTTACGGGCCATTACAGTATTAGTGTAGTAATAATGGTGGCGGGGGGGTTAGCTCTGAGGTGCACCACAAAAACATTTTAAAGTACACCTTTCTCGAAAATAAATTACCATACAGTTTTTTTTAAATTGCAGCTAATTAAAAGTAACAAAATATACAATCCACACGAGGTGCGTCACCTATCATTGTATTTCAGCACCCCCCCCCCCCCCCCCCCGGTGCCAGTCCGCCCCTGGTTTCCACTGTTGTATCAAGTACGCCTGAGCCCTAATTTATTAAAAAGGAGACACGCAATTCTTAATTGGGTCATTTAGTTAGCATTTAATTAATAATTGTGGAGGAATTACTACAATTACAATTAGCTGCTAATTAAATGCGCCAATGAATTTTTGGACTGTTGTACCGAGTACGTCTGAGTCCTAATTTAGTAAAAAAAAGCGCACGAAATTCTAAATTAAGTCATTTAGTTGGCATTTAATTAGTAATTGTGTAGGAATTACTACAATTACAATTGGCTGCTAATTAAATGCTCCAATGAATTTCTAGACACTTGGACCGAGTATGCATGAGCCCTAATTTATTCAAAAAAATGGACACGCAATTCTTAATTGGATCATTTAGTTAGCATTTAATTAATAATTGTGGAGGAATTACGACTATTACAATTGGCTGCTAATTAAATGCTCCAATGAATTTTTCAACTGTTGTATCGAGTACGTCTGAGCCCTAATGTATTAAAAAAAGGCGCACGCAATTCTTAATTGAGTCATTTAGTTGGCATTTAATTAATAATCATGGAGGAATTACTACAATTACAAATGGCTGCTTATTATATAAATGCTCCAACGAATTGTTCCACTGTTGTACGGAGTACGTCAGCCCTAATTTATTAAAAAAAAAGACGCGCACGCAATTCTTAATGAAGTCATTTAATTAGTAATTATGTAATAATGAAATCAATTATTGTTGGCAAATTAAATGCTCCAATGAATTTTTCCACTGTTGTACCGAGTACGCCTAGGCCCTAATTGATTTAAAAAAAAAGGGGCACGCAATTCTTAATTGGGCCATTCACTTAGCATTTAATTAATAATTGTGGAGGAATTACTACAATTACAATTGGCTGCTAATTAAATGCGCCAATGAATTTTTCTACTGTTGTGCTGAGTACGCCTGATTATTAAAAAAAGGCGCACGAAATTCTTAATTAATTAATACAATTAAAATTGACTGCTAATTAAATGCTCCAAATTTGTAATCAATTTTTCGAGTATTAAACCTGAGTACGGCTGGAGCTTAATTTAAAAAGACTGCGAACCATTCTTAATTAATTAATAATTGGTAATGCCGGTTCGGTTGACCCCCCCCCCCCCCCCCCTCCCGCGCTCTCGGCTAATCATAGCGCATCTTGCCATATTAAAAAATTCCGGTAAACATCCGTTATAAAATAGCGGAAACGGAAGTGAACAAATAAAGCGATTGCGGAAGTGGAAGCAGAGGTGTATTGCGTCACTAGCTCGAGCCGTAATTTGTTTAAAAACGATAATAATAATAATATCTGAAAGGACGGTTTGCTTTGTTTTTCCCTCTATCCCCTTTTGTTTGCAGGTGGTGGTCGAAACGGCAAGCGGCAGCAGAGAAGATCGCCTCTCACCGTGGGCAACCTACGTGGTCGAACCGCCCAAATCCGAGGGCACGATCTACCGGCACAAATTTTGGAACCCCCCGTACTCCGAGAGGCACCTCTTCAAAAACGCCAAGGTCAAGCGTCCGAAAAGCTTGCGCATTTACGAGTGTCACGTCGGCATCGCGACCTCCGAACTCAAGGTGGGCACCTACGTCGAGTTCGCCGACAACATTCTGCCTCGCATCGTTCGACAGGGGTACAACACGATCCAGCTGATGGCGATCATGGAGCACGCGTATTACGCGAGCTTCGGCTACCAGGTGACGAGCTTTTACGGCGCGTCGAGCCGATACGGCACCCCCGAGGAGCTGAAGTACCTGGTGGACAAGGCGCACGAGCTCGGCCTCTTCGTGCTGCTCGACGTCGTCCACTCGCACGCCAGCAAGAACGTGATGGACGGGCTCAATATGTTCGACGGTACCGATTCGTGCTTCTTCCATTCGGGCGCGCGCGGCACTCACTCGCTGTGGGACTCGCGCCTCTTCAACTACTCCGAGTTCGAGGTCCAGCGCTTCCTACTGTCAAATCTGCGCTTCTGGCTGGAGCAGTACCAGTTCGACGGTTTCCGCTTCGACGGCGTCACCTCGATGTTGTACCACTCGCGCGGGATCGGCGAAGGGTTCAGCGGAAATTACGACGAGTACTTCGGCCTTAACGTCGATACGGAGGCGATTATATATCTAACCGTCGCCAACTACATATGCCACACGCTGTATCCCGAAGTGGTGACGATCGCCGAGGACGTTTCCGGCATGCCGGGCTCGTGCAGGCCGGTCGAGGAGGGCGGATTGGGTTTTGATTATCGATTGGCCATGGCGATTCCGGATAAATGGATCGAGCTGCTGAAGGAGGTGAGCGATGACGACTGGAATATCGGCAACATTATCCATACGTTATCGAACAGGAGGTGGATGGAGCCGAACGTCGCGTACGCGGAGTCGCACGATCAGGCGTTAGTCGGCGACAAAACGATCGCGTTCTGGCTGATGGACAAAGAGATGTACACTCACATGAGTACCGTATCCGATCCGTCTGCGATTATAGACCGTGGAATCGCCTTGCACAAGATGATCCGGTTACTCACGCACAGCCTGGGCGGGGAGGCGTATCTCAACTTCATGGGCAACGAGTTCGGCCACCCCGAGTGGTTAGATTTCCCGCGCGCCGGCAATAACGTCTCCTATCACTACGCCCGCCGCCAGTGGCATCTGGTGGACGACGAACTTTTAAAGTACAAGTACCTGAACAGGTTCGACGCGGACATGAATCACCTGGAGCAGAGGTACGGGTGGCTGCACGCGCATCCCGGCTACGTCAGCTGGAAGCACGAGGACGACAAGGTTATCGCGCACGAAAGGGCCGGATTAGTGTTCGTGTTCAACTTCCACACGCACAAGAGCTTCCCCGATTATCCGGTGGGCGTACACGAGCCCGGTCGTTACAAGGTGGTCTTGTCGTCCGACGACTCCCAATACGGCGGACAAGAGAGAATCGATAAGAACGTGTCATATTTAACGAGAGACGAGGGATTTGCCGGCCGCCGACACTCCTTCTTGGTAAGCCAAAGTGTGCTATGGAATCAATTTTTAAGTGACCTGTTTTAGGTGTATATACCCTGTCGAACTGCAATCGTTTTAGCCAAAGAATGAACTAGGAGCAATTCACTTTGTTATATATGCAAATACTCGTTATTAAATACAACTATTTTCTTTTGTTTTCCTTTACTTATTTGTGAACCAAAACCTTAAACGCACATATACCGCTTTACATTAAACGTGAACGAAAGTATGTTTGGAGATAAAGAGCGATTGTTTTTATTCCTGTGCATAAACAAGACCTCGATTCATGCTTTCGAGATAATAATAATGCAGACAATAATTATTTATATTGAAATTTCCATACAACCGATATCACCTGGGGGGGCAAAATTTTTGCCAGTGCCTTAGAAATCAATTTTATTTAACACAAATAAGGGTTTTTAACGCTTGTAAATGTAACTAAGCCTTCACAACAGAAAGCGAAAATTACTGCTTTAATACGATGATCATATTCATGGATAAAATACCGCAAATCAAGGATTCAGTAAATCATTTCGCTATACTGGAGAGTATTCCCTTGAAGAAATTAGTGGAAATCCCAGGAGGAAATTTAGGAAACGCTGGGAAAATATATGGAATTTAAGAAAATAAAATACTTCCTTTACATACAAAAACCACGTTTTATTTTCGCCCTTTCCCCTTGTTTTTTCCCTTGCTCGACGACGCCTGTTGCTGATCGCCGCCCCCCTTCGTCTGCCTAACTTTCAACTTCGGAATCATCTCGCCTAAATGGCACATCAGGCTTTCGCGCGACGTAAACCTACCATCGCACGGCGATCCGTCGTCGTTCTTCAACTGCACGCGTAAACGTCCCCGGTAAAGCAGCTCCTTGCTCTTCTCCCTGCTGTACAGTTTGTTTTCGACGCCGATCTTTAAACCGGCGGCGACGAGCACGTCGCGCATCTCCTGGTGCGTCGGATTCTCCACGCACTTCTCCTTGGCTATCTTCCTTCCTTGCGCCAGCGTCTTTTTGCTGTTAATGTACGCGGGATAAATGCAAATCCACCTGCAATGAGCTCGGTTAAAAACGGGGAGCAATTTTAGGTTAGGACACTGTTCACCTTTCCTTGTCGCTATGTTTTGAATCCAAAGTGTACGGGCTGGATCCCTTTATTAAATTAGAGGCCATTTTTAAACAGAATTACTGAAAATTCACGAAATATGATTCAATTAAATTCCATATGGAAATAAACATTGGCCATGTGATATTGACAGCTGAGCAGTGTTGCCAATCCTCACCAAAATAGAATAATATATACCTGGTAAGTAGTATTCAATCTTCATTAAATCTACGGGCTACCTTTGTTTAAATTAAATGAATAAACAAAGGCACATTTCTTTACAAAATGCGCTATTTCACCAACGCCATGGACTACCTTAGGCTCGTTTATTCCCTCAACAAAGGTCAAAGATTCGAAAGCGTCCAATCAGGTGGTACCAACTCTAAGAAAAAAAAACAAATTACATAACATAACCAAACCAAAGTGACAATATTTCCAAAATTTTGTCTGCATTTTTTGAAAGTTACCTCCAAACGACAGCAATCAGGTAGCGAGCATCCGACTGACCGGGTGCAATATTCACGAATCCATCTTAATCGATGAACTTTTTTAGCCGACGATGTGGTACGAAATTCTACCGTCCGCCGCAGTTATCTTCGTCGCGCTGGCAATTCCGCATTATTCGGCGTATGTAATCAATAAGCTTGCGCTTGGGAATTGCTATCGAAGATCGCTGATGGAGAGGATGGATCGTTTCCACTACCTGAGGGATAGGGAGTTGACCAACAGCCCGTATAAGGTTAACGGGCTCGAAGTGATACCCGACGAGTAGTTAGTTGTATCTAGTAGCCGGTCACTTTAATCTATAGTTAATAAATTACTTTTACTCTGTACACGATACCGATTTTTTTGGTGGCTAGAATTATTCATACCGGGTCATTCAATATAATTTTTTGTGGTCGCTTTAGACAAGCTGTAAACACAGAATAGCCGAGCATGCTTTTAAGTGGATTTAGAAAGGATTGAAGGAGATATGAAAGTGGATCTAGAGAACTCTGGGTTGACTTCAAGGGTCCTGGATGAGTAGGTATACCTATCAAAGGCAGTGGAATGAGAGAAAATTTTAAAGTAGAAGCCGATTGAACCTTTATAAAGGGTTCAGAAGCTTTTGAGTGTGCTTCATTGAACATAGAAGAGCCTAGCACACTTTAAAGTAAGTTAAAAAACGTTGAAAGATTATTTATAAGGTCCTTGAGTGGATATGGAAAATTCTAGAGGGACCCAAAAGGTTCTGGGGGACTTTTAAAAGTAGAAGGTTTCGACAATGCTTTTGGAAGAGTATTAAAACTGGAAAGACCTAGGAAGCTTCGGAGGGTCCTACTGTGAACGTATCTAGAAGTACCAAGCATACAAAATGAGTTTACAAAGTCTTTGAAGTGGTGATGTAGATGTGAAAAATTAAGGATGGATCCAATCAGTTCTGGAAGAGTTCAAAAAGCTGCGGGCGTACGGTTTTGGGACTGGTTTAGGACGTTTTGGAAAAGCGTACTTACACAAACTTTGGAACGGCTTACGCATTCGAGTGTTCTTATACCTACCATAATTCCAAAAAAGCCGAGCACAATTTGAAGTGAATTTAGAAAGTTTTAAAAAGGATTATAAGGTTCTGCAGCGGGTCTGAAAAATTCTACATCAATGGAACGAACTAGAGGGGTTTGAAATAGGTTTGGAACACTTTAGTTGATCCGGCAGTGGAATATTTAAGGCTGGACAGTACACCCGTTCCGTTGCCCGAAAACGCTTGATTTCGTTCCACGATATCTTAATTCTGAGTGAAGATGAAGAAGGGGTCGAATATTCCTGTGAAAGGTGAATGCTTTAGCTAGACAATGACGCCGGGGTTTACTAAAATAATCTTTTTTTTAAGGGCAACGTCGAGGGCTGTTAGGGTGTCATATTTTGGAAAAGAAAAAAGGAAATAAATTTACCTGGCGTTATTGCCTAGATATTAAGTTTACGAACGTATCTTAATTTTGGAAATTGTTCTAACTTCATTTATAGATAAGTTATCTTGGAAAAACAACTTAAAAGTTTTCCTCAAAAGCGCGAAAAGATAGCTTCCGCCGCGTGGCTGGTTTTATACAGATAGAAAATGGACTAAGTTTATGTTTTTACCATCGAACACAAATTAATATTATAAATAACCAAATTTGGGGATTGACAATAGGCAACTTTACATACTCCGTTCTGTATGTACTGTCCAGCCTTTAAAGGAAGCTTTGGAATTGACTGTTGTATGAGAAAAATAATGACAGTGTATGAAAATTGATTTGTATGACGACCACCACCGCAGTAATTGAACTTTGGTTGAGGTTATGTTTTTGTTTATTTACTTTGGGGCCCCTCGTATTTTTGGTGTGTTAAACCATGAGCTTCGGATTAGTCCCGAGCAAGAGCACCGTTTATGTGGGCAACTTGCCCTACCAATTAAGGAATAACGATCTGCACAAAATATTCGAAAAGTACGGCAAAATTGTAAAGTAAGTCGTTCGCGAGGTCTTCGTCCCACTTTCAAGTTTCTCGTAGGGTGACCGTCGTGAAGGACAAACAGACGAGACGCAGCAAAGGTATAGCTTTCGTTTTGTACCTGAACAAGGACGACGCCAGACGATGCGTTCAAGAGACTAATCAACAGGAGGTCGGTTCGGCATTAAACGTGCCTCACCCTTTTTTTTTGTTAAGCGCGGTCTTTTCCAGATGTTTGGACGCGTGCTCAAGTCAAGCATAGCAAAAGATAACGGACGCAGTGTCGAGTTTATACGTCGCAAGGTAATCGCGCTTCGTGTCCTTTTGTTACCTAAACTCTTAACTCGTAGAATTACCCCGATAAATCGTTTTGTTACGAGTGCGGCGAGACCGGTCACTTGAGCTACAAGTGCGATAGGAACCTGTTGGGCGAACGTAATCCGCCTCCGAAAAAGGTGCGCAAGAAAAAGGCCAAGGAGAAAGTGGCCGAAGAGGAGGAGGACGAAATTGATAATGATGACGATTGTGAGACTTTAAGTGTCGCGATTGCGATGGAGGTGAGTGGCTGCACTTTTGAGAGTTGTTTGATTTTCCGTGTGTTTTCAGCAAACTAAATACGAGTCGTTGGACGATAAAAAAATCGAAGTTGTGCCAAGGAAGAGAATTAAGCGAAGTAATTACTTTAGTGACGAGGAGGAGAGCGATTGATTTATGTATTCTGCGATAAAAGTTTCGTCTTTATAATAAACATTTATTTATTTCGTTTCAATATAATTTTAAGAACAAAATCTAGCCGTTATCAGTAACAGTTGTCCTGATAATCTGGACTGACCCTTTCTATGGGTTTTAGCCCCTTAAATATACTTGACTGGAACGCGCCGAGAGAGATAACTGCAAGGGGGATTTCTGTCACTGTCGCTCCATTGGGCAATTAATCACTAATATAAATTCAAAACATATGAAATAGGCTAGTCTATGCATGCGCGACAGTAGGACAGAGATCCCCCTTGTGGCCCTCTCTCTCGGATCGCACGTTCTAGTATAATTATAGTTCAGTGGTTGTAGAGGTTCTTCCAGCCCTTATCAAAAGCTTTCTAGATTCTTTAAAAAAAAATTCGAGCTGTTCAAACCTAACAAGCGTAGAAATGTTTGTCGGAGTCAAAGATTTGTTTTCTGGGGGGTATTCTCTGCGCGAGAGTTCAAAATGGCTGAACGTTTTGGGTAAGAATATAGCACGGAAGGAGGGGGGGGGGGGAGTTATCCCAAACAAAGAGATTTGATGACCCCTATCCTGGAAAACAACTATCATATGGTATATATAGTTTTTAGGAAAAGGCAATCAATTTTTTCTGTGTGCTAGAGGGGGGTGGGTATCTTGGGGGGGGGGGGTATGGAATACCCTACAGAAAAAGGAGATTTGATGGTCCTATCCATAAGCAACTGTCATGGTAGTTTTCAGGAAAATGTAATCCATTGTTTCTGTGTTGCTGGAGGGTATTCCAGACCCCCCGGTGTTATGCCCTCCCCCAAAATGTCTAGGAAAATGATAGTTTGTTCATGAATGTTATAATACGGAGTCAAAGATTTGTTATCTGAGGGCTATTCTCTACACGTGAGTTCAGAGGGCTGAACGTTTTGGGTAAAAATATATCACGGGAGGGGGGGGGATTATCCCCAGCAAAGAGTTTTGACGACCCCTATCCTGAAAACAACTGCCATATGGTAGGTATATGGTTTTTAGGAAAAGGCAATTTTTTCTGTGTCCTAGAGGGGGTGGGTGTCGGGGGTGGACCCTATCCATAAGCAACTGTCATGATAGTTTACAGAAAAAAGCCTGGGAAAAGGTAATCAATTTTTCCTATTTGCTGTGGGGTATTCCACACCCCCCGGTATTATGCCCACCCCCGAAATGTCTCGGAAGATGAGTTTGTTCATGAATGTAATATGGAGTCAAAGTTTTGTTTTCTGCGGGGTATTCTCTACACGAGAGTTCAAAGGGCTGAACGTTTTGGGTAAGAATATAGTACGGGAGGAGGGGGGTGACCCCTATCCTGGAAAACAACTATCAATGGTATATATAGTTTTTAGGAAAAGGTAATCAATTTTTTCTGTGTGCCAGAGGGGGGTGGGTGTCTGGGGGGGTATGGAATACCCTCCAGAAAAAAGAGATTTGATGGCCCTATCCATAAGCAACTGTCATGGTAGTTTTCAGGAAAATGTATTCCATTTCAAAGTAAATACTCGTAAGTACTCCTTCACACTGGGTGACTTAGCAGCGCTTCTAAGCAGAAGGACAGGACGCAGTGCAGCGCTGCTAAACCACGCTAAACAGACCAGTATGAAGGGGCAGTTACGAGTATTTACTTTGAATTTTGCAAGTATAAGCATTTGCTTACTTTTATTCATACGGCCCCATACCTCCCGGTGCTACGCCCTCCCCCGAAATGTCTAGCAAAGTTCAGTTTGTTTAGGAATGTGACAAGAAGTATAATCAAAGTGTTGTTTTATCTGGGGGGTATTCATATTCTCTACACGAGAGTTCAAAGGGCTTAACGTTTTGGGGAAGAACATAGCACAGGGGGTCTGGGAGGTATCTGTATACCCTCCAGTAAAAAGTAATAGGGAGTGAAAGTTTTGTTTTCATGGGAGTAGTCTCTACACGAGACAGACAGACATTCACATAATATAGTGAAGTAGTAGGAAAAGCGAGGTCAGTTTGAGCGCACTTTGATCTTGAGATCTGCGCATGCGCCAAGCTGTCTACGGAAACAGGTCTGTTTATCGGAAACAGGTCGGTTGGGCAGAAACTCGAGTCTGTACCAAAAGCAGATCAGGTAAAAAGACACAAAGTCTTTTCAGTAGAAATCCGTTTCACTGACAGCTGTTTCGACGACAAACAGAACCGAATCGCGTGACCTTGAACTTGGCGCATGCGCAGATCTCAATATCAAAGTGCGCCCATACCGGCCTTGCTGATCTACAAAATACGAGTACGTTTTAAATACCTACAATGTTTAGAAAAAGTGCGAGACTGATTGCATCACCACAAGATAATGGGCGATGGGGTCGTCACGTCCCGACGCCGGAATTTATAATGTGCTCTAATAACAGAAGAATGCTCCGGAATACTTGTCCAAAGCACTCTAATTCTTTCTGGAACCGTTCAAAGCATTTTCCAGAAGGTTCTAGAAATTTTCCGCAAGCGAGATTCATTTAGAATCGCTTATAGAGGAGTCTTACAAGTACTTTTAAAGGTATTTAACCATTTCGGTGTCTTTCCAAGCGTCCCGGACTCCTGTACACCTTCGTGGACTTTGTCTGTTCCTTTTTTTGTCTCAAAAAAGTCCAGGAAAGCACTATAGAAACCCTGGAAAGCACCCTGAGATGGTGTCTGACTATTATATTTTTGAATTAACATGTATATAAAAAAGTACAGATAATTTCTCATTTGTTAATTTAAATTTAAACCAGTTAGGCGGTATTTTCGGTGATCAAGAACGAGTGCGCGCATTCGAAAATAAGAGAGACGCGTGAGAACGTTGGCGCAACACGCGCGTGAGTTATTTTTAAGTGGCGTTTAATAAATATTTAGTGGAAAAAGTGCTAAATATTGTTACACAAGCGCTTTGTGCCAAGGTTTTGCAATGAGGAACGTTAAAACAACCCCCAACGTTACACAATTTTCGAAAGTTTCCCCGGAGTCTACAATTTCACAATTTTAAGACTCAAGTAAAATGATCAACCAGTGGCGTACCGACGTAGAGGATAATACTTTCAACCCTATACAGGCCTCGAAAAACGAAAGGAGATTCTGGAGTTTTTTTAACTCTAGCAAGTGTAGAAAAGGGTTGAAAAATACCTGAAACAGAAGAAATACGTTAAAACTGCGATCTGACATCTGGAAAACAATACTTTAACGACTTGGTAGATTCGTGCGCGAAATAAGACAACGTTTTTATAAAATATTTATTTTTTCATTAATAAAACACTTAAAATAAACAAATATAATAAATGAAGTGATGGATTAGTTCTCAGCCTTTTTGTCCGGCGGTTTTCTGCACAAAAACGTATTTAGCGCGTCGAAATACGCAAACGACCGACACTTACCGTTACCTCGTTTGCGTTGACAATTTTACAAACGTTCTGAGCCTCAAAGAGCGACACCAGCCGGCACTCGCAGTCCAGATCGTACTCCACGCTCGTCATGTGCTCGGCGATGTTGTGCGACGCGACCTGCACGAATTGCTTGCGTACGGGCGGCTTGGCCGGCACGAAGTTGTTGACGACGAAGACGTTACCGCGCCGTTTCAGGGAGACGTCGACGCAGTCGTCGCTGTAGTCCAATTCGGAGTGCTTGTCCGAGCTGCCTTCTAGTTTCTTCTTCGAGTCGGTCGTCGAGAAGACGTTGTCGGAGTTGAAACCGATGACGTTCTTGGTGAACTTCGGATCGCCCACGGAGAACTTGTCGATCGGCGTGATGAGATTGAACGACACCTGCTCGTCGATGTTAAACAGGCCTTTCAGTTTCTGAAGCTGAAACGATCGATTAGTTACTCGTTGTGGACGGTGCACGGCGGCTTACCCCGATGACGACACCCTCCTCGCACGGCTTTCCGGTCAACGCGATTATCGTCTTCGCGGCCTGTGCCCTGAACGGATGACGCAGCGCTTCGTCGAAGGCGCGTTGCTGTGCCGTCTCGCCGGAGAGCGTTTTGAGCTTCTTGCACGCGTCTCTCAGTACTTCCAAAAAGTGTTCGGTCGATTTCGGTTTCGGCTCCTCGGTGAATTTCAGGTTGGGCAGCTTCCCCTTGAACTGCAGCTTTCCGCCGATCGTGTGGTGCGAGGGCCACTCCTCGAATTCACCGCCGTACGTTATTAAATGCATCTCGATGTCACTAAAATTGGTATTATAGCGCGCTATTGGTCAGCGACGCGGCTTACGTTATTCCTTTGCCGTTCAGGTCGGTTAACAGTTGAGCGACGGCGGGTTGCAGCAGCTCCTTATAGACGACTTCGTTTGATTTGATTTGATCGACTATGACAACAATGTCCGCGGCTTTCGAGGGCGTTTTGACGCTAAAGATGTCGCCGATGTCGCGTGGTTGGTCGCCATTTGTGCATTTCACTGCAATGAATTTTATTTATTCTCAAAAACCAGCAGTCCCAGCGAACTCAAGTCTCTTTTCGAATGTAAAACCTAAAATACTGATTTTTCCTGTTCCCGTTCCCGTGGGAATTTCGGAAAGTACTAATTCAGAAACTTTCGCGGGCATACGTACAACCATTACCCAAAGTTTCATCGCAATCGGATTTAGGGTTTAGACAGGAACAAGGGACAGACGGGCAGACAAACATTCGTTTTTATTTATATAGTTAATAGCAGACCTGATTTTAAATCTTTTGAGGTTTTATGATGCCGTTTCACATGTAATACAAAATCACACTGTTCACATTTTAAATCCTTTGAAGAGATGTCAAAATTGCAATGTGCACAATTTAAAATGGCAGTATAGATTTTTGTCTTATAAATTAAAGTCATGGTTGGTAAGAGTTACTTACTGTAGTCGTTGGGCAGGCGAATGGGAATGAACTTCTCGTGACAGCGCGAGAGATATCCCCTCACGATCGCCTTTTCGGTATCCTTAACGCCTGCGGCTATTCCGTGATCGCAGGCGGTCTTGTAGTTTTCGGGATTGACGAACGGATAGCAAAGACGCAGCGAGGAGTCGTCGCCGAAGACCGCATTGCAGATCGGATTGTGATTGTGCACACTGTGATCGACGGTTTTGACCGGCGCGCAGTTGGCGTTCATCTTGTAACTGTTACCGAACTCGCTCTCCGACGTGACAATTTTCCCGTTGGGTATCATGTAGTCGTCGAACGGCTCCATGTTACCGTTACCTTTAAACAACCAACCTTAGCTCGGCGCGCAGATTTCGCGCGAAATATTTACCCAAAAGTCCTCGGAGCTGTCCGTGGTAGAAACCGGAAACTTTCACCTTGCATACGACCAAATCGGAATCGCACTCAATCCGCACGCCGACCTTCGAGACAATTTGCATCAAATTGTTGGCCCAAAACACCTCCAATCCGGGGAAGCGCGCGGGAAGCTCGTGGACAGCTGCATCGGAAAGGTTTACATCAGTCCGACCGTTCCGTAAAACTCACCGTTGTTAACAAAGACGGCGTTGCCTTTCTTCAAGGTCACCATGCGGTTCTTGTCGGCGAAAGTAATTCCCTCAAGCAGACCTTGCTTCAGCGTGCCGACGATCGAGAAGTTGCCGTTGAGCGAGTCACGTGACAGGAGGTAGCTGCAATCGCCGGGGAATGTGAGATGCTTTCCGTCGAAGGTGAACAGGTGCTGGCCTTGCACGATGACCGCGTCCACTATAAACGGAGCATTTCACGTTCAGTTTAAGTCAGAGAAAAACTTTGAAGTTGGCTCGGAGATTGTTCAATTTTTTTGACACCTTAATCCAATTTTTGGTCCTTCAAATTTAGGCCAACTGCTTCACAATTGATTTTTGAGATTTTGTGAGGCATTGCAAAATTGAACGATTGCCTTACCAACTTCAGGGATAGCAAAACTCACGCTGATAAGGCGGCACCCAATGACGTGGATTCAGCGAGAACGAGTACAACAAATCGCGAAGGTTGGGCAGAGGCTCCTCTTTCAGGTAGTTAATTGAGGAGAGACGCAGGAAGCCCATCCTGGACCAGTTCCTTATGATATCGGTCGGTAACAGCGACAGCTAAAAGATTCGCATTTGAAAAAAAGCGTTTTGACGAAGAATGTAGCGGGGGGATGACGTCCCATACATGAGGCCTCTATGGACTGAAAGTTAGGGGCAGAATGTAGCACCTGGGAGGGGGGGAGGGGGTATGGAATATCTCTCAGTTCAGCTACAAGGGGAATTGATGACCCTATCCCAAAAGATACTGTCCTTGTAGCTTCTGGGGGGAGGGGGGGTATAGAATACTACCCAGTTACAAGGGGAATTGATGGCCCTATCCCAAAAGCAACTTTCCTTGTAGCTTTTAGGAATAGGTAGTCGATTTCTTCTGTGTGCTGGGGGGTGTTCCATACCCCCCAGACCCCCCGGTCTATGTTTAGGAAAACGAGATGCTTATGATTTTTGTAGGGAGTAGTAGACGTCCCATACATAAGAGCTCTATGGGCTGAAAGTTATGGGGCAGAATGTAGCACTGGGGGGTCTGGGGGGAGGTATGGAATACCCCTCAGTTCAGCTACAAGGGGAATTGATGACCCTATCTCAAAAGCGACTGTTCTTGTAGCTTTTGGGAAAAGGTATTCGATTTCTTCTGTGTGCTGGGGGGGTGTTCCATACCCCCCGGTCTAGACTCACCCCCAAAATGTGTAGGATTTTTGTAGGGAGTAGTAGACGTCTCATACATGAGCTCTATGGGCTGAATGTTATGGGGCATAATGTAACACCGAAGGATCGGAGGGGGGGGGGGTTATAGAATACTACCCATCTATAAGGGGAATTGATGACCCTATCCCAAAAGTAACTGTCCTGGTAGCTTTTAGGAAAAGGTAATCGATTTTTTCTGTGTGCGACCCCCCCCCCCTCTATGGTTTCCCCCAAACACCCGGTGGCGATGTTGCCTCTAGGTGAACTTCGCCCTTTACATCAACAGCTAATAATGACGTTATTATTATTATTATAAATGTTTATGAAAACGAGATGTTTATGATTTTTGTAAAGAGTAGCTCTAAGGGCTCAATGTTATGGGGCAGAATGTAGCACTGATCGATTCCTTCCATGTGCTGCTAAATTGCTAAACTTACCGAACCATCAGTAGAGGGCAACATCTTATCCGTACTGATCGCACTGAACACCCTATCGATAGCCGAAATTAAAATGCTGATCATATTCTGTACCGCAGATAAGTCGTCGATCTTCTCGCGCTTCAGTTTCTAAATCGACACAAATTAGAAAGTGGAATCGGTGTCAACCTGGCGTTTACCTTCTCGACGTAGTCGCCGAACGCGGCGACGAGCTTCTTCAGTTCCTGGGTCGGCATGAGGTCCTTAATGGTCATGATCGCCTCCTTGATCGTGTTGATCAGCACCGGAGGAATGTCGACGCCGTTCATGAGCTGCTCGTACCTCATCTTGAGCTCTTCGACGACGGGGAACTTCGCGAGTCCCTGCGCGAACTCGTTCCATTCCTTCGCGACAACGATCTGCGCGTGCTTGCCGACTTTGTAAAGCGCGCGGGCGAGATCCTGAATGACGGCCGAGCCGGTCACCATGAATCGACTGATTTCCTCCTGGTGGGCGTCGACCATCGACACGATTTTCGCTATGTACGTGAAAGCGAGGTCGCAGAATTCGTTGAGGACCTTAACGGACACCTGGGTGACGGTCTTCATTATCTCGGCCAGTTTCGGAATTAGCTCCTTGTTCATAATTTCAATGGTCTTCGCAGTCTGCTGCTGAACGGTTACGACGACGTGATCGACGATTTCGCTGATGCGGCTGAAGACCTCCTGGGCGGAGGCGGCGAACGCGCCGAAGAGCGATTTGAGGAAGTCCTCGATTTCTTTCAGGGTTTTGTCGCTGGTCACCTCGTCGTGCAGCTTCTGCAGCTCGGTGTGGTAATAGTCGCTTAGAGGTTTCAAACTGGGCGCGCTGTTCTTGAGGGCTTCCGCCACGGTCGCAACCTCAATGCTGCAGTCTTTGACTGCGGCGTCGGTTACGGCCTGGATTTCCCTTACAAAACGACCGAAGTCGTTTGTGATCCGCGAAACAACGTGCTTCTTGATGTTCTCGCCGTTAATTTTCCCGTCGCTCTTGAAGAAGTTCTTCTCGTCCAGTTTAACGTAGCCATTTGCTAGAGGTATTTTCGCTCCGCCTTGTTGAAACTCCACGTTAACTTCGGCAATCTGGTGGGGCACAAACGCGGCGCGCACGCTGTACTTGTCATTCGGCGTCGCCTTGTTGTTGAAGGTGTATTGCAGCGTGCCTGGTTTCGTAAGCTCTAGGTGACTCTCCATGGGCGACATCCCCACGATGTCGATGTTCGTGTTCGCGATCACCTGGTTGTCGCTGATTTGCAGACGCGACTGCGCGTTGATTAGGCTCTTATCGCACACCTTTACACTCAGCGATGCCTGCTGACGGTTGAGCACGAGCTCCATGCCCGTCACTTGCCTCCGGCTGCCAACGGTAACGGTCGTGAGCTCTATTAACTTACCCTCAAACGTACGATAGTCGAAACTAATTTCCTCGTCGTGTTTAATATGCAGGTTCAAGCCCTTAAAGGAGAAAATTAACGGATTAATTACGCCAACTACAAGGCTTATGGCCAGAGCTGGACTGGATTGATGAGGTACCGGAAAATTCCTCCTCTCCGGCACTCAACCCAAAAGTGATCAAAAACAACTTGCATAAAGACAGCAACCAAAGATAGTGACTGTTTCTCCGAAGATGCTCGAATACCACAGAAATACAAAAAAAATGTAGATGGCGTCCACCTTTACAAACAAGCAATGCGCGAGTAGTTATCACTTTCTAGTTTGTGCAGAAAAATACTATAATATCACTGTGAGGGTGGATTTCTATGTGAGGCAAGGGGTTGCAAGAAATTATTTTTGCATTTGTTTATTGGATATGTATAGCAGTATTTTTCTGCACAAACTAGAAAGTGATAACTACTCGCGCATTGTTTGTTTGTAAAGGTGGACGCAAATACCACAGAAATACAAAAAAATGTAGATTGTATTTCTGTGGTATTCGGGCATCTTCGGAGAATCGGTCGCTACCTTTGGTTGCTGTCTTCACGCAGGTCAAAGGCTCTAGAAAACCTTAGAAGGCTCAAAGAATACCATTTTTTATTTAACAAAAAATTATTATTATTATCATCACAAATTTTGGCCGATAACTCATAAGCAAGTCCGGCTCCGCCCAGGGCGGGAGTGTAGGGGAGGGGGTGAAGACTCACCTGACTCTTAACCTCGTACAACCCCTTATACTCGAAATTACTCTCACCGACGCGAGCGCCCCGCGCGTCGACGGACATAACGATTTGCTGTTGCGGATTCGCGAACACGTCAATGACGACGTTCTGCTCGAGCGACAGCCTCTCTAGATCGTACTTGGACGAGTACTTGACAGTCAGATCCTTGCTCGTGCTCGGATTGGTAAATCTGAGCTCGGCATTGCAGTTGTTCGCCTTGCCGTCGACGCAGTTGAACGACGCGGAGACGGCCGACTTTTGGTCCGGCCGATTGCGCTTGTCCAGGTAGAAGGCGAGTTCGGCTTTGAAGGCCTTTTTGTCCTGCGCGGACCTGCGAAACAAGGTTAGTTCGGTTTTCGATAATTGCGCGCTCGTACCTCGGTATCTGCACCGTTCCCTCAAGCGAGACGATCCGTTTCGGGGTGGTGAGCTGGGCGCCGGCTTCGTTCGGATGAACGCGCACGCTGTACTGGTACTTATTCGCCTTGTCTTGGAAGTAGATGTCGACATTGTGATCGAGAACGAACCCTTTTCGCATGGTCACACCTTTCAGGCCGAACTCGTGGGACAGCCCGATATTGCGCAGATCCAGCGCCACCTCCAGCTCGTTGTTGTACTCGCCCAGCGTTGCAATGTTAGTCTTCGAGTCAATTTCAATGTGAGCGCATTGCTGTTTCTCTTCGCAGTACGAGCTCATAATTCTGAATTGCTTGTCGGTCGCCTTAAACTCGGCGTCGATGGCCTGCGAGCCCACGGCGGCGTTGAACGAGATCTCGGAGCCCTCTTCCCCGCTCCTTCCACTCAACAGCCTCTGCCGGATGAACTTGAAGTTGGACTGCTTCGACACGTCTCGTATTTTGAACGTTCCCGAGCCTTCGACTATGTACTTGTCCCCCTCCTCGCGTACCTTGTATGTGGTGCTAAAACGTCAAAAAGGTTAGTAGGCTCCCAACGGAACGGAACACCTACGTTCCAGTCAGCAAGTTCTTTCCCGCCGACGTCGCTGTAACCTGGATCTTCTTCCCGGCCTTTCCCCCAGGCTTATTCGAGACTAGCAAGTTGACGTTGTCCAGCTTTAAGGGCGGCGAGTGCACTTTGAGTTTGACGACGAAGTTGTCGATGTTATCGAGGTTGGCGTCCCAATCGCTCGTCAGCTCGAAGTTGTTGTAGCTCACCGCCACCTTTAATTCGCCGCTAACGTGTTGGGGGCTGATTTTGTTGAACTTCGCCGCGAAGTGGTCGCTCTTGCCGCTCGGGTAGGTCAGCTTGATGTCGAACGCGGGCGCGATTTCGGACAGCACCAGCTCGTTAACCAAACTGAACTTCTTTTTGTTCGCCGTCAGCGTGATGTCGTTCTTTAAGGTCTTTCCGTCGGGGGATTCCCTGCTCTTGATCTCGAGACGCGTTCCAGGCGCGTCGGGCGAGTCCAACTTTAAGTCCACGTTGTACTCGTGCTCGTTGGGCTTCGTTAGGGTCAGGTCGAGCTTCACGGTCTTATCCTTTTTGTAGTTCATCGTCCACTGACCGTTCAGCTTGTTGTTCGACGTCTCGTAGGTTAAGGTTCCGCTGATGGGATCGATCTTCTGCAGTTGAGCCGTCCCCTTAAGCGTTCCGGACGTAATTCCAATGCTACCTTCGCCTGACAGCTTCACGTCAACTATCGGATCGGTTTTCGCCTGAAATTGTAATGAGAAAGCTCCAGAAAATTGCACGCTGTGATGTGGTAACAGGAATTTTGGGAAAAAGATTCCGGTTGGGCATAACAAAAGTACACAAATTTCGAGAAAAAGATTCCGGTTGGGCATAACAAAAGTACACAAATTTCGAGAAAAAGATTCCGGTTGGGCATAACAAAAGTACACAAATTTCGAGAAAAAGATTCCGGTTGGGCATAACAAAAGTACACAAATTTCGAGAAAAAGATTCCGGTTGGGCATAACAAAAGTACACAAATTTCGAGAAAAAGATTCCGGTTGGGCATAACAAAAGTACACAAATTTCGAGAAAAAGATTCCGGTTGGGCATAACAAAAGTACACAAATTTCGAGAAAAAGATTCCGGTTGGGCATAACAAAAGTACACAAATTTCGAGAAAAAGATTCCGGTTGGGCATAACAAAAGCACACAAATTTCGGGAAAAAGATTCCGATTGAGCATAACAAAAGTACAGAAATTTCGGGAAAAAGCTTCCGGTTGGGCATAACAAAAGCACACAAATTTCTGGAAAAAGCTTCAGGGTGGGCGTTTTACGTACATCACTGTCATCCATGAAAAGGAACACGTTGCCGTCAAGTTTCAGCTGTTCGGCCTGCTCGATCGATCCCATGCACCCGAATTTGGCCGACTGTAGCATGCTACTTCCGGTTTTCAGTTCGATACCCGCCTCGGCCATCATCTTGCGATCGCCGTTGTCCAAGTCCACCTTGCCTGCAACGAAAAACGGGTTAGAGCGCATACAGAGCGGCGGCTCGTCGACGTACCGTTCACGTTCAACATGTTGTTCTGTCCGTATCTCGAATTAACGGCGTAGCTTCCCACGAGACCCTTGTACAGAAGGTTGCTGTTAATCACCAGTTCGTCGGTGATCGCCGAACCGGAGAGCCTCGCGTTGCCGTCGACGTAATACTGATCGCCCTGCTGTTGGCGCTTGGTTCCGACTTGAAGAATGAGGTTCTTGCCCTTCGCGCTTTCGGCGTTGATCACGTAGGACAGATCGTAGAAGCCCTTGGCGCGGTTCGCGTCCTTCAGCGTGCCGCTAATGTCCAGCTTGTCGCCGGGCGAGTTTTTATCGTTGCGCTTCTCCAAGACAAGGTGCATGTTTCCGTTTCCGTTCTCGTCCTTACGTTCGCGATCCAACTTGGCGCAGAAGTAGTGGTTTGTCGGTAGCGTGATCTCCAATTCGCCGTTCTGCTTGCCGTTTTTAAACGTGCCATCGGACGACCCCTTCAGGTTGGCCTCCAGCTTTTTGCCGGCGATCTCGATGAAGTTCCTGAAAGGCTTACGTTGTGTAACTTGTTACGTATTGACGCACTCACTTTGAATCGAAGAAGTTGGGCTTGACTTGGTTCTGCGTCGAAATCACCATTTTGCTGTTGTCCTTCTCGAAGTTGGGGTAGAAGGTGAAGAGCATGTCGAACTGTGGGGCTGCGAGCGTGAAGCTGCTGTCCAGTTTTAATTTACGATGGAATTTGGTGAAGTCGAACACGACAAAGGCGTTTCCCGTCCCTTTGGTTACCTTCAGCTGCCCGTTACCAGATAAAAAGTCCTTGAGTGTGATCTAAAAACATGCGTTTAGTAAGGGAGGGGGTTTATCGACTTGAAACCTTCAAATTTCCGTTGGCGTTTCCGGCCCGGTTGCCCTTAAGCGTGATGTCGACATATGTGTTGGCACCGGACTCAATTTTCAAAGAGGTGTCGAGATTATTCGGCTTGAGAACATAGCCGTATAGTAACCTGGAACAGTTTCATTTACACAAGGGGATTGGGGGCGTGTTTTACTCACTTGAAGCTATCGCTTGCACCCGGAATTCTAATGACCAAATCCGCTCCGACGTTGATATCCTCGCGCTTGATGTGATGCGTGATCATGCCGTCCACTTGGAACTTGTTGCCGTTGATCGCGAGCAAGTTGGTTATCTTCGACTTGTCTCCGGTCACCTCCCTCGTGGAGTGCCCTTCGATTTTGTTGTCGAGACCGTAGCCTTTAAAGTTCAAGTTGAAGTCGTGCTTGGATTTTCCGCCCCATTTCAGTTTGAGCTCCGTGCCGGTTTTCAGCGCGCCGTAATGCAGCTTCGCGTCGTACTCGATTTTTTTGGCCTGGACCTGAAGATTGAACTCGGACTCGGTGCCGATGGCGGGATAGGCGAATTTATTTTTCGTGACGAAATTTTTGCCGGCTCCCGATTCGTGTTTGAAGGAGATCTTGTTGTTGAGCGTGAGTCGATTGGTCTGAGAGGAGAGATCGCGTCCGTGCACGAACTGAAGGTTACTGTCGAAACCGCTGAAGACCACCGAGTACTGTAGTTTAAAGTTGGCGTCCGGGCTGAAGGAGTTCTTCATTTCGGCGTCGAGCGCTAAGGTACTGCGATCCACGGCGATTTTTCCAATGAGCGAGCCGGAGTTGCGATCGTCCGATACGGTCAGATCTGTACTCAAACTAGCCGAAGGCCCATGAACGACATTTCCCTGTACGTTAATGACCTTTTGATTCGCACCAATGACGCGCACGTTATTAAACACGTATTTGACGACGTCCCCTGTACGTTCCGCATCGATTGTTCCTTCGACCTTAAGCGGCATTTCTCTTCCTTTGATTCCCGGACCGTTGTACTGAATGAGGGGTTTGTAGACGCTTCTCTTTTCATCGCCCTGGATCGTAAAACCGAGCTTGGCCAAGTACTGCTTGCTACCTCTGTCGACCTGGGCCGATATGGACTTCTCCGTGTTGGAATAGGTCACTCGTCCCTCCACCGTTAGCGGCCCTATCGGCGAATTCGGATTCGTTGGCGTTATCAGCTGTGCTCGAACATAAGCCGTGTCGGCCAGCGCCAACGCTTCGAGCTTCAAGCCGATTTTCTTATCGTTCTTAGCGCCGATTGTTTCGATCAAGTATTCCTCGCCCACTTTGTTTACCTCTGAAATTTGAGCGAGTGTAGCGCCACCTTTTGGCGGTTTCGACAAACACTTACCGTTATATCTTTTAGCGTTGAAATGAATGTGGGATAAGTCCTCGCGCTGTATGCCGATGGAGAACTTTGCGTTTCCGGCCAGTGGATAAGGTAGCACGACTCCGTGAGCTGTATGAGCCGGAGGGCTGTTAATGTCCGCGCAGAACACAACGCCAATAAACGGCGAGAGCTGATCGATACACACCGCGAAGTCCTTATTCTGGCCGAACTTGAGCGGGTGGTTCTGCTCGGGCTTGCCCAACTCGCGCGTGTTGAACACGATATCGTGACTAACCGAGACGAGCTTCTGCTCCTGAACCGGCAACGAGTACTCAACGTCAAGTGTCTGCCCATTGTCCGACGTAACAATATTCAACGCACTACCGGTGGCAGTATACAGGGTAGAGCTAAACTTGAGCCCACCTTCAACGACCTGCGCGTCGATTGTCAAACTTCCCGAAACCTCGATGTTCGCACTGGGTATAAACGACAGCTTAATCAGATTAGACTGACCGTCACTCAGTAAAGCCCGCACGTCAAGCTTACTCGCCACCTTCATCTGCCACGACGTGGTCCCCTCGACACTCACCCTCAACGGAAAACCAAGCGCCGTCGGATAGCTAAACTCGGAATCGATAAAGATACAATTCGACTGAATCGACTTCTCCAAACTCTTCACCTCGTTGATCCCCTCATCCAACCGATCGAAGATCTGGTCGAGCAGACTATCCGGCGACATATTCCCAACCTGATCGTTCATGCTCAGGAACATCAATTCGGACCCGAACATTTTCACACTAAAATCGATGTCGAGGTCCTTGTTCAGATCGTGCGTCTTGATCTGGGTCTGCTTGCCGATCGCCTCGATGTCGCCCTTCGCGACGTCTCGCTTGCCGCGACTCTTCGCGAGGCGCTGCTGAAAGTGCTTCGCCAATTTCTCGAGTGACGTTTTGCCGGTGTTGACGAGATCTTCGGGCTTGTCGACGTTAAGCGCGCCCAGCGGGCCGACGTAGTGCTCGAGCAGGTGTCCGAGATTTTCCTGGCGGAAACCGACCTCGAGGAAGTTGTACGACGCGCCGAACACCTCGGCGGTGACGTTGAAGTCGATGGACGTCGGTAGGAAGGATTCCTGCGAGTAGATCACGTTCGCCTCGAGCGCTCCCCCAAGTCCGTACGAGGAGAGCGAGCCTGATTGTTCGGCGTGGAAGGAGAACTTGCGGACGTCGAACGGAAACTGCCTGTTCGTGTTGATCATGCCGAGGAAGTGCTTCGCGAGGTTCTTGTCCGGATTGACCGACGCCTTTAAGCTGCGAATGTGAGTGAGAATAAAACCTCCGACTTGATAGCTGGGTTCCTTGTCGAGCAGAGCCTTGATGGTGTTTGCGGTTTTACCGGTGGGGCATTTCGCGACAACCAAATAGGCTTTGATGCGAAACTCGCTGTCTTGCTGTATGTCCTTCAGGATGTTAATTGCGCTGTCTCTGATCGGATCCTTGCATGCATTCGCCATGTACGCTTGAAGGGCGGCGACGCGCAGACGGGACGGAGCTTTCTTATCTTGAGCGATTGCGGTGACCTTAGGAATTGCGGTGTCGGTTATCACCCCCATGTTGCTCAGCGCCTTCAAAGCGTTAATCATTTCATTTTCGTCCTTGCGGGCCCTCGGTTTTCCAGTTCCCAGTTTGGCGACGAGCTTTTCGACAAGTTGGCCGACAGCGGCGACCTTATCGCAAGAATGCTGCCCGCAGAAGCGCCGCGCGAGCGTTCCTATACCTAGGTACGCCTCGCGGGGAATATCTTGGTCCAATAGTGTGGTGGCTGCCGACAGTGATTCTGCGGTCGCATGTTTCACAAACGCCAAGCTCAGATAGACCATTTTTTGCTCGATGACGCCCAACTCCTTACTCTTGAGTAGCTCGATACCAACCTCAATGCACTCACCGGTACCTGCGCGTAAAACCGCGTCCAAAAACACCTTCCGCGTACCCTCCTTGTCCTTGAAACCTGCGCCGCTCTTGACCTGTCGGAATACCGTCAGTATGTCGTCCTTCTTGGATGCTCTCAGAATTTTAAACAGATTCATGAACGCTCTGGCGGAGTTCTCCTTAACCGTAACGTCGATGGTGCCCTTCGCGTCCTTGAGCGCGGTTAAGATGGCGTCCACGTTATTCTGATCGGCCGTGATCAAGTGGGGATTTTCGAAAATAATCGAACGAGGCGTGTTCGTCGTGTCCTGCGGCGATTCCTTGACGCTGCCCGCGAACTGAATCTTCGTGAAGGCGGTCGCTTTCGCGCCATTTTTACCGACCGAGAACGGCATGTGTAGGTAATTTTCGGTGATCGACGCGTAGTCCAAAATTCCATTCTTGATTCGCTGCTCCGACATGTAATCTCCATTCAATATCGGCGTCGATTTTATGTCGCTGTCCAAGTTGAACGCCGTAGCTGTGAAATCCTGAAAACACAACCGTGGTCGCGTTTACACAATGTGGTGGTGGTGGAGGGAGGGGGAATGGCAAAGACTACACTTTGTGGGCCCATGTGTGTGTAGAGGGGGGGGGGGCCTTTTTTGAATCGATAACCCAACAAAGAAAGAGTCCACGCACAACATTTTCCCTATACACATCAGCAGTCTCATGGTCCTTTTTTGGAGATGGCACCCCTACTGGGGGGTGGGAGGTGGGTGGGTTATTAACACTCTCACGATAGTGACGAAAGACGAAGATTTACAACTCACCAGCAAACGGAAAATTCAATAACCGTTCACCAAAAAAAATACTAACAATTCTGACACCCCGTTTAGAGGGGTAGAATATTTTCTGCGTTGAGATTTCCACTTAAAACCCTAAAAAGGGAGTTCACAAAGGGGTGTAACACAGTTTTAAGAGTGTAGAGGGTACAAAAGTCTAGGGAAGTGCGTGCGGGAAATATTTGAAAATTTAAAAAAAAAACACTAACAATTCTGACGCCCCATTTAGAGGGGCAGAATATTTTCTACGATGAGATTTCCACTTAAAACACTAAAAGGGGAGTTCACATAGGGGTGTAAAGGAGATTTAAGAGTGTAGAGGGTACAAAAGTCTAAGGAAGTGCGCGTGGAAAACTGAAAATTCAAAAAAAAAATACTAACAATCCCGTCTAGAGGGGAAAATATTTTTTGCGTTGAGATTTCCACTTAAAACACTAAAAGGGGAGTTCACGCAGGGGTGTAAAGGAGTTTTAAGAGTGTAGAGGGTACAAAAGTCTAAGGAAGTGCGCGTGGAAAACTGAAAATTCAAAAAAAAAATACTAACAATCCCGTCTAGAGGGGAAAATATTTTTTGCGTTGAGATTTCCACTTAAAACACTAAAAGGGGAGTTCACGCAGGGGTGTAAAGGAGTTTTAAGAGTGTAGAGGGTACAAAAGTCTAAGGAAGTGCGCGTGGAAAACTGAAAATTCAAAAAAAAAATACTAACAATCCCGTCTAGAGGGGAAAATATTTTTTGCGTTGAGATTTCCACTTAAAACACTAAAAGGGGAGTTCACGCAGGGGTGTAAAGGAGTTTTAAGAGTGTAGAGGGTACAAAAGTCTAAGGAAGTGCGCGTGGAAAACTGAAAATTCAAAAAAAAAATACTAACAATCCCGTCTAGAGGGGAAAATATTTTTTGCGTTGAGATTTCCACTTAAAACACTAAAAGGGGAGTTCACGCAGGGGTGTAAAGGAGTTTTAAGAGTGTAGAGGGTACAAAAGTCTAGGGAAGTGCGCGCGGAAAATATCTTGAAAAGTTAGTGAAAAGGAAAGAGGGTACAAAGGTCTAGGGAAGTGCGCGCGGAAAATATTTGAAAATTCAAAAAAAAATACTAACAATTCTGACACCCCGTTTAGAGGGGCAGAATATTTTCTGCGTTGAGATTTCCCGTAAAACACTACAAGGGGAGGTCACGCAGGGGTGTAAAGGAGTTTTAACAGTGTAGAGGGTACAAAAGTCTAGGGAAGTGCGAGCGGAAAATATTTGAAAATTTAAAAAAAATACTAACCATTTTGACACCCCGTTTAGAGGAGCAAAATATTTTCTGCGTCGAGATTGCCATTTAAAACGAGTTCAAGCAGGGATGTAAAGGAGTTTTAAGAGTGTAGAGGGCACAAAAGCCTTGGGAAGTGCGCGCGGAAAATATTTGAAAATTAAAAAAAAAATTCTAACAATTCTGACACCCCGTTTAGAGGGGCAGAATATTTTATGCGTTGAGATATCCACTTAAAACACTAAAAGGGGAGTTCACGCAGGAGTGTAAAGGAGTTTTAAGAGTGTAGAGGGTACAAAAGTCTAGGGAAGTGCGTGCGGGAAATATTTGAAAATTAAAAAAAAAACACTAACCATTCTGACACCCCATTTAGAGGGGCAGAATATTTTCTACGATGAGATTTCCACTTAAAACACTAAAAGGGGAGTTCACATAGGGGTGTAAAGGAGTTTTAAGAGTGTAGAAGGCACAAAAGCCTTGGGAAGTGCGCGCGGAAAATATTTGAAAATTAAAAAAAAAATTCTAACAATTCTGACACCCCGTTTAGAGGGGCAGAATATTTTATGCGTTGAGATATCCACTTAAAACACTAAAAGGGGAGTTCACGCAGGAGTGTAAAGGAGTTTTAAGAGTGTAGAGGGTACAAAAGTCTAGGGAAGTGCGTGCGGGAAATATTTGAAAATTAAAAAAAAAACACTAACCATTCTGACACCCCATTTAGAGGGGCAGAATATTTTCTACGATGAGATTTCCACTTAAAACACTAAAAGGGGAGTTCACATAGGGGTGTAAAGGAGTTTTAAGAGTGTAGAAGGCACAAAAACCTTGGGAAGTGCGCGCGGAAAATATTTGAAAATTAAAAAAAAAATTCTAACAATTCTGACACCCCGTTTAGAGGGGCAGAATATTTTATGCGTCGAGATATCCACTTAAAACACTAAAAGGGGAGTTCACGCAGGAGTGTAAAGGAGTTTTAAGAGTGTAGAGGGCACAAAAGCCTTGGGAAGTGCGCGCGGAAAATATTTGAAAATTAAAAAAAAAATTCTAACAATTCTGACACCCCGTTTAGAGGGGCAGAATATTTTCTGCGTTGAGATTTCCACTTAAAACACTAAAAGGGGAGTTCACGCAGGGGTGAAAAGGAGTTTTAAGAGTGTAGAGGGTACAAAAGTCTAGAGAAGTGCGTGCAGAAAATATTTAAAAATTCAAAAGAAAATACTAACAATTCTGACACCCCATTTAGAGGGGCAGAATATTTTCTACGTTGAGATTTCCACTTAAAACCCTAAAAAGGGAGTTCACAAAGGGGTGTAACAGAGTTTTAGGAGTGTAGAGGGTAGAAAAGTCTAGGGAAGTGCGGGAAATATTTGAAAATAAAAAAATACTAACAATTTTAACACCCCACCCCATTTAGAGGGGCAAAATATTTTCTACGAAGAGATTTTCACTTAAAACACTAAATGGGGAGTTTACGCAGAGGTGTAAAGGAATTTTAAGAGTGTAGAGGGTACAAAAGTCTAAGGAAGTGCGCGAGGAAAATATTTGAAAATTAAAGAAAAACACTATCAATTCTGACACCCCGTTTAGAGGGTCAAAATATTTTTTGCGTTGAGATTTCCACTTAAAACACTAAAAGGGGAGTTCACGCAGGGGTGTAAAGGAGTTTTAAGAGTGTAGAAGGTACAAAAGTCTAGGGAAGTGCGCGCGGAAAATATTTGAAAATTAAAAAAAAATACTAACAATTCTGACACCCCGTTTAGAGGGACAGAATAATTTCTGCGTTGAGATGTCCACTTAAAACACTAAAAGGGGAGTTCGCGCAGGGGTGTAAGTGCGCGCGTGCGTCCGGAAAGTATTTCAAAAAAGTTGATACAAAAGAAAGAAATATTGGCACCCAGTTACAAAAGTGACTCACTACAACGCTTCGAGTGCAATAGCTGGAATGCTAATTTTTTTCAAGGTTAGCGGAAGTAAGCGCCATCTATTAAATTTACCTGACTGATAGTTTCGCGGTGCCCACACCGATTCAAATGGCGACTCTTCTGCACGATCAAAAACGCCCCATCTTTGCGCGTGTTTATATCGACCGGGCACACGCCGAAAACGTCAGTCTCGTAATGCTCCTTAATCGCCGCCTGGAACAGCGACGCGACGGCCCGCTTGATGTTGAGCGAGTTCTGATTGTCGTCCGCATTCGTGCAGATGCTATCCTCGATCTGGCCGTCGTTGAAGTTGACACGTATCGGCTTCTCGATGCCCGCCAGGTTGCCATATTTCTGCAAGGCGTCAAACGCGAAAGTCTCGCCGTTGCGTCGCCGCACCTCGACTCACCTTCGCGTCCGGTCCGATCACCTGCACGTTCTGCAGCCTCAACAGTTGATTGCACTGGCTCAACTGCGTCAACAGCACCGTCGCCTTCAATTTCGTATTGCTGATCTGTCCTTCGGCCGACGACAACGAAATGTCGACGTTTCCCTCCAAATTGTACTTGTACGTCGTACCTTCCGCATACTTAAACGTCTTTGCCGCACCCCCCTTACATCCCGATCGGCATTTACCCTCTAAAAAGTTGATTGAACACGAATTTTAAAATAAACAAATTAATCATTGAACTCTGTCAAGTTCAACTAACAATGCGATATGAGATTGCTGATCTCAGTGGCCATGTCAAAGTTCAAACAACAATTTTTTCATTGACCAAGGTGAGGGAATACAGAAAGCAAAACAATGAAGGGGTACTCACCCTCGCCCGTGCCAACGTTAGCAGTAATTAACACTAGAAACGCAACGCCCAACGTGAATGTCTTCAGTCGCTTCATTGCGCACTCGTACTTACATTGGAGTACCTAGAGTCTGCCTTTATAACCTCCCCCACCTCGTCATTTAACTTATCAGTCCCGAGTTGATTACTCTGCACAACCAAGTTTCTGAGAAAGATTTCTTCCGATAATTTCCCGTCTTTTTCCCTCTAAGACTTCTAAGCCACATAGACGGACGGTGCGGAAACTGTTTTTTAGCGCGCGCGTCTTTTTTCGGGAAAAGATATCAATTTCCACATCTTATCCAAATTTCGATGTACTTAAACAATTCGTCTAAAGTTCACGTTTGAAAGTCTAATAATTGTTTTAGATAAAAGTGTACACAAATACAGAAATTATGACCCGAAAGAAGTTAATGTAATCGTGCCGGCATCAGGCTAATTTTCCAATTAGGGCCCTTATTTTAGTTTAATGTGCGTACAGGATGTACGAATGACATTCAAACGTAACAAAGCTCCAATTTAGCTATCTTAATTCTTCTCGAGCCAAGAAAATATTTTCCGGTCACAGTTCATTTCCATCGACTTGACCGTTGTCAATATATGTGATGTATATTTAAACAAATAACTTTATCACAGATAATAACAAAACAAAAATAAGCGTACACTGTCGCTGTAAATTATTCCACGGGTGCTATATCGCAATTCCTCTTTGTGCTAGGTACTTAAATGCTCTGCTGGCTTCCGATCGGGAAGATAAACTATGAGATCAAGGCGGCGAGGTCAATTTGTTTACAAATTGTGCTGCGTTTGCTTTTCTAAAAACTTAATTAGTTACAATTGCTTGTGGCAGCATAGATTTAGATTAAAAATATAAACGATAATCTTTTGTGTCTACGAATTCTCCTTCGTCGGCAACCTCCAAGGCAACTACTATTTGTATAGAATGGTGCTGTCCACTGCAATTAGATGCATTTTCCACAGTACAATTTGAAGTAGGGCCAAACGCTTAATAAAAAATTGCCACTCGACTGTGGCGTGCCAAATAACTATCAATGTGGAATGCGCACATTCCCAGTGCATAAAATAGTAATGAATTTCGAAAATCACAAAGCGATACGATATGTCTCACAATCAAGTCGTTCTCACTCCCTTAAGACAAGTGTAAATTTGACTTCCCTACTTAATGAAGATCTAATTAGTCAAGTCAGGGTTTGAAATTAAATTAAATAAGCGAATGCCGACATAAATCCATCTCACTCTCTTAAAACAGAGTAGAAATTTGACTTTCCTACTCCCTCATTCCCACCGCTTAGAAAATGCAGCAGTGGTTTTTCTTACACGGAAATTAATGAACTTTCAGATGAACTTTGGTCTGTTAAGGAGATCGATGATACTAGATACCTAGGTACGAGGCGTCGCTTATCGCTGACACTGATACGGTCGCCAATCAGGGAGGGCTTGCAGCACTGCATTATCGTATAGTCTTACCCCTCCCCTGTTTCGAGGAACAAACGAAACTTTGGTAGTCGTATCTTTCCAGGATTTTTTAATTAAAAAAAATAGCGTTGCCCGGTTTTTTGCAATGCAGCATCGCAATCTCGTGATCCCCCATTTGTGACTAATTATATTTCACCTGGTAGTGAGCAAACACCAACAAAACTTACTCCACTCTTGTGGGAGAACATAGTACTTATGGAATAGTCGTATCTTTCCAGGATTTTTTAATTAAAAAAAATAGCGTTGCCCGGTTTTTTGCAATGCAGCATCGCAATCTCGTGATCCCCCATTTGTGACTAATTATATTTCACCTGGTAGTGAGCAAACACCAACAAAACTTACTCCACTCTTGTGGGAGAACATAGTACCGGGGGTCTGAGGAATATGGAATACCCCCCAGCCAACACCCCTCAACATACGACGACTTTTAGAAAGGTTACCATGATAGTGTAAGAGGTAATATAAAAAAAACAAGTCCTCCTTTGCTGAGAGTATTGCTGGGGAGTATTCCATACCCTCCAGACCCCCCGGTCCTACGTTCTTTCACAAACAGTGCAATGTTTAGTACTTATACGATAATTGGCGAGAAAAAACCACCAAACTTACTCTACTCTCGTGGGAGAACACAGTACCGGGGGGTCCGGGGAGTATGGAATCCCCCCCAGCCAATACCTCTCAACATACGACGATTTGATTACTTTTCAAAAAGTTTACCATGATAGTGCAAGAGGTAATATAAAAAAAACAAGTTCTCCTTTGCTGAGAATATTGCTGGGGGGGGGGGGGATTCCTGTACCCCCCAGACCGCCGGTCCTATGTTCTTTCACAAAAAAGTGTAATGTTTAGCACTTATACGATAATTTGCGGGAAAACACCACCACACTGAATCTACTATTGTGAGAGAAGGTAGTACCGGGAGGTCTGGGGGGTATGGGTATGGAATACCCCCCAGCCAATACTCCTCAACTTAGAACGATTTGATTACTTTTCAAAAAGGTTACCATACCCCCCAGACCCCCCGGTCCTACGTTCTTTCACAAAAAGTGTAATGTTTAGCACTTATAACATAATTAGCGAGAAAAAAACCACCAAACTTAATCTACTCTCGTGAGAGAACATAGTACCGGGGGGTCTGGGGGGTATGGAATACCCCCCAGCCAATACCCCTCAACATACGACGATTTGATTACTTTTCAAAAAGTTTACCATGATAGTGCAAGAGATAATATTAAAAAAAACAAGTCCTCCCTTGCTGAGAGTATTGCTGGGGGGGTATTCCATACTAAGGGGCTAAAAGTCAGTTCAGCATAAAACAATTTTCGTACCCGGCGCAACTACCAATTAATAAAAATGTGTTTAAAGTGACAATAAAATCGTCAAAGAAAATATTATTACAACCGCACTCGCGCTTGTCTCACTCTGAACTAAAATATGTAGGGGAAAATCAACCTCCCTTCATCTTTAAGTCAGGGTGAGTCGCTGATACATCAAAATAGTCAAACAAACGAGGGTTTATGTCGGAAGAATCAAAGTAGGCTAGCACATTTTTCCTCCATAATCGATTCTTTCTAATTAAAGCAACGTGAGGTCATTATAGACACTTAAAAAATCAAAGTTACATACCCCACACTGCAAAATCGCTGTCAAATTCGGAAATTTCCGCACTTCCACGACTAACACAAATTCTATTGGCAATAAATCGATAACGGCTACACTACAAAAAATCTACTATCAAACACAAATTAGACACGTGTTAAGTTTATATTAAAAAAATAGGAAACAACAACTTTAACATTTCGCCAACTGCATTCTTTGCAGCAACTTAAACGCCCCGGTGCCCGAGTGACACGGTTTACCCAGCACGAGGCAGCTCGACGGATTCTGCAGGTTATCCCGTTTCGCTAAAAAACAATTCGCACATAAAACCACGAAAAGGAGCGGAAGTCGAACGAACCGTTCACGGTGGCCAACTTGAGAAAGTTTAGGGACGCCTCGAACGACATCTGCTGGAAGGGCGACGCGCTGCTGCTCATACCTCGCCGACTGAGCGGCTCGAACGTCCCGTTGAACATCATGTAGTCGGCGATTAGGAGGAGATGGCGGGGGTCGACCGTGATGCCGTAAACCTTAAAGACCTCCTGAACTTCTTTGACCACGACTTTCGTCGCGGCTTCGATGCCGTACGTTTCGCCGAATTTGTGTATGTCATTCGAGTACAGCTTGTTCAAGTCGAGCAGGTCGTTGTACTTGAACATTTCCGTGATATTGATGCCATCCGTGCGTAGTATCAACGTATTGTCCTTGATGTAAGTGATCGCCCGTTTGATGTTGGGCGTTTCAAAGATGACCGACTTGTTAGCCACATCCCTCAGAATGCTGGTCATGTCTAATTTTTTGTGAGTCAAAGGTAGCTACAAGGACGGGTTTACGAAATTGACAACTGTAAATTTTGGCGCACTTACGGCAAAAGTCAATTCGCACCATAAGTACTTCTTTTTGTCGAACACGTAATTTTGAGCGTACACGTACGAGTCTACAACTTCTTGATGATCGGCGACGGCATCATCGGGCTCACTTACTTCCTCGTCTGCAATGATAATTTTGTTACGTTCTTCCCCAAAGCAAAGTTGAAATTGATGCAGTAATTAATGTGTGGAATACCCCCCAGCCATAAGGGCGACGAAGGTTTATAAAACCACCCAACAAACCTCTCCCTATAGGCCTCATTAACCTCACCGTGGTTTTTTTAAAGATGACAATAGAACTGTTTTCGCCTGGGGGGTATTCCATACCCCCCAGACCCCCCCGTAGTAATTCCTTACACAAAACTAAACCTTCAGAACTTTTATGATACTTTTTGAGAAAGAATTCTCAGATTTTTGGGGGAGGACGTAGCACCGGGGGGTCTGGGGGGTATGGAATACCCCCCAGCACAAGGAAGACAAAGGTTTAATACCACCCAACAAAGAAATACTCCACAACCCTCTCCCTATGGGCCTCAGTAACCTCATAGTGGTTTTTTTAGAGATGACAATAACACTGTTGTCGCCGGGGGGGGGGGTATTCCATACCCCCCAGTAGTAATTCCTTACACAAAACTGAACTTTCAGGACTTTTATGATACTTTTTGGGAAAGAATTCTCAGATTTTTGGGGGAGGACGTAGCACCGGGGGTCTGGGGGGTATGGAATACCCCCCAGCACAAGGAAGACAAAGGTTTAATACCACCCAACAAAGAAATACTCCACAACCCTCTCCCTATGGGCCTCAGTAACCTCATAGTGGTTTTTTAAGAGTTGACAATAGAACTGTTGTCGCCTGGGGGGTATTGGAGACCCCCCGGTAGTAATACCTTTCACAAAACTGAACCTTCAAAACTTTTATGATACTTTTTGAGAAAGAATTCTCAGATTTTTGGGGGAGGACATAGCACCGGGGGGTCTGGGGGGGTATGGAATATCCCCCACGACTAGGAAGACGAAGGTTTAAAACCATCCTACAAAGAAATACTCCACAACACTCTCCCTATAGGCCTCAGTGGTTTTTTAAGAGTTGACAATAGGAATACCCCCCAGACCCCCCGGTAGTAATACCTTTCACAAAACTGAACCTTCAGAACTTTTATGATACTTTTGAGAAAGAATTCTCAGATTTTTGGGGGAGGGCGTAGCACCGGGAGGTCTGGGGGGTATAGAATACCCCCCAGCACAAGGAAGACGAAGGTTTAAAACCATCCAACAAAAAAATACTCCACAACCCTCTCCCTATGGGCCTCAGTAACCTCATAGTGATTTTTTAAGAGTTGACAATAGAACTGTTGTCGCCTGGGGGGTTTTCCATACCCCCCAGACTCCTCGATAGTAATTCCTCACACAAAACTGAACCTTCAGAACTCTTATGATACATTTTGAGAAAGAATTCTCAAATTCTCAGAAGTACTGCAAAGATCGTACCACCAAGGGGTCTGGGGGGGTATGGCCAGCACAAGGAAGACGAAGGTTTAAAACCACCCAACACAGAAATACTCCATTTCCCTGTTCTCAATAACCACACGGTGGGTTTTTTTTGGAGACGACAATGAAACTACCCCCCCCCCCTTTCATTCTTTAACAAAACTCTTGACCTTCAGAACTCTCACAATACTTTTTGAGGAAGAATGATCAAAATTACTGTAAAGAACACAGCGGCAAGAGGGTACGGGGGTATACCCCCCCCCCCCCCACTAAAAGAACTCGGGTTCAAAACCACCCGACAAAGAAAGCCTCCACAACCTTCAGTAGTCTCCATGTTAGTAACAGGAAATATGAAACAGTAACAAACCATCATCCGACTTGACCTCCTCTTCGTTCTCTTGATCGTCATTAGCTTGCTCATATTTAGTGACCAACTTGGCATCCTCCGTGTCTTCAGGCTCATCGCCCGAATCATCACTGTCCTCAACCTTGGGTTGCGTCGGCTCCGGCACGTCGTCATCATCGTCGTCGTCCTTGTTTCTACTCCCCTTATCCTTCCCCATCACCACCCTGTCGAGTGAATTAGATCGACCGACCACAGACAGAAACACACTTACACATTAGTGACCATCTTTGTTTGCCGTTTCAGTAACGTGAACATTTGGGCGAAATACTTCTTCGTCATGTGTTTCAAAACTCCTTTCGGTTTGATGTTGTACTTGCTGCTGTAGAGCTCGTGCGGCAGGAAGTTGAATCGCAGCCGGTACTTCATCTGCCTGACCGGCTCGGTTTCCTGCCGCACGACCACCTCGATCTTCTCCAAGACGTCCGCGACCGTAACCCTCGTCAGTATTCGCCTCAAGTGCTCGGCGCGCTTCTCCTGATTGGGAACGTTCAGAAACGGAACTTCCATCGACGGCGTCTTCGGGTTTTTCGACGCCATCATTAAAATTTCGCGCAGGCGCGGTATTCCCAGCGTGACGTTCATTTCGCCTCTACCGGCAAAATGAAACGTGTTCAAGGTCATTTGGGTGGACGGCTCGCCGATGGACTAGAAACGAGGTTATTACGAGACGGTAATTGCGGCGAGGTTTTGCGTTACTTGCGCCGCCAGAAGTCCGACGGGCTCGCCGGGTGCGCACAGAGACTGCATGGCCTTGTATCTGACCATCCTTTGGAACTCCTTGTCTTTTTTCTTGTTGTAGTACGAGTGTTTGGCGATCAACGACTGTAATTGTTCGGATAACGCCCCGAAGGTGGCGTCGGGCTGTTCTATACTGTTCAAGGGGTCAGGCGAACGTTCACAGTACTTTTTAAATCTACAAGGGTAAGACAATTAGAAGACATTTCCAAAATATTGAATTTACCCAAATTTTAATTCCTCATCGGCGTTTTCCCACAACTTTACGATATTCTTGCTTAATTTGGACCGTCCAGTGCGACGGCTGCACTTATTCTCGTTGCTCACGTTAATCTTATCCTTCACCGTAGTCGAGAATATCGTGAACGGAGAGCGGCGTCGCTTCTGCAAGACGTCGCCGTTGCTGGTCCGCCAGAGCGTTTGCTGCTCGATCAGATCGTTCACTTTCGCGATTTCCTTTTCCATCTGTTTCACCACCCCTCTATTAATGATGGCGCCACAGTTCTCCTTGAGAAACTCGATTTGTTTGCTATTCAAAAATTGGGTCTTGGTCACGTCCATTCCGTCTTCCCCATACAGAAACTGCTCAACTATTACGAGCCGGCCGACTCTCTCGAACACTTACCTGAATTACCGACTGATCACTATCGCGCACGGTCAAGTCGTAGCCGACCGTTAGACCCTCGAGATGCTTAATAAGGCAACGCTGCAAGTAACCACTGCGACTGGTCTTGACCGCTGTATCGATTAGACCCTGCAATGCGATTATTAATGGGGCAACGAGAGCAATGGTCGTACCTCACGACCGGCCATGCAGTGAAAGAAAAATTCCTGCGGTTGTATGCCGGTCATAAAGCGGCCGTCGATGAAACCGCCCGCGCGAGGGCTGAACTCGAAGATTGGAAAGCTGGGTAGGCTCTTTCCCGAAATCATTACGGGCGGACGTTTCCCCTCCAGCTCGATCTGCCCGAGCAGGCACGAGATCTGCATCGTATTGACGGTGGACCCTTTCGCTCCCGACTGGACCATTAGCTGCAGGTTGTTGTAGGGAAACTTGCATATTAAACCTGCGGGCAAACAGGCCCTGCGCAATGACGTCATTAGTTTCGCAAACGTTCCTGGTTTGCACTTACTTATTGATGTCGTTGGTGAAGGGATCCAAAACCGCCTTGTACTCGCGATCGACTATCGCCTTTATGTTCACGTTACCGGCGCTCGCCCGCGCCGCCGTCTCGAGGATGTCGTCCGTTTCGGCGTTCTTCGGCAGATCCAGCGCGACCGTCATCACGGAGTTGCCCAGCTTGCGCAGCCGTTTGATTACCTTGCGACGCTTTTTGTCGGCGTCGGGCAGTATGAGAATGTCGTGAACGCCCAAGGTGAAACCGTCGTGCTGCAGGAAGGAGGTGAACAGCTTCGCGAACGAACTGAGCAGCTTGGTCGCGTACGTTCCGCCGTAAAGCTGCGGAGAAAGTTGCGAATCGATCAATGGGGCCTGAATCTGATTGCCATTCAATTATAAACATGTCGCTATAAACTATAGTTAACAGCTGCATCGCGAGGTGGATAAAACCAGCCCCCTCCCCCACGTCTTTGAAATCAGAAACAAATAAACGCATTTTTTTAACCGAAATAGCTTTTGTTTTGACATCACCAATGGATATATTTCTTGCAGACGTTTCAATCGCCCTTTGTGAGTACCCTACAATCCGTTCTTGTTCATAATACAATAAGCAAATAGGCAACTTTTTTACCCGCAAAAAAGAAAGAATTTTCCCATTTTTCCCCATAAAACACCCTCCGGAGGACGGACGGTCAGAGTCACGCGGACACCGCCGCGGCCCGGGGGGGTGCCGAGGACGGGCGCGCCGAACCGTGTAGGGTAGAATTTTTTTGCCGTAAGACGTGAAAAAACCCGAAAAACACCTTTTCGGACCTGGAGGAAAAGTTATTCGACCTACGGGCTCGGTACTTTCGGAATCCGTAGCCGTTAGGGGTGGCCACTTTTACAAATTTTTTCGATCCGCCTCGACCACCGAGGGAGGTGGGAGTAGGATCTACACTAAACGTAAACTATCGTAACCTCGCCGTCGAGACCTTCCCGGCGATACCTCTCATACCCTCCTACGACTTTCCGTTACCGAGATTCGCATTTTGGCGACGCCTGGCGACGTCACCCGACGCCGCCGTCGCGAATCGTCCAAATTGTATTCTTCCCTCATCGACAACAAACGGGTCGCGAAACGTCGATATATATATATATACCCATTTTTAAAAATACACTCGTACGCGATCGATCTCCGAAGTCCACGCGCAAGGATGCGTCTTAAAGGGCCGCGCATCTCTTAATATCTCTCTTATTTACCGGCCGATCTGGACCAAATTTGAACTATATCTGCGCCCGTCCGGATGCTCGAAACAGGATTTTCATATCGACGCATCTCTGGCGTCTTTCGACCTGCGACCTCGATACTTCGGAATTACGCGTTTCGCAACATTTCTAGACGATCTACGCAATAATCGTTTTTTGGATTCTTTATCAAAAACTTAAATCGCGATATCTCGAAAACGGACCGTCGTAGGTATGGGTTCATGGGTGTTTTTAAATAGGTCTCGACTTAATCTAACCGATGGGAGGGTCGGAATTTCGGAACGGAGATAAAAGCTCAGAAATGGCGGGAACGGATGCCCCGAGTTACTGAACCCCACAATACCAAATTTCGTCGAGATCGGATGGTAAATAACGGAGATATAGCGATTTGTAATTTGATACCACAAAAACACTTAAATCATGACATGTCTTTAGAAAGCTCTCGATCTAACCTAACTGATGAGAGGACAAATTTTGAAATGCAAAAGGAAACCAATTTTAAAAGATTCGTGAACGTGAACGATTAAGTTGAGTTAGTGTTAAGTTACGTTTGGTTAGGTTAGGTTAGGTTAAGTTCAAAGTTCAATATCAAGTTCAAAGTAAAATGGTTAGGTTAGGTTAAGTTCAAAGTTCAAGATCAAGTTCAAAGTAAAAAAATTCGATTTAACTCAATAACACATCTCGACCTAACCTAACTGCCCATTTCGACCTAACCTAATTTCCATCACCTCGACCTAACCTAACTGCAATCTACTACACATTTCGACCTAACCTAACCGCCGTCTCTAATAAAAAAATAAACAGAATACATACGCAGAAAGTCGTACTACAAATGCGCAAAACTTTCTTATTTATATCAATAGATGATAAAGAATTGGTATACAGTTAAAACAGAATCGTATGTTACCTATAGCATGGAACGAAACGAAATAGCATACAATATCCAAAACCCAATAGGTTTATATTACAACGAAAAAATACAAACACAAACGTAAAAATGCCCCATTTTCAGGGGAATTAGGGGGAAATCAACTCACGCTAGCGAAGTCTTAAAATGCGTAGCATTTTTATAAACACATACGCCGAGTTTGACTAAAAAAAAAGACTATCGATATATTGGTGCTTTTTTGAGCCGAATCAAAATTTTTTTCCTTTGTTTTTCGCATTTTATAAAATTCCAACGTCACTTAAAAACAACCCAAACTACAATCGCACAACGGTCGAGCTAAAAAAAAATTTACAAACGGAAAACCACAAAAAACGGCGTGTGATAACAAAACGCCGTNGAACCCCACAATACCAAATTTCGTCGAGATCGGATGGTAAATAACGGAGATATAGCGATTTGTAATTTGATACCACAAAAACACTTAAATCATGACATGTCTTTAGAAAGCTCTCGATCTAACCTAACTGATGAGAGGACAAATTTTGAAATGCAAAAGGAAACCAATTAAATTTCAAAGTTCAAGATCAAATTCAAAGTAAAAAGTAAATTTTGATTTAACCCAATTTAACACATCTCGACCTAACCTAACCTAACTGCCCATTTCCACCTAACCTAATTTCCATCATCTCGACCTAACCTAACCGCCGTCTCTAATAAAAAAATAAACAGAATACATACGCAGAAAGTCGTACTACAAATGCGCAAAACTCAACCTTCTTATTTATATCAATAGATGATAAAGAATTGGTATACAGTTAAAACAGAATCGTATGTTACCTATAGCATGGAACGAAACGAAATAGCACACAATATCCAAAATCCAATAGGTTTATATTACAACGAAAAAATACAAGCACAAACGTAAAAATGCCCCATTTTCAGGGGAATTAGGGGGAAATAAACTCACGCTAGCGAAGTCTTAAAATGCGTAGCATTTTTAATAAACACATACGCCGAGTCTGACTAAAAAAAGACTATCAATATATTGGTGCTTTTTTGAGCCCAATCAAAATTCTTTTCCTTTGTTTTTCGCATTTAAAAAAGTCCAACGTCACTTAAAAACAACCCAAACTACAATCGCACAACGGTCGAGCTAAAAAAAAATTTACAAACGGAAAACCACAAAAAACGGCGTGTGANCCCCCCCTCCCTCAGACCCCGTTGTTCACTGATATAAAAAAAAGTCGTACGGGAAAGTTATAGTTTGTACAAACCAATTTATTTCGATGAGACCTTTCATTAGAATACTATGAAAGGTAGAACATGTGTTTATCCCCCCCACCCCCATTTTCTGAAGTTTAACTCAGCACCACTAAAGGCATGCGTATACAAAAGCTGAGACCTATTGGTTGTCTTATGTAAAAGGTACACACGTTTTACTTACAACAGTATCTCAGACAAACATTCCTGCCCCCCCCCCCCCCCCCCATGACATCAAAATTTGATTTTCAAGGTATAGGCTACCTATTGCAAAAATTCCAAACGTAGGCAGAATTTTAAGCACACCAAACTTACCTCATAGATGCAGTGAACCAGCCCGAAAGGGGTGGCGCCATAGTGAGTCTTATCGAGCACGCCCACCAATAGCTCACCGCCGCGTATCACCACCTCCGCCTCGGACATATCCGAATCGTTCACGAACGGCGTTCCCCCTCCTCTCCAAGCTCGCGGCGTCGCGTTCTGCCACGCCTGCAAATTCGAAATTAAAATCCGAGCCGTACGGAAGGGTAAATGGTTGACCTTCGGGCTAATCTTCGCGACCGACTTCAGGTTAATCGCCTGACGATCGCGCGGAATCACGTTGAGAATTACGGTCGAGAGGACCTGTTTCCCCGACCAGAGCGGCGTCGGTTTAAGGATCGCGGGCGGCAGCGTGACGATGTCGTCGGTTCTGAACGAGACGGCCTGGAAGACGAGCTGCTGGTAGTCGTGCTTGGCGAAGAAGCGGCCGCGCAGGGAAAGTCTCACGCCGGATATCACGTGATCTTGGATTAGGCCGCTGAGGGGCGTCCCGTCTTTCGGTACCAGATATTGATTGCAGACGTGAGCTGAAGGGGGCGTTAGTTGCGAGCGATCGCGAGGCGACGATACGTACCGATGTTGTAACCTTCGCTGCGCGCGAGCTCGTTCTGCGGGAAGTGCGCGTTCATTTCGTCACCGTCGAAATCGGCGTTGTACGCCTTGCAGTTGGCGTAGTGCAGCCTTAGAGTTTTCTCGCCTTTGAGAATGCGGGCGGTGTGCGCCATGATACTCGGTTTGTGTAAAGTCGGCTGACGATTCAAGAGCAAGACGTCGCCATTGCAGAGATGTCGGTGGACCTTTTTCACACCGGTAAAACCCGTCCCCTTATCGTCCGGTGTAAGAAGACGCTTTACAATACTCTCCTGCTGGCTCGCGTCACGCGGATTGATTTTTCTAATCGTTCCGTCTTCGAACTCCACCTGTACAGCTCTACGAGACGTAGTGAAATTGATGGGCCTTTGGACGACTTACCCAGGATGTACGTTCGGGCCATTGCTGATCATCTTTCGCATCTCCGTGACGTTCCACGGGGTGACCGGTACCGGATAGGTCAGGTGCTTGGCGAACGCTTCGGGCACGCCGATCTCGTCGATGTTCAAGTTGGGATCGGGCGTGATGACCGAACGCGCCGAAAAGTTGACCCTCTTCCCCATCATGTGCATGCGAATTAAACCCTCCTTCTTCTCGATGATCTGCTTCAGGCCCTCGCCCGAGCCCTTCTCCCTCGTATGGTCGATTAGCGAGTCGACGTTCATCTGCAGACTCTCCCAGGAGTTGTTCAGCTTCTCGATGGGAGACGACCCGTACGCGGTGGTGTACATTCCCTTCGCTTCGACCGAGAGCACGTCGACATCACCCTTGTGTTGCACGACCTGTATGATTATCCGGAGGAGTAACGAGGTGTTTAAGATGTCCTTGTAGATTTGCGACTGCGTGCTTTCGACCACGCGACCTTGAAGTACGTTCGCCTGAAACAACGTATGACTATGTATCAGGGTTGGACTGTGACCCAGTAACAATGCAGCTCATATTGTGAACTTTTGCTGGAAAACCGCTTTAAACTTAAACCCTTTAAAATTCTTAAAAGCTCTCAAAAGTTCTTCAAAGAGATCGTAAAAAAACAGACAATCTTAAGGCCTTCTAGCCTTCTGGAAACAGTCTCTTAAAGACTGTGGGTTTTAATGAGCTTTAAGAACATATCAAAGAAAGACCTTTAAAAACTCATGAGGACATGCATTCCTTAAGGGCTAAACAGTATGGAAAACTCTACACGAAAGAAAGACTTGGTGATCCTTTTTTAATTACCTTTTCACAAAGACTACCATGATAGTGCTAGGGGTAATATAAACAAAAGCAATCAAATTCTCTTTCACTAAGTGTATGGCTGGGGGGTATTCCTTATCCCCCAGACTACCATGATAGTGCTAGGGGTAATATAAACAAAAATAATCAAATTCGCCTTCACTGAGTGTATGGCTGGGGGGTATTCCGTACCCCTCAAACTATCATGATAGTGCTAGGGGTAATATAAACAAAAATAATCAAATTCTCCTTCACTCAGTGTTTGACTGGGGGGTATTCCGTACCCCTCAGACTACCATGATAGTGCTAGGGGTACTATAAACAAAAATAATCAAATTCTCCTTCACAAAGTGTATGGCTGGGGGGTATTCCATACCCCCCAGACTACCATCGTGTTTTCTTAATCTATGCCCAGTACATTACTTAGAAGTCAGATTTCCTCTACTACTAGTATCCCAACATAAGTCACGTACCGGCCTGGTATTCGGCGGCGTTACCGGAATAACGGTAAAATAAAAGGTATCGGTCGGATACGGAATGGTCAAGCCAGACAGGGCGGGGACGATCTCACGCACGAAATCCTTCTCGTGGTCCCAGATTTTTCGCAGGTAACTCCTTGACTCCTCGGGCGCCATGTACTTCGGCCGGTTCGACTTGACACCGCTGCAAGGTGAAAAACTCAGACCTCGCTCGTCCCTCAAAATGTGTCGCACTCACCCGCCTACCGACGTCGAGATTACGATACGGTTTCGGGCCACTTGTAGTTTCGTTATGGGTTGGTGACAGTGCATGCACTTTTTCCCGATTGGCATTTTCATTTTCGAATTTATGAAGTCGTTTCGTAAACCCTCCATGTTCTTGTTGTTCAGGACACGATCGTGGAGTTGCACTAAAAAAAAGTTGTTCGTTTATTTTTCGTGCGTCTCAGAGGAATCAAGACGGTAGAATCAAACCAACTCACCCGAACTGTTTTCAATTAACTTTTCGTACTCCTTAATCTGCTCCATATGCGCGGTACCATCCTTGCCAATCGGGTTCAAAAAAACATCCTGAAACTTTATCTCGATCTCGATCGCCTCTGTCGTAAATCCGTAGTTGAGCAGCTTAATCTGCAACCACAGGCAGTATTTGACTTGCGCTAAAAAAGATTGAACGTGACACACTGTTACACTAGCACTGGCAAACTCACGTGAAATCTGTACGTGAAAGCAATGGAGACAGGCGATCTTCAGAATGGAAGCGAGCACTTTGTGGAAGACCGGATTTACGACGGGTAACGGCAGGTCGATGTAACCGAAGTGACCCGGGCAGTAGTTGAAGTTCTTGCAGCACGTTTTGCACTGCTCGCTGTTCGAGTTGACGGGTCCTGCAAGATCGAGATGACGTACAGGAGAAACGGGAAGCGCGTAAGCTCACCCATCAGACGGTCGTAAAGGCCTCCCGGTAAGGGGTAACCTAGGGCATCGAAGGTGAGCGGTGAGGCAATTTTGGTAACGGAAAGCTTCTTTATGTCGTCATCTGTGAAGAGGGAGAATTCCAACCGATCCGGATCGTAGTGCTTGACACGCATCATGTCGTTTTTACTAAATTGAAACATTTTCAGGTTTGTGTGAATCACATTTAAAATTTGAGGTTATGTACAACAAGACTGTTTAGTGTTTTGAAGGTTATGCGACTGCGCCGGAATTCTAACAGTGGCGTCGAATACGGGAGCGAAAAGGTAGACAAAAGTGACAAACACTGGAGGGTCTCGAAATGCCCACATAGGCATCCCGAAAAAGTTGCAGCGGTGATTGTGGTTTTAGCAAAATTGAGGATGGCTAAATTCAGTTGCTTTTGGGAAAGGGTAATTTTTCTGGGGATATCCCATATTCGTAAATAGACCATTTTCGGATTTTGCTCTTTCTAGCGGGTCCGAAGTGGCGTAGTCACTGCGATGGTATCAACCGCATCCATGAAAATTCTGTCAAAGGATTCATAAGTTAACACAGAAACAGCACACTGACTAAATTGAAAAAAAAATGGAGGTGGGGCGTTGGCCATCCGCAAGTGGCCACCCCCGAAAATTCACTTACCTTTAGAATAACCACCAGCACTATTTCACTACAACACTATTCCCGAAACAGTTTACTGCGCAAATAATTTTGTTATAAATACTAGATTTTCCCTCGAGCAATTGACGGATATATGAGAGCAGAATCCCAGCGTACAGAATGTAAAGACATCGACCCAGTCCGAAGGAAGTGAGTTGACGTGTGTATCGATCGAAACGCGATATAGCAGAGTGCGACATCAACGAAAACTAATTTATACTTGCCTTATTCTTTTAAAAACCAATAACTGATCTTCGTGAAGTAATAATTGAGGTATAGCAATCCCCGAAGCCATTCTCCATGGGAATGGAATTATTGACCACAATACTTCTTCATAGTCTCGTTGGCATTGAAAGTCCGTTTAGTTAGCAAAAGTGGTATGGGTATGAATTCATAGTCATACCGATAGTCATTGCAGACAATCTTGCGTTACCAAGAGGAAAAGCTGTGAAAAAGGCCACAACTCACTTAATACCACAATACGAAGATCAGCCTAGTCCAATCTTCTGTCACTATATGCACTATTCACATTTTCCCCACTTTTCACACAAAATGAAATAGACCCATGCATAAAAAAAGAAAAATCCTACCTTTATAAGGCTGCTCTTCTGGAACCTGTAACAAAGAAGAAACTTATGTTAAAAACGAGACAAAAAAGATTTAAAAATTTGTTGTGGTTAGACTCAAACCATACCTTCACAAGGAAAACTTTCCATAAAAGAAAGCGGTCCGTTATTTTTGATCAATGAAAATTAACAGTGAACATTTACCCTTTAGCCTTATTAGTTCAGACTCGCCTGGGGACTGCTCACTGCGCAACCGCACTCGCTCAAATTCACGGGCTACTGGCAAAGGTATAATTCTAGCCATTACCAGTACCTGAAAAATGAAATATAAATTACAAAACACATCTAATGTTACAAACAAATTTGGATTGCAATACGACATACAAAAAAATGGTTCATATGAAAGACAGTGGCGTGCGTACTCACCGCGTTCGTTTGAGCGGCATGCAAATAATTTTGGAACAGGGAACATGTGATGTGGCCATGACGTCATGATCGTATACGATAGGGATAAGTTCAAGTTTAGCTGCATTCCCGAATCGTGGACAAACTTTATGAGCTAACCAATCACAGACAAGAATTGAACTGTCATTTGTCAGTTTTGTATTTTGTTTTGTTTTTGCATTATGGATACTGTTTTTAATAACCAGAAAATCCTCGAACAATTCCATGTTTTATTTCACAGAAAATATGCGAATGTATAAGTTAGGGCACTGTATTAATAACGGGACGGATCTTTCAGCTGTTTTGCTAGGGGTTATTCAGTGCCCTAACCTATACATTCACAAATTATCTGTGAAATAAAACATGGAATTGTTCCGAGGATTTTCTGGTTATTAATAACAGTAGGTATCCATAATGCAAAAACAAAACAAAATACAAAACTGACAAATGACAGTTCAATTCTTGTCTGTGATTGGTTAACGCATAAAGTTTGTCCACGATTCGGGAATGCAGCTAAACTTGAACTTATCCCTATCGTATACGATCATGACGTCATGGCAGCCGGTCACATCACGTAGCATATCGACTAACTTCGGGAATCGATGCCGTGGTAGGTTCGAGAACGCAGTCACATTCACGTTCACATCAAGGTCAGTCGATGTGAACCAAGCACATCTTCGGGAATCGACGCCGATCTTCGCCGGTAGTTGCAGGTCTCGCGGAAGGATGGTAGGTGGCGCTGCAAACATTCGGAAAAAATTAGTGATTAGGCCAATCAGTAGGCGTTTTCGTTTATTAAATTATCTCATCATTTACTCGGCTCTAAACTCAGAGATTATAGAATAAACAAATCGCTCATGTTGTTTCACCGCACTTACCTTACTCTAAGCTGATCTTTGTGCGGTAATAAATGAGATATAGCTATCCTCAATGTCACTCGGCTTGAAAACGAAAGAATTGGCTGCGATGAGTCTTCTGGTTTGCAAAGGAAACCAGTTCACTTCACAAAATCGGTATGGCCATAAAGTCATAGTCATACTGCATTAAATGAAGTCAAAACAGTCAGTCCTACATGACCAAGTGAATGAGAAGATAGCCATAACTCACTACAACAGTACCAAGAACGGCTAAATTACTACCTACCTGACATTCCATTTAGTCACAATGTACACTACTCACTCCCCCCTGCTGAAATACATAAAAAAATGCCATCCACCCATGCAAGAAAAAGAAAATCCTACCTTGGTAAGGCTGCCCTTCTGGAATCTGAAACAAAAAGAAAACGTTTCAAAATCAAGTTACATGAGCTACATTCCTAAACGTAAATTTTTAATAAAAAGGTTCACAAAAAGCATTTCCCTAAATATTTTGGGGGAGAAAATAGCACCGGGGGGTGTGGGGGGACCATGACAGTTGCTTCTGGAATACGGTCCACCGCAGGGGGGGGGGGCACCCAGTACATGGAAAAACTGGAGCAGAACGCATTTTACTAAACATGTTTGGGGAGAATATAGCACCAGGGGGTATACTCTCCCCCCCCCCCCCCCCGAAGCAAAAATCCAATCATCTTTTTTCAAACATTACCATGAACAGTTGCTTCGGATAGGGTTACCAAATCTCATTTATCCTGCTACATTCCCCCAAAAAGTTCAGCCCTTAAATTTAACCACAGTACCCCAGGGTCTGGGGGCTATGGAATACTGCGCCCAGCACACAGAAGCAATCCATGATTCTTTTCCCAATCAGTACCATGCGAGGTACCATGGACAGTGACTTCTGGTATAACGATCTCCGGAGGGGGGGGGAGTCACCCAAGTACACGAATGGATTATCGATTATTTTTCCCAAAAAACTACCATGACAGTTGCTGCGGAAGTTGTTACCAAATCTCATTTTTCCGACCCCCGCGTGCTCATTCCTCCTAAAACGTTCAGCCCTTAGAAATATGACCATTTATTACAAAAAAACATAAAACATACTCATTTTTCCTAAATATTGAGAATTGACACGGGGGGGGGGGGTATGGGAAAAATACCCCCATATCAGAAGCAACCAATATATTTTCCAATAAACATTACCAGGACAGTGCTTGAACTGTCATCGAATGTCATTTTGCTTGGGCCCGCCACTATATTGTTCCTCAAAAAACGTTAGTGAGACATAGCTTGTAAAAAAAAGAACAAATTCGAATTCAATGTTAAAAATGAATTTTCTTGTCCTTTCTAAAAAAATACTATAAGAGTCTTAAGGCTGAGGGGAGCACATGTTCACCTTCATGGTATTCTAATGAAAGGTCTCATCGAAATAAAATGTTTGTACCCAAACTATAACTTGCCTTGCGAATCTTTTTCGAATCAGAGTGACGGTTCTGAGAGTGGGGGGGCGGGGTTAAACATTAATGTTATCTTTCCATTTAGTCTCAACGAAAGGGAACCGTTGTCTACCAACTATTGCCCTTCTTTCTTCTTCTGTATCAAAGTACGGTGGAGGGGACGGGGGGAACTAGTTTTACCCTTCCATGGTACTCTATTGAAAGTTCAGCGAAAGGAACCGTTTTCTACCAACTACTGCGCCTTCTTTCTGTCCTCTTATCAAATACTATAGACTAGAAGTGTAAGGGGAGTGGAAACTGAGTTTTATCCTTCATGGTACTCTAATGAAAGGTCTCAACGAAATGAATTAATTTCTACCAACCATAGCCCTCCTCCTCCACCTTTTATCGTGATCGGGTATATTATTCCCTTATACCTCAAGAAGAGGGTACTCACAAAGGGCGATTGACACGTCTGCAAGAAATATATCCATTGGTGATGTCAAAACAAAAGCTATTTCGCTTTAAAAAATGCGCTTTATCTGTGCAAGAGTTGTGCACAATATATTCTCCCTCTCTCTCTATAGGCTCTTACGGGTCCTTGACTTTTGCTTACTTACGAAAAGTATCGAAGAACTTTAGACGATCTTCTAAAAGCTCTAAAAAGGTTAAAGGCTTTCTTTTAGAAGGGAAACCTTTGAAGAGGTTTGGAGGCTTTTGAACACTTTAGAAACCCATATGGTTTTATAGACTTTCCGAGGTTCAGATGACTCTTAAAACGCTCTTAAAAAATTAGACATTAACTTTAAGATAATTACTGGCTCTTAAAGACGCTTAACGACTCTCAAAAACTCTTAAAGTCTTGTGACCAAATTGTGACGACTTTTGAACCTTGGATGTTTCTTAAAAACCTGTAGAAATACTTGGAGGCTCTAGAACGCTCCTAAAAGCTCTTGAATCCCCTTAAATCCTCCTTAAATCCTATCAGTGACTGTGAAAGACTCCTCTAGAAAACCCCAGAAATGTCTTAAAAAATAACAGACGAGCTCTTTACAGACCTTGGGGGCCGTTGGAGACTGTTAAGGGCACTAAAAAGCCATACGAGCTTTCAGGTTTTCCAAGAAAGTGTGTTAAACACTTTTGAAACGCGTTAAGGCTTTCTAAAGGCTTTTAAAAGCTCTAAGGGAAATCTGATAGTGTACAGGGATTATCGTAGACTTCAAAGACCGGACATTTTTTGTTAGGTTAATGTAGCGGAATTCACAGAATCATCACTTTTTTAGATTCCAGATTGCAGTTACGCCCCCTAGCGGCCATTTCAGAAACTTAAAAATATTTTCCCGGTTTTTCTCGTGGCCGTTTTAGTAATGACTTTCTTTACCGCAAGCCTCTACGATGGATAGGTTCCCACATACAGCACCTCGCATTCTTAGTTGGCCACCCTGTACATAGAAGAGCCTTTTGGAGGTTNCGAGGTACTGTATCTGGGAACCTATCCATCGTAGAGGCTTGCGGTAAAAAAATTTATTACTAAAACGGCAACGAGAAAAACCTGGAAAATATTTTGAGTTTCTGCAATGGCCGCTAGGGGGCGTAACTGCAATCTGGAATCTAAAAAAATGATTTTTCTGTGAATTCCGCTATATTAACCTAACAAAAAAATGTCCGGTCTTTGAAGTTGACGATAATCTGAACAATTTTTGTTTGACAATTTTTCCTGTATCTCTAAAAATGAAGTGGTGGGGGGTATTGAAAGGTTTCCGTAACGAACACCCTGTATCTTCGAACGGCTGAGGCCGATTAAACAAACTCGCGGTAGATTCAAAAGAGCTAGTCTTCATACAAATATATTTTTTTCAAACAAAAAATTGGTTCAGATTATCGTAGACTTCAAAGACCGGACATTTTTTGTTAGGTTAATGTAGCGGAATTCACAGAATCATCACTTTTTTAGATTCCAGATTGCAGTTACGCCCCCTAGCGGCCATTTCAGAAACTTAAAAATATTTTCCCGGTTTTTCTCGTGGCCGTTTTAGTAATGACTTTCTTTACCGCAAGCCTCTACGATGGATAGGTTCCCACATACAGCACCTCGCATTCTTAGTTGGCCACCCTGTACATAGAAGAGCCTTTTGGAGGTTATTAGAAACTTTTAGAGATGACTCTTAGACGAACGATTTTCAAAGATCAGATGTGAGATTTTTTCAAAACTCTTGGAAAACCCAGAAAGGTTTTTTTGCGATAACAAACGAGCACGGCTCGCAGGAGTCGTGGTTTCTACACGTGTTTAAAGGCTTTAGAACACTAGAAATAGCTAGAAGACAGGATCTCATAAAGTCATAAAGCGTTATTAAACCCTGAAAGATCCTTAAACGCCCGTTAACACTGTTAAACCTTTTCCAGGGTTGATAAAAAGACCTTGAAAAGGTTTCAAAGACACACAATTTCTGAAACGTGCGACTTTTACAGACGTGTCAGCATTTCAAAGACCCGTGACGAGTTTTAAAAGTTTCTATGGGTCTTTATAAGAGCCCTTAAGGATCCCAAAGGCCTCCCAAGATTATTAGAGAGTCAGGTTCCTTAAAATTCTCGCACCTTTTTCAAAAAGACTGGAATGTACATTAAAAACACCAAAACGCTTCAAAGTGTTTCTAAGACTCGGAAGCATTTTGGACATTTACTAAAGCTCTTGGACGCCTTTCAGTCTCTTAAGTGCATTTAGTGCAAGCGAAGGCTTTCCAATGCCTGCTATCGGTAAATTCATAGACTTTTTAAAGCGCTGTGAGAATCTAACAAGTTTTAAAAATCAACCCATATTATGTAATTATATCATTCCATTTGAAATTTTCAAAAAAAAAACCTGCAATGTTTATGTTAATATCACATCGCGCCCTCTACCACTCATCACATTTACTAAGAAGACTCTATTCAAGCAAAATCTGATTCCACGAAGAGAGCTCTTTCCAACAAGTGTGAAAATATGTTAACCTAATCCGAAGTTACATTCAATTCCTTACAGAGATGTTCCCCTTCCCCCACCCCTCACATTTTATGAGCTAGAGCAATATGTGCTGCATCAAAATGATGCAAAATTGATACAAGATTGCTATGCATGTATTTTTTATAAATGTTTGTTGGGTATATTTTAGAAAAATTTTTTTTTACTTAATAATGAATCGTGCGCCTTCTAGCGGCGAAGCTAGAAACTTAAAAATTTTCAGCAATTTATCTTGGCCCCTTATGTTAACAATTTTTTCCCGTAGCTGTGCAATTAACGGTTCCATAGAAATGGCCTGTGACCATTATCAATGGGACACCCTGTACATCCTTAAAGAAGTACAAGCAAATACGGTGGCTATGGTAGCGGTACGGTACCGGTAGGTTGATTGATTTGTCAACCTAAAATTTGAGTTGAGGGGCGTATAATCAATACTGCTTACGACAATTGTGCTACAATGACCGATTCAAAATACTTTACAACAACAAAAAAGGGCGAAATATTCGAGCTCAAGTCCGAGCTTAACAATGACAAGAAGGAAAAGAAGAAGGAGGCTGTGAAAAAAGTCATCGCAAGCATGACCGTCGGAAAGGACGTCTCTGCCCTATTCCCCGACGTGGTAAACTGCATGCAGACCGACAATCTCGAGCTGAAGAAGCTCGTCTACCTATACCTGATGAACTACGCGAAATCGCAACCGGACATGGCCATAATGGCTGTGAACACGTTCGTTAAGGACTGCGAGGATCCGAACCCGTTAATTCGCGCGCTCGCCGTGCGAACGATGGGCTGCATTCGCGTCGATAAGATCACCGAGTATCTGTGCGAGCCGCTACGCAAATGCCTCAAAGACGAGGACCCTTACGTACGAAAGACGGCCGCCGTCTGCGTCGCCAAGCTCTACGATATATCGTCGAGTAAGTCGAGGTTCAACTCAGCACGGCGTCCAATTTGCTTTCGTTCCAGGCCTGGTCGAAGATCAGGGCTTTTTGGATCAGCTGAAGGACCTGCTGAGCGATTCCAATCCGATGGTGGTCGCGAACGCGGTCGCCGCGCTGTCCGAGATAAACGAGAGCAGTCCGACTGGTCAACCGCTCGTCGGTACGTCTCCCCCCGTGTTTAGTTTAACCGTGTCGACTTGAAGTTTTGCAGAGTTCAACACGAACACGATCAACAAGCTGCTAACGGCGTTGAACGAGTGCACCGAATGGGGTCAGGTTTTTATTTTAGATTCGCTCGCCAATTATAATCCGAAGGACGATCGCGAGGCCCAGAGCATCTGCGAACGTATCACGCCGCGTTTGGCCCACGCGAATGCGGCGGTCGTCCTCTCCGCCATTAAGGTAGGCCATTTTGTTAGGAGGAAACTACTTTGAATTTTTGGTGTACACCCCTTTAAATTAATTTGAATTAACCCGAATTCATTTGAATTAACGCGAATTCATTTGAATTTGTTTGCATTTCTATATCACTTCCAAGGAACACTAACTTTCAAAATTACGAACCGTTTTTTGACCAAACTTTGATTGGATTTCTCATAAATATCTTGGTCAAGTTTGTGAATTTACACCTTTTGGAACAAAATGATAGCCACTTTTATATTAGCGACCTTTTTTGTATCCCGAATAACATGCATATCAATTTTCAAAGTGATTGGACATCTCTACACAAAGTTATCGTGCGCACGGACAGACAGACAGCAATACAAAATTATAAACGATTTCGAGGACCTTGAATTTACGTGAATTATTTTGAATTAACGTATATTAATGTAAACTAATATGAATTAACGTGAATTCACTTGAATTACCGTGAATTAATTTGAATTAACGTGCATTCCGAGGTGCATTCATTTGAATTCACGTATATTAATTTGACTTAATGTATATTAATGTAAACTAATTCTAATTAACGCGAAATAATTTGAATTAACGTGAAATAATTTGAATTAACGTGAATTAATTTGATAAATGGTACTTGTTTCCCCCTAGCCATCTTATATCAGACTCGAAACCGAACTCTGCGTTATAGGTTTTAATGAAGCTGATGGAAATTCTCGCCGGAGATAACGACTTTTGCTCCACGCTAACGAAGAAGCTCGCGCCGCCGCTAGTGACGCTGCTGTCGTCCGAGCCCGAGGTGCAGTACGTCGCGCTGCGCAACATCAACTTGATCGTCCAGAAGCGGCCCGACATTCTCAAGCACGAGATGAAGGTGTTCTTCGTCAAGTACAACGATCCGATCTACGTCAAATTGGAAAAGCTCGACATCATGATCAGGCTGGCGTCGCAGGCGAACATCGCGCAGGTGCTCAGCGAGCTGAAGGAGTACGCGACCGAGGTGGACGTCGATTTCGTTCGAAAGGCGGTGCGCGCGATCGGGAGGTGCGCGATCAAGGTGGAGCCGTCGGCGGAACGCTGCGTTTCGACCCTTCTCGATTTGATACAGACGAAAGTCAATTACGTCGTGCAGGAGGCGATCGTCGTGATCAAAGATATTTTCCGGAAGTACCCGAACAAGTACGAGAGCATTATAAGCACGCTGTGCGAAAACTTGGACACGTTAGACGAACCGGAGGCGCGCGCGAGCATGGTGTGGATTATCGGAGAGTACGCCGAGCGCATCGATAACGCTGACGAACTTCTCGATAGTTTCCTCGAGGGTTTCGCCGACGAGAATGCGCAAGTGCAACTTCAGCTGTTGACCGCCGTCGTCAAACTGTTCCTGAAACGGCCCGCCCATACACAAGCGCTCGTGCAGCACGTTCTCAGTTTGGCCACGCAAGATTCGGACAATCCGGACTTGAGAGATCGCGGTTTTATTTATTGGCGGTAAGTGAACATAATTGAATGCGTTTCTGCGGTCCTGATATCAAGAATTATTTTTAAAATCAATTTTTGAAGCACGGGAGTAGGTTTTCATGAACATATCAGGAGAACATAATATTTGCATTTCTGAACTCCTGGTATTCGTAATTATTATTAAAGATCAGGAGAATAAACCTGACAATTACAAAACCAAGAGGAATAAACAAAGATGAAAGAAGTTATATAAACTATTTTACTGTCATCCTGATACACTAACATCTGCAAAAATGTGTACCAGGAGAACTAGGTGCGTTAGAGGGTGGCAATCAATTTTGTATTTTCCTGTAACACTGAAACTATCATCTTTAGTGTTGCGTTCCTGTTACCCTAATACCATTACTTTCAGAATCAAAATATTTTCATCAGATGTATCGGAGGCACATAAGACGTTAGAAGCTTAGGTAGTGTTTTGCCTTTTTGTGTTTTCCTGCAATTCTAATACGTTGATCATTTTTATTAAGTGAAAATAAACACCTAAGGGTGATATTACCAGGAGAATGTTTGAATAAGTGGCGTTCAATAAATGATTCCTGTACCTTCCTGTCATCACGGCAAGAGGGGTTGACCTCGCTGGTGTATAAGTTTGGGGAATTCTCTGGGAAGTCTTAGGAATTCCCAGGAATTCTTTGGGAAGTCTTGGGAATTCGCTGGAATTCTTTGGGAAGTCTCAGGAATTGTTTGGGAATTCCTGGGAAGTCTTGAGAATTCACAGGAATTCTTTGGGAAGCCTCAGGAATTTCAAGGAATTGTTTGGGAAGTCTTGGAAATTCCTGGGAAGTATTTGTGAATTCCTGGGAATTCGCGGGAAGTCTCTGGGAATTCCCAGGAAATCAGTTGTTTGGGAATTTTGGTGTATTATGCAATTTAACATATAAAAATGCGTGGCACTGATGCCCTAACTTCTGGAAAAACTGTGTTTCAGGAAAGAGGGTTAGAGGGCGGAAGTGAACCCCCCAGTGAAAATGAGTATTATGATGTTTGTAGGGAGTGTGGTCAAAGTTTTCTTTGGAGGGGGGGGGGGTATTCCTTGCACAAGAGTTCTAAGGGATGGACGTTTTGGGAAAAAAGTAACACCAGGGGTCTGGGGGTTTTCCCGGGGGGGGGGGGGTCATCAGAGTCGTCCTTAGAGTGGAGCGACTGCTCCAGGCGAGGTCTTACTCTCGCTAAAAAATAAATATAAGTTGTGGTTGAATGAAAATAATATAATATTTTAATATATAAATATGTTAGCGGACACCCGGTATGGATGATGTCATCCGGTATGGATGATGTCATGTTCTGCAGGACGGCCGAGTGTGGATCCTACGGGGAACGACGCACAGGCGGAGGACGGTGGCGGTAACAGCATAAGAGGCTGCGGAGGTCGGCACTGAACACAGTACACAGCACAGTGAGCAATCGAGTAACGGAGAAATGCGTTGTATTAAAGCGAATAAAAGTTGAGTCAGGAAACCTTGCGTTTTATTAAGGGTATTTCACCCCGGAACGTTAACATCAGAAGTGGGATGATCCTGTGCACCTGTGCATCCTGTGTTTAATCAAAGTAAAAACAATATAAGACTTAGGTGAAAATGGCTGACAAAGAAAGTGATAATCGTGACGTTCCCGTAGAAGAACAGAGTGGGTTGCAGGATTCGGAGGGAGAAGAAGTGTTACCCAGTCCAAAACGTGCAAGGGTGCAGTGGCAAGAGAAATTAATAGATTTGTTAGCTACCCAGCAACAACAGCTTGACGAACTGACGCGACAATCCAAGATGGCAATCACAGCATCGCCAACGCCTAGTGTTGTTGAAACGGAGAGTTTAAGTGCGCATGCGACAGCATCATGCCATGTGAGGTCCATGTTTAAGTTGACGAGCTACGATCCCGATGCGAGCGCATATTCAATAGAGGAGTGGTTAGCTGACGCCACAAAATTGAAACATGAGCTGAATGTAAGCGATCTTCTCATGATAGCCAAAGCAGGTGAGGCTTTAAAAAATCGCGGACAACGATATTTTTGTGACTGGAGACCACTTTGCCGAAATTGGGAGAACTTTTGTGGTGATCTAATCATCGCTTTCCCCGATCGCGAGACACCAGGTTCCCGCGCATATCGTGCAGCAACGCTCCGAAGTAGAGAATGTGATTCGTTATGCGAGTACGGCAATCAGAAATTGCGGAGCATAGCTAGATTTTATGACAACTTGCCATGGACTACGATCCTTAGCATGGTTGCATTTGGTTTGGACCGTGAGGACGTACGTTCTGCTCTGCATATTCAGAAACCAACATCAGATCGCGAGCTGATGAAGGTTCTAAGCGAATTCGATGCTCGACTCAATACACCTTCAAATATACGAAAACATTCGGAAGTAGCAAAAGGGTCCGGGTGGAAATCCGATCGTCATACAAGGGAGGACCACCCAGACATGACACATGGAAAAGCAAAACTAAAATTTCAAGGGCTTTGTTTTAAATGCGGTCGTCAGGGTCATCGACAGGCTCTATGCCGTAGTTACCAGACAAAGGCGTCATCAAAGGAAGAACCACCGAAGATAGTTCCTATCGACACCGAACCCGGAGGTATCCCTTCTTGCACGTATTGCAAGAAAATGGGACATACCGAACCCAAGTGTTACTTCAAACACGGAAAGAAGGCCTTCATATTAAAAAAATGACGCCACTTAAATATCACGCCGATAGCCACATTATTTTGCAAAGGTCAGGCCCTTTCATTTAAGTGTCTTGTGGATAGTGGTGCTGACGTGTCCATTATTAAAAATTCTGTAGTTAAAATATTAAATGGTGTCATAAAATCGAACGAAAGTGCACGTGCTTTTGCAGGATTTGGGACTCAAATTGTTTACGCTATCGGAATGTGCGATTTAATGGTTGTTTTGCCGACATTGACTTTAGAAGTGTCCTTCACAGTCGTTCCGGATGAAGTCGTTCCGGGCAATATTGATGTTATTCTTGGGTGGGACATTATCAGCCGACCTTGCTTACGAGTGGAGAAAAGTGTCAACGGTCTTGAATTACATCATAATGTGGTCAACATAAATAAAGTGCTTGCTCTAAAGGACGCATGTGATTTTCAAGTAAACATTCCGGGATTAAATGACAATAATTTAAAGTTGAAAATACACACCTTATTGATGGAGAGTAAAAGACAGACACCAGATCGCATTACCACAGGAAAAATGACAATAAAGTTAAAAGACAATACTCCAGTAGCTTATCACCCGCGGCGGTTAGCATACGAGGAAAGGAATCAAGTAAAAAGAATAGTGAGTGAACTTTTATGTGACAATATAATCCGCGAAAGTCACTCAGAGTATGCCAGCCCCATTGTTTTAGTAAAGAAAAAGAATGGTGAACTGCGAATGTGCGTAGACTATCGTGATATTAACAAAAAAGTGGTAAAGGAAAGATATCCCCTACCCCTTATTCAAGACCAAATTAATGCCCTATGTCATGCAAAATATTTTACAACCTTAGATATGAAATCTGGTTTTTACCAGATGGAGATAGAGGAAAGCTCAAAGCACATCACCGCTTTTATAACACCGGACGGACATTGGGAATTCAATCGTATGCCATTCGGATATGTGAACTCACCATCGATATACCAACGGGCAATTGACAAAGCATTGGGTGACCTGAAGGGCAGCAGAGCATTTGTTTACCTAGATGACGTCCTTGTGCCTTCTTCGAGTATTTCAGAAGGACTAAAAACCTTAGAGGAAGTATTAAGTGCTTTATCCAAATCTGGTTTTTCACTGAACTATGAAAAGTGTATATTCTTTGCGACAGAAACTGAATACCTTGGTGTAATTCTAAGCGAGGGGTCTATACGTCCTAGCCCGCGAAAAGTGAGTGCTCTGACCAAGGCGCCTTCTCCTTCAGATGTGAGAGGTGTGCGTCAATTAATGGGACTTGCTGGATATTTCCGCCGATTTATCAAGGGATTTTCCCAAATAACTGCGCCAATATCGGCATTGTTGCGGAAGAATCGTACATTTGAGTGGACTCCGGCGTGTGAAAGTGCTCGGCAAGTAATTATAAACAAACTAACTGAGGAACCCGTATTACGTATTTACAACCCGGATTTAGATTGTGAATTGCATACTGACGCGAGTTCCGTCGGAATTGGTGCTGCGTTGCTTCAGAAAGAAAATGGTGTTGTTCAACCTGTGGCTTATTATAGTCGTAGAACTACTGATTACGAGTCTAGGTACCATTCCTATGACTTAGAAACATTGGCTATAGTGGAAGCAGTCGAACATTTTCGCGTGTACCTGTACGGTGTCCATTTTACGGTGTATACAGACTGTAATTCGGTGCGAGCAACAGCTCTAAAAAAAGATTTACATCCACGCGTAGCGCGCTGGTGGATTAAGTTACAAGATTACGATTTTACGATCGAATATCGACCCGGATGTAAAATGTCTCATGTGGACTATTTAAGCCGTAACCCTGTCGATAGTGAGTATAATGAGCGTGTTTTGAAAACGTGTGTTTTGAAAACCATAAACATCAATAAAATGTCAGACATAAAAACACTAAAGGAATTTCAAAACAATGACGCGTTTTGTCAAGAAATATTTAATAATCCGGATAGTAACCCAAACTTCAAAATAATAAACAATGTGGTTGTTACCAAAACAGCAGCTCCAAAGTGTTTTGTACCCGTCGCTGCTCGTTTATTGACAATGAAATTATACCACGATGAATCATCTCATATAGGGTGGGACAAATGCATCGCAAAAATGAGAGAAGATTTATTTTGGACAAAAATGGGACAATGTTTGAAAAAGTATATTAGGAATTGTAGCGCATGTGTCATGGGGAAATCACACACCGGTCGTCGCCAAGGATTATGGCAACAGGGTGAGAAGCCAGACGACATACTGGATACATGGCACATTGATCACGCAGGACCCTTAGTAAGATCTAATGGCTGCACACAGATTTTGGTGATAATTGATGGATTTTCGAAACTTTGTCAATTACAACCGATACCAAAGAAAACATCTGAGCATACAATTCGAGCATTATTACCTGTATTTGAAGAATTAGGAAGACCCAGACGGATCGTGGCCGATAGGGCAGCAGCCTTCACGTCAGTTATGTTTAAAAACTTTCTTGACGAACAGGGTATTCAACTTCATCACATTGCAACGGGTGTGCCGCGCGGAAATGGACAAGTTGAGCGTGTCATGCGAACCGTTTTTAATTTGTTGCGGGCAACACTCACTGCGGATAAGGAAAGTACTTGGACGGTTGAGATACCTGCGATAGAGGATAATTTAAACTCTACCGTACATTCGGTGACTGGTTATGCGCCGGCAGTACTGCAGTTTGGAAGAAACCCAAGACTGGCTGCTACGTTACAGTTTTTGGCGGACGCATCGCCGAGTGATAATTTTATAGACCCAGACAAGGCCGTCGCCGAAGCTCGAGTTCGAATGAAAAAGAGTGCATATAAGCGAGCCCAGCAATTTAACGTGACGCGCTATTGCACTAACTTATTCAATGTGGGAGACATCGTGGCCATTGAAGACTCTCAGCTGGCCGGTGGAGGAAAATTGAAGCCAAAATACAAGGGGCCGTATACCATCCGTAATGTATTGCCAAATGAGAGGTATGTGCTGCAAAAGAGAGGTCGCACCACAGTTGCTGCCCAGGAGCAGTTGAGACGTTGGCCTTCCAGGGACTAGAAAACAAAGCAAAGGTATTTGTAAAATTTCAATATGTTTTGTAAACAGTGTTGTATCTGAAAAATAGAATTTTACAAGCATTTGAATCTCGATTTGAATAGAGTATTTGGATAGCGGGAGTACCGTTATCTAAGAAGGAGAGAGTATCTCCTTGCAGCATTAAATTGTTAATACCTCCTTGCGTGTATCATGCGGGGAGAGGATACGGATAGTGGGAGTACCACTGTCTAAGAAGAAGAGAGTATCTTCTTGTAAAAGTGGGAGAGAGTATCTCCTTGAAAGGAGAGAGTATCTCCTTGCAAAATAAAATTGAGGATACGGATAGTGGGAGTACCACTGTCTAAGAAGAAGAGAGTATCTTCTTGTAAAAGTGTATGAAAGGAGAGAGTATCTCCTTGCAAAATAAAAATGTGAAGTTGCGTGATATGAATGTGTGCATTAAACTAATGTTCAAGTGGGAGTACCACTAACACATTATTTACAAAATAATTGCGAGCTGAGCGTTTGTCGTTTGTTTAAGGTCAGCATGTCAATAAATTTAAATGTCTTTGAGACAGGTCAGTTTTAGCGATAAAAATGTTTGTATAAACGAAAAGCGACACCAGAATTTTTTCTGGCAACAAAATAACGCCGAAATGAGTTACGATCGTCCCTGTCGTCAGTTTTTGTTACAGTGCCTCGTTCGACCGAGGTCGGCCGAAATACAGGATGGCCGTGTTAGCGGACACCCGGTATGGATGATGTCATGTTCTGCAGGACGGCCGAGTGTGGATCCTACGGGGAACGACGCACAGGCGGAGGACGGTGGCGGTAACAGCATAAGAGGCTGCGGAGGTCGGCACGGCACTGAACACAGTACACAGCACAGTGAGCAATCGAGTAACGGAGAAATGCGTTGTATTAAAGCGAATAAAAGTTGAGTCAGGAAACCTTGCGTTTTATTAAGGGTATTTCACCCCGGAACGTTAACAAATATACAGGGTACCCATTATGTATGGAATATATAGTATATATCTTGGTAAAGATTTTTCTATATGAAAGTTGTTTAACATTTTATCTCCCATAATAAGGCAGCGTTCCATTGTTTTTATTTCAGAAAACAAATGAATAACGAAAAATAATTGATTTTTTTTCTCTTTTCAATGACATAACATGTTAGCACCCGTGTAGAAGAAATTAATTTTTCTTTATTTCAAGTTTTTTAGGTTATGCCACTGCCTTGCAGTTAATGGTGAACATTCATTGCGATGAAAACCATAATTACTGCTCATTTCGTTTTGTCTTCAAGGTTTAATAAGCAACGTACACGTTTATTTGTTTTATTTTGATGTAGGATATCTGGATTAATTTATTCATCTAATTATCATAGATTTTTTTGAAAAATTTTCTTGAATAAGGGTACCAACATATCATCGAAAAAGAAAAAAAAATCTCTATCAAATGAGCCTAATGAAAAGGTGCATTGCCATTTAAAAAAATTCAATTGTTTTTCGTTACTTATTTATTTTCTGAAATAAAAACAAGTGAATGCTGCTTAAAATAACGACTTTGCATGTATAATTTTGCAAAAATTTCCGGGGAGGACCCTCGGACCCCCCTTCCTCGGGTGTATTCCATACCCCCCTCGGCAATCATTGTTAAAAAAGGCTTCACAAAAATATTTTGTATTTTCAGCAAAGGATAACTCCTTTTCCTATAACCCGAAGTGGGCTTTTTTGGAAATGGCAATACAACCCTCGCATGCTCCCCCCAGTGTTATATTCGCTGTAAAACTTTTTAGGAGAAGATGATTTGATATAATCTTCCCAAAAACCATTATGACCGTCCTGAGGGCTAAATGTCTGATAGGGGAGACCAACAGCAAATAGCTGTTGTCACTCTTTTGCATTTAATTTTTGGAAAGCGTGTAGTATCAGGAGAACATAAATCTAAATCATAAAAACAGGTAGCAATGGTATTTGCTTTTCCCACTTTTTGTACCAGTAATTATTCTTAAAATCAACACATCACTACGCTCCGGATCATTATGCCTAAAAGGAACTTCTGGAACAGAAGAACAATTTTTAAGCGCTTGGCGTATCAGGGGAACATAAACCACGAATAGATATTTTGCCTTAATTTACAGACTCTTGGTTTTCTGGTCTCCTAATACCAACGACCAACATAAAATCAACTGTTTGGATCACAGAACCTCGATATGGTACCAGGAGAGCATGAATAACAAACTACTGTTTAGGAGCAGAGTAATTTTTCAAGAATTTGTACTATCAGGAGAATTAAATTATAAGATATTTGGCGTAATTTCTGTGGTATTGATGATTATTAATCGTTGGATTGGATCAGAAGAGTAACATTTCGGGAACTTGTGTTATCAGGAGAACATAAAACACGAACAGATATTGGTCTACATTAACAAATTATTGCATTCCTGTGCTTCTGATGTCAATATTTACCTTTTTGGTATAGGGAGCACATAAATCACAAAATATTTGGCTAAATATCCCAATTTTTCCGATATGAATTTTTTTGGATCAGGAGAGTTTATTTTTTCATTTGTTTTAGATTGTTGAGCACCGACCCCGCAGCAGCTAAAGAGGTAGTACTCGCCGATAAACCTCTGATATCCGAAGAGACCGATTTACTCGAGCCGACCCTTCTCGACGAACTCATCTGCCACATTTCATCGTTGGCGAGTGTCTATCACAAACCGCCCACTGCCTTTGTCGAGGGCCGCAGCGCGGGCGTTCGAAAATCTCTACCCGCGCGCCAGGGCTCCGTCGAAGACACGACCGTTCATGCCGAAGCCACCGTAATTCCCAACCAGGAATCGCTGATCGGAGATCTACTGTCCATGGATATCGGAAGCACAATTCCCACGGCCACCACGATCACGGCACCTCAAAGCAATGTCGATTTACTCGGCGGCGGATTGGACTCCCTGCTGGGAGGCGGCGGCGCCGAAGCTCCGAACGTATCGGCACCGAGCACGACCGGCCTCCTCGGCGACATATTCGGCATGCCCACCACCTCATCCATGTACGTTCCGCCGAAAGGATGTTGGCTTCCGGCCGAAAAGGGCAAAGGACTCGAAATCTGGGGCACATTTTCGAGGCGCAACGGTCAAATTTCGATGGATCTTACGTTCACGAATAAAGCAATGCAGGCGATGAACGGCTTCGCGATTCAATTCAACAAGAACAGCTTCGGTATCTCGCCGGCCGCACCGCTCAGCATAGGCACGATTCAGCCGGGGCAAAGTTTAGAGGCCAGCCTAGGCCTGAGCACGACCGGACCCATACAACGCATGGAACCCCTCACCACCCTACAGGTCGCAGTGAAAAATAACGTCGACATATTCTACTACGCCTGCCAGATTCCCATACAGATCCTATTCACCGACGACGGCCAGCTGGACAAACGCGTATTCCTCACAACGTGGAAGGACATTCCCGCCGCCAACGAGGTCCAGTACACGCTGAACGAAATCAAAGGTACGTCGGACACTTTGGCGGCGAAAATGGCTCAGAACAACATTTTCACGATCGCCAAACGTAACGTCGAGGGCCAGGACATGCTGTACCAGTCGCTCAAGCTGACGAACAACATTTGGGTGCTGCTCGAACTGAAGTTACAACCCGGCATCACGCACGCCACCCTCAGTCTCAAATCTAGATCCGTCGAGGTCGCGACTCCAATCTTTCAGGCTTACGAGGCCATATTAAAATCAGCTTAATTGTTTATTTTACATGTAAGATATTGCTCATTATAGAGATATTGTCAATTCTAGTTTTTTGTTTCTGTTGGTCGATAAAATAGGGCTTCGGCTTCTTAGAACAATTTTTTAGGATCTAATACTCTACAATACCATCTGCGCATGCGCCCATTTTATTTTTACATACTATATCTGATGAGAGACACAAAACACCCCTGTACCTCTCCTTTGCTACGTTCCTGAATATGGGAAATGATAATTTTCGTTTTGTTCTTTTTGAAAGCATAAAAATAATTATTGCATTCAGATTAACCCAAAGACGTAGGAAGATCATGACAAAATTTAAATAGAATTTTCTTAGAACAGGGACGCCACTGGTAGGTACAAGGCCAGTTACATCGATCCTACAATTCATTACTTATACTCTCTGAATCGTTCATGACAGTTTCCCTACTTTGAAAAAGTCACCTGTTGATGTGAAAAGGAACAACAGAGATTGTGGGAGAAATAGTTGGGATGCGAATCCTGGTGGCCGGTGTGGACCCCCCTCATTCTGTGAAATGTTTACAATGGGAGTAACCGGTTACTTGGTTTGCCTATGACATGATCTTCATTTATCAATATCGCAGGTATCGGTGAAGAATCAAGATGTGAACGACAACAATGTTTATGGTTTCCGTTGCTTGGCAGCAAGACGAAATTTGAAATTTATGTTCTGACCTGCTGGGGAAATATTCCATGTACAAAGTTATCTAGTATCTAGAGCACAGCGAATAAAAGTAACGCAGAATTGACAGAGTCTCGACCGTAATATACCACGATTTCAATGAAATTGTCACAATCGGAGCACAGTACTCTGCAAGTCTGATTATTCCACTGTATTAACACGTTGGCCGCCACATGTACAGCTGGTTGTCGTAGACTTGTAAGGAGATGCTATTTTTCCAAATCAGTGGTACACACGCCATGTGGCCGTGATACATCAGCGAGACAGCCGGCTGCCATAGGAGATAGTATTTCACCACGCAGGCAGTACACAAGGCGCGACCGTTTACCGTAAGTGTGACAGAGTCGGCTGACATGCGATAACTGTTGTAGAACTAGTGCATAAGACCTCTCTGGCAGTTAACGTTTAAAAGGCAACTTAAATGCTTGGGACATTATAACCTATTTCATCGGATTAATGTGAAGGGTAGCGAAATATTAATTAGAGTGCGGTTATCGTACAGTGCATCAAGAAAATTTTCCTTCGTTACTGTTCAGCCCTACGTTTTGCGGCTGATAAATGAATTCTGGCCTTAGCATTTATACCGAACACTTCGAACAGATTGCTACCGTCGATACTAGCTACGTCACATCTTAAGGCTAGCGCAAGGCATTATTGTAACCGTTACCATGCAACTTGTAAAGGTCTACAAACTTACCCCAAATCAACATATCCATGAAATCATAGGCATCTTTATTCCAAACACGAAAAAGGGGCACAAAACGGTAAGTTTTAAACACAAACAAGTGAATTTAAAATCGGACGCCATTTTATTCTTAATTCGATAATCTTTAGACGACACTGAAACTACCGATTTGCGAACACTTCCCCGTCGGTTTTTATTAATTTAAGGGTTGAATTTAACAACAAAATCAAAATGTACGTGATCGCGTCCCGAGAGCCGACACGCAAACGCCGATTTAAATTCGAACTAAAAAGTAGTTGCTAGGGACGCCATAACTTTTCGTACCTTAAATTACGTTTATACACCGATTTACGTATTACCGACCAAAACTAACGACGTCGAACACTTTTCCGCGTCTTTTATTTGCCTTTTCTTAAGTTTATTTTAATATCGCACTTCGCAAATTAACCGAAAACGGACAAAATACAACAGGCTCAGCACGCAGTAACGACATACTGAATCACGTGACGGAACTTGTGATAATGACGTCACGACTGCGAGAGTCTTCACGATTCGCCCATTTGAAAAAATGGTCCAATCAAATGCATCCGACTTTTTGTTTATTAATTATTCTTCGAATTCTAAATGTACTATTGGTATTGCAAATTAACTACTCGGCGTCCCATTTATCGTTTTAGGTACCCACCTTACGTGACCTGCTGGACATGTCTTTTAATCCAAAACGTAAATAAACCTTATGATCCATCACACCCCACTCGATTTCTTCCTCGGACTGCTCAACTTGTTCGGTCCTCCTCAGACCTATTTTTTCAGTCGTTAGACTTTCCTGACCTCATCTTCGATCCCTCACACTTTTGAGTCGGTTAAAGAATTTATAAATGCTTCTGGATGGTCGTAAAGGCTTCTCAAGGTTCGCCTTACAAACACGAGGCAATCCATTTTGGAGGTGGTCAGCGACATGACAGCAGAATCGTTTTTGGCAGCCCTAAACGGGTTCGAGCACGAAGAGGCCGGTGTTAGCGCATGTACAACGACAATGGAACAAACTTCGTAGGAGCCAGAGCAAGATGTGCTCAAGATATTACAAAGCAAGGAGATCCAAGACGTTTCATCTACAGTGTGATTGAGTTTGTGTGTTTAAATCGGATTTTCAACTACGTATCTATGTATTTTTTATTTCAAAATTGTATTTTTATTTTAAATATAAAAACTACATGTATTTTGGATTTTCATCGAAAGTATAAAAAGTGTTTTGTATCTTGTATTTCAAATACTTTGCCCCCGATACTTTGTATACCAAATACACTAGTAGATGTATTTTGCCAAGCCCTGGCCGTCACTTATTTTTGGCTCATGATCAGTCAATCACAGTTTACAACCAGTATACTTGCAATAACAATTAATCCACAAACAGATCCGGCTCGAAAGACAAAAATGTCAGGGGCGCAGTCCTCAACGCTTTCAAAGGACCACGCACCTGAAAGGGAGTGCTCAGGACAGTAAATAAAATTCTTTTGGAGGGCAGCATGTTCTATACCCCCCCCCCCTTCTCAGCACAGAGAAGGAATCGATATTATCTTCTTCCAAAAACTATCATTACAGTTAGTTATCAAATCTTCCTTTGGTGGGTGTTCCATACCACCAGGCCCCCCGGTGCTACGTTCTCCCCACAAAACGTTCAGCCCTTAGAACTCTCGTGTTTGGTGGAATATCTTCCGTGAAAGAAAAATTGGACTACACTTCTTACAAGCATACTCATTTTTCTAAACAGTTTGGGGGAGAGCACAGGACCGGGGGGTATGGAATACCCCCCAGTACACAGAAGGAATCGATATTATCATTCCTCAAAAACTATACCATATGAGTTGTCATCAAATCTCCCTTTGCTGGGGGCTATTCTATACCCCCCTGTCCTAAGTTCTCCCCCAGAACGTTCAGCTCTTAGAACTCTCGTGTTTGGAATATCTTCCGGAAAAGAAAAATTTGACTACACTTCTTACAAAAAGTATACTCATTTTCCTAAACAGTTTGGGGAAGAGCACAGGACCGGGGGGTCTGGAGGACCCCCCAGTGTACAGAAGGAATCAATATTATCACAGTTGTCATCACATCTCCCTTTGCTGGGGGGTATTCTATACCCCCCGTCCTAAGTTCTCTCCCAGAACGTTCAGCTCTTAGAACTCTCGTGTTTGGAATGTCTTCCGGAAAAGAAAAATTTGACTACACTTCTTACAAAAAGCATACTCATTTTCCTAAACAGTTTGGGGAGAGCATAGGACCGGGGGGTCTGGAGGACCCCCCCCCCGTGTACAGAAGGAATCAATAATATCACAGTTGTCATCACATCTCCCTTTGCTGGGGGGTATTCTATACCCCCCGGTCCTAAGTTCTCCCCCAGAACGTTCAGCTCTTAGAACTCTCGTGTTTGGAATATCTTCCGGAAAAGAAAAATTTGACTACACTTCTTACAAAAAGCATACTCATTTTCCTAAACAGTTTGGGGAAGAGCACAGTGGGGGGTCTGGAGGACCCCTCAGTGTACAGAAGGAATCAATATTATCACAGTTGTCATCAAATCTCCCTTTGCTGGGGGGTATTCTATACCCCCCGTCCTAAGTTCTCTCCCAGAACGTTCAGCTCTTAGAACTCTCGTGTTTGGAATGTCTTCCGGAAAAGAAAAATTTGACTACACTTCTTACAAAAAGCATACTCATTTTCCTAAACAGTTTGGGGAAGAGCACAGGACCGGGGGGTCTGGAGGACCCCCCAGTGTACAGAAGGAATCAATAGGGGGGTATTCTATACCCCCCGGTCCTAAGTTCTCCCCCAGAACGTTTAGCTCTTAGAACTCTCGTGTTTGGAATATCTTCCGGAAAAGAAAAATTTGACTACACTTCTTACAAAAAGTATACTCATTTTCCTAAACAGTTTGGGGAAGAGCACAGGACCGGGGGGTCTGGAGGACCCCCCAGTGTACAGAAGGAATCAATATTATCACAGTTGTCATCACATCTCCCTTTGCTGGGGGGTATTCCATACCCCCCGGTCCTAATTGTTCTCCCCCAGAACGTTACAGCAGGGACTATCTATGTTCCTTTATTAAAATAAGTTATTTATTTTGAAAAATGACAGCCATAAATAGGATATTATAAAAATAACTTAAAAAATAAATGTGTATTATTATGGGATAGTGGGGAGGGCGGCTCCATCTTCATATAGGCATATGTACGCTTCCATTTGTGGCGGGTACCACGGATACACATGCTGGTGGCTCTAATTATAGCTATGCTGATTCTAGCACGTAGCCAACCCATATGATGGTGTTTGCTAGTTTCCATAGGTTCTCCCTGCTTGATGCCTACCAGACTGCAATAATTTGGCAGGTCTCATTATCCATATGTTTCTATTAGGCAATGGCTCCAATGTGTCTGTCTCGGTTTCCGAGTGGCCACTTCGGAGTTTTCTAATTTTTCTACTTGCGCCCATGGTACAATAAGACACTTATGAGCCATTTTTGCCACCTTGATCTGACGTCGCCTCTGTAAACAAAAGGCACAAAGGAGTTTTTGTAAACTGTCAAAATTGAAGGCGATGTCCCAATCCAAAGACACCCTATTAGACAACAATGACAAAATTATCAAGTGCATCGCCGACCTT